AAGCCTAAAGTCCGCAATGGTGATTCCCTTGCATAAGGGGGGGGACGAGTCCAACCCAGCAAATTTTAGGCCGATTTCACTACTGTCCACTCTATCTAAGTTGATTGAAAAGTTAACTAAGACTCGTGTCATGTCATTTCTGGAGCGTAACAAAATTTTAAGCAAGACCCAATTTGGATTTCAAGCCAACACTGGCACAAACAATGCTATGTTCCATTTGCTCACTCGGTTATTTTCGTCCATCAACCAATCAAATGTAGCTGCGGCGGTATTTTGCGACCTAGCAAAAGCATTTGATTGCGTAAATCATTCCATTCTTCTTAAAAAACTTTACCATTATGGATTCCGGGGTGTCGTTTTAAAATGGTTCGAATCTTATTTGAGTGAAAGGACCCAGCGAGTTCTAATAGGATCGGATGCATCCAGACCGGGCCATGTTGAGTGGGGCGTGCCGCAGGGTTCAGTGTTCAGTTCTATTTCTGCTTTTCTTCAATAACTTGGCTATGCTTCCAATTAATGGAAAGTTTACCATTTTTGCTGACGATACTACCATATCGTGGAGCTGTAGTGACGTTGCTACTCTTAAGGCTGCCATTTCAGGGGACTTGGATTTGGTAAAGAGGTGGTGTGATGCTAATTTCTTGACGTTTAACTATGATAAAACTAACCTGGTTTCTTTTAAATGTCATATAGATGATATTGGGGTTGGAGATGGTTTAATAGCAAGGCAAATTTTTGGGTTTAACAATCGATTCCAATTTAAAGTTCGATGAACATATTTGCTCTCTCAGTAAGAAAATAGCTTCTGGCTGCTATGCTGTGAAGACGACAGTCCGGGAGCTAGGGTTTAACTTCGGAAAATCAGTTTACCATGCACTAATTGAGTCACACCTTCGGTATGGCATTGCTTTTTGGGGCTCAACAACTGATCAGCTAATTGGTATGTTGTTTATCTTACAGAAGAGAGCGTTGAGATATCTTTGTAATGCTAACTACAGAGAATCATGCAAACCTCTGTTTAAATCCAAGAAAATCTTAACCATCACTTGTTTGTATATTTTAGAAACAGCAAGTCTCATTTATACTCATCGCAATGACTTTGTCCGGCCTTCTACTAGCTATGGCTATAGTACAAGATCTACCCAGCAAATTAACCTACAGCTTCCTATTCCGAAATCTTTGATTGTTCATAAATCAATACATTATAATGGTATAAAGGTGTTCAACCATCTAACACAAGCAATTAAAATATCACCAACAATGAGATTATTTAGAAAAGGACTACGAGACCTACTTTCTGATAGAGCCTATTATGATTTGAACGAGTATTATTAAGACAGATTTTAGGCAATGATTTTAGGCAATGATTAGCATGTTTCTAACTTAGTATGTTTTGAATAACGAATAACTGTGATAGAATGGGTTTCTTTTTTAATTTTATTATTTTGTTCGGTATTTGTACTTATTTAAACCTGAGTTTTAAACTTTATGTAATTGTAGTGTGTTTCTATTTAATAAGTAACTTATTCAGTCGTGGAGTTTATAGTTTTATGCAAGGAAATACTCAATAAGTTAGGTACCTATATATTTTTTATATTTTTTATTATATTAATTTGTACATTTACCAAAGATTAATTTAGATTTAGATTTAATCTCGACTTTTAAAGTTTGTGTAAACTATGGTGTCTTGTTTTGTCTTATTTAAAACTAATTTATTGGTAATATTAATGTGTAATTTAATTTGATCAGATGGTTATTCTTACCGTTTATTGTAACTGTCAGCAAAGCACAGTCTATTTTTTTTTTAATATACTGTGCTTTAGCTAAATATTAGAGCTGTTAAATTTTCTTACTGTTTCTGACGGTTTTTAAATAGTTTTGTTAGTTGTTAAGTTTTGCTTTGTCCACAAAACAAATTGTAATGTTTTTATGACAATAAAGCACACTATCTATCTATATATCTATAAATTATATACCATCGGAAAGAGCGTTGAATTCTCTATAAATCCATGAAATATTGAGTTTGATAGCTCAGAGAGTTTTTGAGCAATTAAATTTCAAACTTGACTTTTAGTCCAAATTTTGCCAAAAACTTCAAACTCAATGTTCTGAAAAACTATAAACCTGAAAATATTGTAAATCACAGGTCTTATAGAGCTTGATAAAAGCTACAAATGCTGAAAATTTCAATGTAATTTGCTCAACGGTTACCGAGCAATTGAGCGGTGCCGTAACTAGGGCTTGGCGAAGGTGGCATTTGCCACGGGCGCAAGCTTCAGAAGGGCGCAATCTGCCACTAATTGTCAAGCGTGAAGCGCCTTTTGCGCAACACACTAAAACTTTAAAGAGCGTTTTCCGGATTTTATTCTTGATACAGTGAAATAGATATTGATTTATTACAATTTCCAACTCCCAGGGATAAAAATCAAAATTGCATTCCAAGATTAAAAGACCTTCAGAGTCCTAAAGCTGGACTTTCTTGATTCATTGCTTTATTCTGACTCTGGAAGGATTAGAGGTCAAGAAGAGCCTTTTCCACGAATTTCTAACATCCAGAAATAAAGACATTGTGAAAAGGCTTGAGTTTTACTTCTCAGATCCCTGAGGACTGGAAGTTGCCATGAGAGAATTTCTTTTAGATGTTGAAAAGTCAGAAGCGCTTGTCAAGGCAATGTATGACTTGTTAAGAAGCTTCTCAAGGCAATTTCCGCCTCCCAGACAAAAAGCAAAATTGCATTTCAGAGATTTAGAAGAGCTTTCAAGCCTTAAATCTGGACTTTCTTGATTCATTGCTTTATTTTGACTCTGAAAGTTGCCTTTGGAAGGATTAGAGACCAAAAAGAACCTTTTCCAGGAATTTCTAACAATCAGAAACAAAGACATTGTGAAAATGCAATTTTAAATTCACTATTAGGCTTGAGTTTTGCTTCTCAAATCCTTGAAGACTAGAAGTTCCCATGAGAGATCTTTTTTAACCATGTTGAAAAGCCAGAAGAGCTTATCAAGGCAATGTACGTATGTCTTGGAAAGAGAGCTTTCCTGATTTTATTCTTGATACAGCGAAAGATTGATTTATTGATATGGTACTAAAACAACCCAGAAAAAGAAAGAAACCAAAAATGCGTGGTGAGGAAGGATATGATGAGGCCCATCTTTTTCAAAACTCATTTGGAAATTGAACTCTTGCAAGTCATTCAGGCAATTATAACACAGATGGAAGAAAGATTTGTTGTTCTTAATATTCTGACAGCTGATTTCGGTTTTTTTCAATGGTCGCGTGCTATCAAGGAAATTACTCTAAGGTTTCAAAAATTAATGAAAATAAATGAGACCTTTACAAATGTTGCATAGTATATACAATGATAGCACAGCATTATTTATTCTTGATTCTTGACAATATTTATCTCAACATATAGACCAGCTTTAACTACGGCTTTCTTAGTAAGCTTAAGCTTATACAGGGTGTCCGGAATAACTTGAAGTAGGTACTAACATAGGGCAATTTGAATTACAAAATAAATAGGTAGACACTTTTTCCTTTTTTGCCCTGTAGCTATGTAAACCATATCTGTTGCTATTCCGAATTCAAAGAATTTTATGACAGATTATTTGTAGGCACTTGATTGCGTAACTTTTCCCTATTTGGTCCACCCTGTATCTTCAATGGTTTCCAAAATCCCCATGTACATACTTTAAGTTTTTCCGGACACTCTGTATAGTCAATAATTCTCTTCTTTTGTGTTTCCTTCACCTGCTTTTTGCTATTACATAATTCCTATGTTATGTTATTGAGTGATACTTTAAATTCTGAGTATCTGATGTTAATATTTTATTAATTGTCAAATGAAACAGGAATTTTTATATCAGTTACCTACTTTTTTACATGGGATATGGGGCGGAGGCGCAAATTAATAAGTTGTCACAGGCGCAAACAGGTCTAGTTACGGCTCTGCAATTGAGGTTTGAATATTTTGAAATCAAAATTCAAAGGGGGTAGGTACCCTTATGAAAAACTCGATTTTTTGATTTTTTTTAGTTTTGCTCAATTTCGACTTTACCAATCGGCATTGGAAAGAGCATTAAATTCTTTGTAAATAAAGGTACGGGCTTAATAATATAATCAAATAGTCTGCTACTAATTCAAGATTCGAAAATGTCATATTTGGTAAGACAGTTGTGGACTGTAAGAAAACATTGCAAGAAGTATTATCTAAAGAAAATCAATAAACCTATTTATTATAAGTACCTAAGTATTTACTCAAAATACTTCAAGCAAAATACTTGACATAATCAAGTAAAAATCTAAGTATTTTAGAATAGATATTGGAATCACAAGTATATGTACCTACATAACAAAAAAGTAATTCAAGTAAAATACTTAAAGTACTTATACCTACTTTAATATATTTAGGTACTTTAATATTGACAGCTCTGCCCTCTATAGAGGAAAACAATCAGGATGGAGATGAAGACTCTTTTGAAAAAAAGTTAAAAATATAAAATGTTAGTTCAGCTTTGTTTTTATTGTCTTTCCGGTGCCAAATGTATGAGTTCAGAAACCTCATGGTAGAACATCAAGGTATACTCTTAGATGACAAGGAACCTACTGTTTTTTTTACAACACTTTTAGATAACCCATTGCTATTCTGTGAATTAAACAAAAATTAAGAACCATATAAATAGTAAAACACAATCATCTTTGGTTTATTTTCGAAGCACCCAATACCTACTTGTTTTGGTTTTTTTTAATGGTTGGAAAACAGTAATTATTAGCTTTCATTACGTGAAGTTATGGGACAAAATTAGCTGATAACAATGTTTAACATGCACACACTTTATTGCTACTTTTATAATATCTATAAAGCTTATGGTTATCACATTTTTAATGCGAATTAATTAAATCTTTTTCAATTTCATCTAACTGATTTTCATTTTTTTGAGAAATAGTTAAGAAACTCCATTGTGCCAGCAGTGATGATTTATTTTATTTTTTTTTTCAGGAGGAAAGATCCAATTCTGAATACTTCCAGAAGCTGAGACTTTATTTTTGAATTTGGATGGAGAGAAAACGGGTCAGCATCAGTAATATCGACAATGTTGGAACGCTGGATGGCAAAAATAACGAGAAATATGGTCTGGGATACCAAAATACCTTGGTAAGCTACTCTTTTTTTTCCTTATTCTAGTTTTCAAAAAGTTTTGAATTTTTGTTATTGAAATTGACGTCGATTTTGGTCGCTTTGGAGAAAAGTACCTGGATAGAAGGAAAGTTAATAGCTATGAATATTATGGTAATCTTCGTTAACCGTAACTATTTTTGCAACAAATTACATATTATTTAATATGCAAATATTTATGGAATAAACCTCTGCAGTTTTGGTCAATTATTCCTAATCGCCGGGTATTTCCAGGATATAATAAAATTCCAGACCCACCATAAGTATATACAAAACAAAAAATTAGTTTTGTTTGTGCTAAATCAACAAAGCCTGATGCTGATTCTTGGCTTTTGGTATCAGGTAAAGTTTAAATTTTTATTTTCATGTTTGACTTTGTTTTTAATCCCTTCTTAAGTTGCAAGTTATGGCTTCAAAACCATTTTCAATTAATTCTTCAAGAGGCAGATTATGATCGTTTAAAATAAATAAGGAAATTTACATTATAAGTAGCAAGATCGAATTTCTGGGTACCTACGTACATTTTTCTGGGTCAAAAAAATCAAGGACTCCCTAATACTATGGCAATTGAAAAATTACCTTTCCAGTTCGGAATAATTGCACTTATATGGCCAAAATTTTCACACATTTATTACTGGGGCATGAAAATAATGAATTATTCAAACAAAAGCAAATTAATACCCATGAAGTGGATATTTCTTCACGGCTATGGTTTTGTTCTTGAACTTGATGGCGTTTCGCTTACTATTGAACTTGACATTCTTTTTTCCGGTATATAAAATTCCATTCACTTATGTAAGAATTGGATTTTTTTTTTATTTGCGGTTCAAGGAATTCAAAATTTTTTGCAAATAAGTCTAAAGAAATAACAAAACATTAACAAGGTGTATTATAAGAGGGCGATTTATATGCAAAATTTCATTGTTGTACATATATGAATAGTGAATAGACGCCAAATTATTTGGCAAGAGACACCAATTTGATACGCGAACATAATAATAGCACATATGTTATTTGTGTTTATGAAAAAGTTCATTCGTAGTTTGATTTTCGAAATACAAAGTCGAGAAAGTTAAAATTTAGTTGGGAATTTTCTTCTTCCAATTACCTACTGTTGGTTTTGTCAACGAGAATTTTGAATTCTATACTTCAAAAATGGCTTCAATCCTGGGAAATTTTCTTATTTTAATCACAGAAGCATACTGTAGATAAGTGGTTACATTCATATTTTTTCTATTCCAGGCTCTTGACTTTTCTTTATTTCGATAAATTTAAGAGCTGTGGATAGACAAAAATTGAGATGGAAATATTGAGAAATAGAAAAAAAAAGTTCAAGAGAAATTGAGAGAAAAAATGGTAGAAACAAAATCAATCCCAAATTATTGAATTTTCTTCATTTAGAAACATTTAGAAGCAGGAGCGTAGCCAGGAAAGGGGCCAGGGGGCCTGGGCTTCAGAGAAACATATAGAAAAATAATGAAGTATTAGACAAAATCTGTACTGCAAACTGCTCATATCATGAAAAGCTCAAAGGATAGTGGATCTGTGTATATTCTTATAATTATTTCCGCATGGCCCCTTCAGACAAAATCGTCTGGCTGCGCCACTGTTAAGAAGAAACTGTGGAAACTCAAGAGTCTAGAGTAAACAAAAATTGAGAAATAGAGTGAAGAAATGTAAGAAAAAATGAGAAATAATTGATAGATAAGAGGACAATTATAATTTTTCTTTTCTAGGCTCTTGAATTTTACTTATTCAAGAACTGGAAATGAACAAAAATTGATAAATAAAGAGAAAAAGAATCAAAAGAAAGCGAGGAATAAACTAAAATTGAGCTGAAAAAAATTGAGAAATTTTAAAAAAAACTGAGAAAAAATTAATAGAAAAACTTACTGTTGATGACTTCTATGGAACTTTTCCTATAAAAGTGTGTCCTAGTCTATTCGAATAATTTGAGAGAGAAGTGATTTTCTCATGAGATAGTTCATTTGTAGCTTTATTTTCATGATAAAAGTTAAAATTCAGTTGGGAATTTCCTCTTCTTTATCCATTTGATTTCGAATTACTCTTGGTTAGGAAAAACTATAAAGGAGACAATCTTACAATAGGTACCTATAGTTTCTTTTGGCCTATTAAGAGTTCACGCAAGGTCAAACCACTTTAAGGAAGTTATTTATTTATTTATTTCAACCCGTCAAGAGATGGTGACTCGCCATCTAAATAAGAAAATTACCCAATTTAGTTACTGTCTTGGCTTACTTAAAACAATTTAAGCAATTTTTGCATCTAGTCGATTTTCGCGTTTCGCGGGGTGAAAAAGTGTATCCAGTTTTGTGTGGCCAATGAATCAAAAACTATTTTTCATCTCGTATACAAAACATCAGAGTATATTATTTTCGTTTTAACGATATCCTGTTTACTGCAATATAATTAGGAGTAAAAAAACAGCCAATTATTATCAACTATTGTATCAACATATAATTTGAAAATAATTGCAAATTTGTTTATGATTTATTACTTATCTCTGACTTAAAAAACTATTCAGTGTAATCAATTACTGAAATAACAAAGATTTTATATAAATATAATAATTATGGATAAACCATCGACTGAGCTCGATGACGAAAACGAAATCGCCGCCACTGACCAGGATTGGGACGATTTCGAAAAGTTTCTTAGGAAAAAGAAAAAAGACAAATCTGCTCATATGGCTTTATATCCTTTTCCTGCTCAAGACGAAGAATACCAATCGACATTAGTAAGTCAAAATTATTGCAAATTGATTCCTTCTCTTCTATTTCCTATTACAAAAATCTTTTAGTCAAGATTTAGTTGTTTTGTCAGCCTCACAATATGGATGCTAGCTATTGCGTTCCACCCTCAGCTCTATTCTCCCTTAGACTTCTTGGGATCGGAAACAGTAACTCGTTCCAGAAAATTCTCATTAAATTAAATTTTGTTCTTTCGACCTCTTGATTTATCACACAAGTCTGACGAGTCTAGCAGTAGGTACTTTAAAATGAAATTATATTAAACCTTGCTGTGCTATACCTAAATAGCTACCAATTATTGTTTGGTGGGTCTCTTGTAATATATTATGAATATGTATATGTATTCTCTTTCTTTGTTTGGAAAATTCCATTCTGATTTGCAAAAAAAGTCTTTTATTATAGGCCCATTAAAAATGGAATTTTTATGTCTTCATTTGATATTTATTCATATCTCTCAAATGTAGGCACTTGATTTACTGGTTTCACCATCTTTTAGCAAGGTTTGGAAAAGTTCCAATTTTGAAAAAACTTCATATTATTAGCATACCTAATTATTTCCTTGATTGTATTATGGTTTTAATTAAAATTGAATTTTTCTTTGGATGTTTTCTTTTTCTGTGAAACTTTGCAATGTTCTCTTATAATTTGCTGATTCTGCAATGTTTATTTGATAAAATATGCTCTGAAATAGTCACACTATGATAAATAAATAAATAAATTGAGAAAAACAGGAAAAACCTTATCAAAAAACTGAATAGCCAAACGAACAATACAAGAAATGGGGAAAACAACACAGCAATGGAATGGACTATGAATAAGGAAGTTAGTGATAACAAGAAAACTGAGGAAATATGTAAAATGGGTACGTGGAATATTAGAAGTACCTATGTAACTAGAAGAAGAATTCGAAAATACAGACTTGAAACTGCTAGCCATAACAGGAACAAAGAAGAAGGGACAAGGAATGATAAATATGGATAATGGCCATATACTTGTGTACAGTGGAATTAAGAAAGAAGAAAGAGCAGCAGCGGGTGTTGGAACTTAAAGATAAGAATAAATGCATAAGAACTATTATAGTTGTGTATGGACCCAATAAAGACGATTCAATAGGTAATAAAGATAAATTTTGGGAAGATTTAACCATGGCCACAGAAGATGCAAAACGAAAAATAATTATACTTGGAGATTTTAACAGCAGAGTGGGAATAAAAGATGGCACATATAATACAGTAATAGGAAAACATGGCGAAAAGGTTAGGAATAATAATGGAGAAAGCCTGCTTGATTTTTGTGTTCTACATAACTTTATTGTAACTAATACATTTTTCGAACATAAAGAGATACATAAATATACACGAGAGATAGAAAGCAGAAATGAGAAGTCGATAATAGATTATGTATTAGTAGAAAAGAATAATAGAAAGGAAGTATTGGATACCAAGGTTAGAAAAGGACCGGAAATAGATAGTGACCACTTTTTACTTGTCACAAAAATTAGAGAGTCAGTAGAGAATACAAAATATGATTATGAAAGGATAGCAAAAAAAATAGAATATGAATCAGTGAAATCATACAAACTACAAAATAAAGAAATAGCAGAGAGATACAAGAAAACATTAACAGAAAGATTATCTAATGATACATGCATAAATGGAAATACTAATGTAGAAGACATGTGGAAGTATTTTAAGAAAATAGTTATGGAGACAACAAAAGAAATATGTGGCACTAGTAAGAAAACTAATAGGAAAAAACAAACAGCATGATGGACATGGATGGAAGATTTATATAAATAATAGAACAACTTCAAATTATGAAAGGTACAAAAAGAGCAGAAAAACAGTAAAAGATATGGTAGCAGTGGCAAAACGAAACCAATGGGAAGAATTTGGTGAAAAAATAGAAAGAGATAGCAAATGAAATCAAAAACTATTCCACAAAACTTTGAAGTCGTTACGCAAAGAGAAAGTACAAGAAATAAGTTGGATAAAGAACAAAGACGGAGAGAGGCTAACAAATGAAAACGAAATAATGAATGGATGGAGAGAATATTTCCAGAAATTACTAGGAGCCGATGGAATAGTACAAAGTGAAAACAAAGAAAATGACGTGATAGAAGAAAATCAAGATAATGAGGAAAATATAACCATAAACAAATTGCAGGAAATAATAAAGGAATTGAAGAATGGAAAATCACCTGGAACAGATAAATTAACAGCGAAAATGTTTAAGAATCTGGGGGATACAGGAATGGAAATGCTAATAAGAATATTTAATACAGCGTGGAAAAATGAACAGATACCGGAAGATTGGAAAACAGCTCTAATAGTTCCAATATACAAAAAGGGAGACAGGCATGATTGTAATAACTATAGAGGGATAAATCTACTTAGTACAGCAATGAAAATATATGAGAAAATTATAGACAGAAAAATAAGGCATAGAATAGAGAATACCCTCGAAGAGTCACAAAGTGGGTTTAGAAAAGGCCGAAGCATACAGGATCACATATTCACAGTAAAACAAATAAATAAAAAGTTGTTGGAAAGCAAGGAAAAGTATTATATGTGGGATTCATAGACCTTGAAAAGGCTTTCGATAAAGTTCGAAGAGAGAAATTATGGAAAATATTGGAAGAGAGGGGAGTTAATACTAAAATAATAAGAATAATTAAAAACATATACGAGAACAACATAAACTGTGTAATATATAGAAATAAAATATCAGAAGCGTTTTCAAGGCAAGAAGGATTAAGGCAAGGAGGAGGAATAAGCCCATTATTATTTACGATCTTTATTGACGAAATAATCAAAAAATCTTCAAGCAGAATGACAAAACTACACGTGGGACACTGGAATCTGAAAAGAGTAGATGTATCAGAGGGAGCTTTTGCAGATGATGTAATAATTATGGCAGAAAAAGAACAAAACTTACAAAAAAATATAGAAATTTGGAATGCGGTTTGTGAAGAATTTGGAATGAGAGTAAATAAACACAAAACTAAAGTTATGGCTATAGGAGAGAAACAAATGGATATAAATGTACAAATAGATGGAATAAAAATCGAACAAGTAAAAAAATTCAAGTATCTGGGAGTAGAAATAGAAGACAATGGCAGACAAGAAATAGAAATTAACAATAGAGTAGAAAAAACAACAAATATTTACTACATGATGAATTCGGCGTTTATAAATAAAAAAAATTCAAGGAAAACAAAGATAAATGTATTTAAAACAATATATCGACCAATTTCAACATTTGGATGTGAATCATGGGTGCTGACAAACAGACAGAAAAGTAAAATACATGCAGTTGAAATGAAGTATCTCAGACAAGTTAGAGATGTCACAAAGATGGATAAACTGAGAAATACAGAAATAAGAAAAGACCTTGACATAGAATCAACACTCAAAGTTCATTGAAAAGCGACAATTAAGCTGGTGAGGGCATCTAGAAAGGATAAACGACATTAAACCAGTCAAAAAAGTATAGGAATCAAAGATAGAAAAAAGAAGGAAAAGAGGAAGACCAAGACAAACATGGGATGGAGTTATGGGAAGCATACTGCAAGAAAAAGGAAAGACATGGGCACAGGCAAGAAGAATGGCAAAAGATAAAAAACAATGGGCAAAATTTGTACACGAATAAATTTTTATTTAGCTGTATAATGTAATATAATGTAATTGTAAGTGAATTACACCCCTACACCATATATTATGGTACTTATTCGGGGATTCTGATAATATACAATATAATAATCACACTATCATCGTAGATAGGTACTGATGTTTCCAAAACATTACACCCTATGAAACTGAATTATTTTAGAGTTGAGGATGGTTAAAACATTATTTGAATATTTCCGTTGTCCTAGGGATATTATCGAAATTTTAAAAACTTAATGTTTTTATAGATGTATGGCCGGTATAGCCGGCAACTAGGAGAATTCGCCAAATTAGAAGGTTTAAAAGCACAAGAAAAAAGACGACTAAAAGAAGAAAAAGCTAGAAAAAAGGAATTGAGAGGATATCAGGGTAAGTTTTTCATTAAAAATGTCCAAACACAAAACCACATAGGTACATAAATTTTCCTCATGTGCCTACAAAAATGTTTAAAACTTTCTCTAATTGAATAATTCTAAGTGCAACTCTGTTTATTGTTTTATTTTCGCTTTTATATCTATACTGGAAAGTGCATCAAAGTATACTTAGTCCAAATTCTTCAGTATAATGAACACAATAAAATACATTAGAAGGTGAATAAATCAAATCCCTAAATGAAACTTAATTGCTTTATTACGTTATCGTTTTGACTCCAATTAACCATCAGGACAAGATCACTTAACAGGATTTATTAATCTGCACAATCGCTAATTAACAAAAATATTAGATGAAGCAATCATTTATACTGATCCAGTATTTATCAGACATTTCTTCAAAAACTGGTTAAATTTTGTACGCACCGGAAAAAAATATTAAAAATTTTCTAAATGGAACTTATAAATTATTAAGAGAAAAATCAGTGGGTTTGTTGTGATGTTTGTCTGTATTATTAGTTTCTTTCTTTTTGGATTCAAATCTGCAATGGATATAAATTATATAGGCAAGTTATACATATCAATTAATTAATCGATTTATGATTGGGTTTTTGATTAGAATCCTGTTTGGGTTCATACTTTCATGAAAGTATATTAACTTTGGGAGAGGAGGGCTGGGATCTCTTCGGACGAAGTGCAGAACACATAATCTCAAGACAAGTATTGTTTGATTGTGCATTGTGCAATTATGTGTTCTGCGCTTCGTCCTCTAGATCACTAGATTTACGTTGCACTTTTTTAAAGCTCAGTGACTTACTATACATAATTCTTTGTCAAAGGAAAATTAAAATAAAACAATTCCGTTCAACATTTTATTACTGATAACTACCAAAAGAAGCAAGGGTTTAATTAACGTTTTCTTTAAATTAACTTACTAATACAGCATTCGCAAATGCGAAATTATCTTTTCTTGGTCGATTATAAAAGTTAGCTCTGACCATCTTGCTGAATTTCTAATTTGATCTAAAGATATGCCCAGCTGCCATGCCTTTGAAGTTGAGGCGTGCCTTGTCGAATGGGGCTGTTGTATTTATTCCTGATTTAGCCATAATTACTTTAACCCATCTCGCCAATGTTTGCTTTGTTAACTGTTTTGGCTGTCTATCTGATGTGTAAAGAAATTCATTTCTTAAGCTGGCAGTTCTTTCCATGTAACATAATAAGGCACTTGCAACACAGATTTCAGTCTTTTCCTTGAAGAATGGTAAAAATAGGCATGTTTGGTTCATTCCAGGCTTGGAGATTTTGAATTCTGTCAGCGATAAGCACCTGTAATCCCTCCAGTGTGATTTCAGTATTGTTTATTCGAATCAGGGAGATGGTTTGAAGCCTTTGTCCTGTTGCCAAGGTTAGAGGCGTTACCAACTTCCCTCTAAGCTCTCGTAAGCTTAAAGTATCATTGGAATATTTAGCTCCTAAGTAGTTTAGTACCTTTCTTGTATCCCAGGTAGCATTATACTTGGGTTTGCCTGGTCTCAGTCTGGATATTGCTTTCATAAAGCTCCTACCTATGTTGCTTCCAACAGCACCGGGCAATACCAGTGAAAGTGCAGATCTTACCGAATTAAATGACCCATACTTCCAGGTTTTGGAATCCAACATGGATTGTAATAATTTCAGTACCTCTGGTACTCCAGCGGTGTATGGTTCCACAGAGTCTCCACAGAATTTCCACCATTTTTTATATACTGAATCATATTGTTTAATGGTGTTGGTGTTAAGCGACTCTAGATAAGCCTGTGCAGAATCCCCTGGAATTGCGTTGTTTATGTTGAACGCTGTCCTGATAAACTGGCTACTACCAGGGTAAGTGTGTTCGCTAGTGGATATTGTGATCTGAAAGGTGAAGACAAAAGATTAGGATATGGTTGAAGTTTTAGATGTTTTTCTACAAGAAGCTTTTTATATATTGGGTACCAGGCTTGTGAGCTCCAATCTGGTAGAACTACCACACTCTCTGTCTTATCTTGAACAATTTTATTTAGTAACTTCAAGATGAGAGCAAAGTGCATCAAACTTTAAACCTTTCCAAGACACTGAAAAAGCATCAATTACCTACCTCAGAGTCCGGGTCACTGTGCCAAGACACATATCTACAACATTTTGTATTTGCTCTAGATGCAAACAGATCAATTTATGGTTTACCAAACTCCGAGATAACTTTTTCGAAAGCTATTTTTTGATTGAACATAGGCAACAAGTCCAATATTTCGAACTTCAGTCCATTGCCATATTTTTTTTGCTATCGTATTAAGAGATGGGTATTTTACACTTCCCATCTTATTGATATATGCCATGGCTGTAGTGTTATCTACTCTTAACTGTATAGTGATAGAATGATACTCACTAGCTGAGTATCAAAATAAATGGTTTTAAGTTCCAAATTATTTATGTGTAACTGGGTTTCTTGACTACTCCACCACCCATGTGCCTCTATTTTGTCACATACGCCCCCCCAGAGATTGTTACTGTCCTTTCATAGTTGCCCTGAGATTTTTCTAGTGCTCAATATATCTCCCTCTCTATGATGGTTTTATTAGGTACCTATAGATTTTACCATATTTGACAGCAGTACAAATTGACACTAAAAGGCCAGCTATGTGCTTTACATTTAGACTGGTTCTTTAGTTTATATAAGGAATCCTGGATTTTCCTACATCTCTCAGATGAAATTTTGAACATCATATTTGTTGTATCGTAAATGACACCTAAAAACATACACTTTGTTTTGGGTTCCAAGGAACATTTCTCAAAATTAATTAAAAAACCGAGAGATTGCGAAGAACGACTCTCATGAATTAGCAGCCAGTCATCAATATAAGCAACACACGAAATACCTCTGTTTCTAAAGAAAGCTAAGACCGGTCTAATTATTTTGGTAAACAAATATGGTGCAAAAGAAATGCCAAAGGGGAGAACTTGGAACTCATAGCAGGAATTATTAAAATTAAATCTTAAATATTTTCGAAATTCCGGATGAACTGCTACAGTAAAATAAGCGTCTTTCAAATCTATTTTAGTGAGATAATAGTCGGATTGCAATAATTTTGTTACTGTCCTTCCAGCCTCCATTTTAAAATAAGGTGGATCCAGAAATTCATCTAATTTCTTCAAGTTTAGCACAAACCGCTTCTTACCATTAGATTTATTCATCAAAAAATATGATTTTTCATGTACACACATTGTTTTATAGCTCCTAAATCTAATAAAGCCTTAATTTCCCTTTGTACCTCAATTTTTTCCGTATAGGAGAAACTTTTTTTCTCACATTTAGTGGTTTGATGTGGGAGGGATGTAAATGGCATTTTAAAACCATTTATTCAGGCCAAAACCTGCTTCGATACTCCCAAGGATTTCCACTTATGAGTAAAATAGGGAAGCCGGCCAACAACAGGAAGCGATTTTATTGAACTTACCAAAGGCTGAACATTTAGTAGCTTCTTCTCTTTTGATAAGTTGCCTGGTTGGATCGAGGGTTGGGCCTTATCTTCTTTGGCTCGTCTGACGTCCTGCCGTTCCGATGAGATACCTGGTGCGGCCCCGTTATTGTCCCTGTTTCCTCGAAGGGCCAAAATAGTTTAAAGACTGTGACCTCGGTTTTTTAATAGTCGCAAGCTTTAGGTCCTTTGCTGATCTTTCAGCTGCCTTAAAAATCTTGATTTTTCCACCAAATTCTTCACCATATAGAAACTTGTCAACAGGTGTTGATGAGGCTACTTCAATAGCCGCTTTACTTAAAGAGAGGTTGAGCACTGCTCTTCTTTGAAGACTCATCTGGTTTTGTAATAAGCGTAGTTCCTCACGGCATCAGAAATCAATTGGATGTATTTCACTTTTGAGATAAGATCCTTTATCATTATTCAGCATTTTGTTGAGTGCATACACTAATGTACCCAAAATTTTCCCATTCCCATTTTCACTTTGAATTTGGGCCATATATTTATCTTTAATTATATTACCAGGGCCCAATGTAGCCACTATTTCTGGGTTGACAATAGGGGGACCAAGTTCACCTTCTTTGGAACTGAATAGTTGGCAAGGAGAGTCTGTTTGGTATCTTTATCCAGCCCATTAGCCATCAAATGGTTGACCCTTGTTACAAGTTCAGGAGGTAGGTCAAACATATTCATTTGTGGCTGGCTTGGGTCTTCTCCCAAGCAAGATTTAATATTCTGAGGAAGTTCCTCACCCCTGCCATCAACCCAGCGTTCACCTTCCTTCAGTTTTTCTAATTCAAATTCAGTTCCAGGAGGATCAAACATTAGTCTTCGTGTCTTTGGAATGTCTGAAATTAGAGTTTGATATTCTAGGAGAGCCTGGAATAAAATTTTTATTCTTCTCAGTTGAATTTTAGCTCTATGTGGGTGCAAAATTAATTTATTGACGTCCTCAAACCGCTCTATTTCAACTGCAACTTTATACGAATGGCTACGAATCGAAATTTAAAACTTTTCCAGTTCAATTTCTACTCTAGGAGAGCCAGGAAGAGAAATTTTACTGTTTTTCTACTTCAAATTTAGCTCCAGGGGGATCAAGCATTAGTCTTTTTGTCTTAGGAAAGTCTGGAAAAGAATTTTAATTCTTCTCAGTTGAATTTTACCTCTATGTGGGTGTAAAATGAGCTCATTGACGTTCTCGAACCGCTCTATTTCAACTGCAACTCTAGAATCGTCAGGAATCGAAATTAAACTTTTCCAGTTCAATTTCTACTCTAGGAGAACCAGAAAGAAGAATTTTACTGTTTTTCTACTTCAAATTCAGCTTCAAGAGGATCAAATATTAGTCTTTTTGTCTTTGGAAGGTCTGAATTTAGAGTTTGATATTCTAGGAGAGCCTGGAATAGAATCTTCATTCTTCTCAGTTGAATGGAGACTTGGCAACAAAATTCCTGGGAACTTTTTTGCTGAACAAATCAACATATTTCGGAAACTCACTCTCAGAACAGAAGATAATAAAGATCCAAAATACTTTTGTAGAGTCGAGAACAACAATTGTGGTACTAGAAAATCCAAGAACTCAATGATATCCAGAAAGAATAAATTGGTATATTCTAAATGGGAAAAAAACTGAAACTTTCCTGAACAAATCAATCAGAACAGAACCAACATAAGATTTAGAAAATATAGGGACCAAAAGACTTTTGAGAAATTGACACTTGAAGCCAGAGAATCTCATAAATGAACGGATCCAGATGGAAACTACAATCACGAGATTGAAATAGAACGATTTGTAAGGTCAGGATATGGAACCGAAAATCAGCAAACCCTGAAGATAATGACCGACCAACTAGATGACTAGATGTTTAAAAAAGCCACTGATGGCTTTAATCAACCTTATTCTGGAACTGGACCACGTTTGGTAAAACTGAAAATACGCAGAATTGATCATGATGATGAAAGCTGAAAAGACGGATATTCCTTCAGAATTACTACCTGACGAAGGCCAGTCAACACTGCTTCAAAATCATAGAAACCTAGAAGCAATAATCGCAGTATCAGCTTCTATAATGCATGATCAGAATTATCCAATATTTTCCATTATCAATGATGATAAATTTGCCAGCTTTTCTTTACATTACAAATGTACATTTCAATCAAAATGATATATAATAACGAGGGATTGATTGATTTATCTGGTCAGGAAATGTTGGCCATTAACCTATTAATTACTTATTATTGTCAAAACAAAGAGCATATTCTTGAAATTATCTGCTCTAAATATTTGCTATTGCTATCAAAACAAGTCTTGAAAGCTAATTCCAATCAGATATACAGGGCGACAATAATTTTGTTTTGAAAAATATCTGTTTTCTTTCCTCAAAAATTCAAAAACCCAGATTAGTTTTGAATGAAGCAGCGCAAATTGAATTTATTTGACCAACAGGTATTGAAATTCCACAAGTTAAAATGATAATTTTTCAAGAATTCGGGGTGACCATGACTGCAAAACTATTGCTGAACCTCGTCCTATGAAAAATATTTGTTTTTGAGATTTATATGGACTTGTTAATAAGCAACTGGCATAATTTAACCCAATGGTGACAATATTCTGAATGGAATCATACAAGGAACAGATAGGTTTACACAGTTTAAAAAATACCAATAACAATTCCAATTTTTTGTGGATTAAAAGTAGAGGTCCTGTTGCATGACCAGATCTCTGTATGAAATTGTTTTATTCACCCTGTATAATGTTATCATTCACAAGAAAGCATCATTGTAGACTTTCTCACCATTCATTATCTTTTGGAAATCCGTTAAATATTTCAATAATTTCTGTGAAGCTAATGGAGATTCTATCAAAAAAAAAACTTTAGATTTTGTTATACGCGAGTGAAAAATGGGATTTGACAAGGTTTTGGACTGGGCATTTTGGACTAGAGTTTTCGTTCCAAATCGCAGTTAGTGGATGATCTATGTTTTCATCAATCTATCACACATTTTTCAACTAAAATTATAGTTATTCTTCTCTCTTTCAGGTAAATTAGCAAAAAGTATATCATACCTATGGAGACATACATTTGCAAGATTAGGAGAGGACTGGGTTTTCCTGGCACTTTTAGGCATAATCATGGCTGTATTAAGTTTTCTAATGGATACAGGCATAAATATTTGTAATACAGGTATCTACATACATTTTTGATAACCCATATTTTGACCTTCTTAAAAGGCTATTGGCACTTAAACTGTTTTTAAAAACAAACTTATTTGCCAAATGAAAGAAAAAAACAACAATCCAGCTGATAATATATACAAGTTTTTATTTTGAAACTATTTGTTATTTTAAATGCAGAATACTTGATTAATATATAAAAAATTAAATTACTTTAGCAAGAATCTGGTTGTATAATGACTTGACGCAACATCCTGCTGCCCAATACGCTTCCTGGGTATTCCTACCAGTCACTCTAATACTCTTCAGTGCAGGATTTGTCCATTTAGTAGCACCACAATCAATAGGTACCTGTTTCACCAAAATTCTTGCCTAATTTATCTTAAAATCCTGAAAATTTTAGGCTCTGGTATACCAGAAATGAAAACCATTCTAAGAGGGGTGGCCCTGAAAGAATATTTGACGTTTAAAACTTTAGTAGCTAAAGTTATAGGATTGACAGCGACGCTAGGTAGTGGAATACCGTTGGGTAAAGAAGGTCCGTTTGTGCACATAGCTAGTATATCGGCGACATTGTTAAGTAAGCTAGTGACGGGATTTCAAGGAATTTACGAAAACGAAAGCAGGACGACGGAAATGTTAGCTGCGGCTTGCGCTGTGGGAGTTGCTAGTTGTTTTGCCGCACCCGTAGGAGGTAAAAAAAATCTATCATTTCCTGAAAAATCTAATTTCATTTATACGTTTTTTTCACTAGTTGTTCTTATGGCTTTTCATTTATAGTATGTACCTACTTCTTTTATATCTAATCCATTATCTCCTTTTTATCATTTTCATATTTTTACTTTCCATTAAATCTTCATTTGGACGGTTCTTTTGATAGCTGGATTCAAATACATTTTCGTCATTAGATCCTGCATTTTCTTCTACAAGGTCTTGTTTTATCAGATCCAACACCATTAGTTTCATTGTCATTTAATTCTGTGACTTCTTTGATGCTTTCATTTGAATTTTGTATAGAATTTATTTCAGTTTCAATTTCTTCATCTTTAGATAATCATGCTTCATTATTCTGTTTCTGTTTCAGAGGTTTCAAATACACTCTTCTTCCACTATTAAACCTAAATCATCTTCTCGTGAGTTGTATCTATTTCATCTGTATTTGCTTGAACAATTTCTGATTGCTTCATTAACTTTTTTTATAAATTTCTTAGCTCTTTTTTTAGTTTTAATATCTTGAGATTCAATTTTGTCTTTTCCTTCAGGTGTCCTCTTCAGTATAGAAGTAACGACCACTTACTTCGCAGTAAGAAACTATTGGAGAGGCTTTTTCGCTGCTGTCTGTGGAGCTACAACGTTTAGATTATTGGCCGTATGGTTTCAGAGTGCCGATACCGTAACGGCCGTATTCAAAACCAATTTTTACATGGATTTTCCTTTCGATCCTCAAGAATTGTTCGTGTTTGCGCTTATTGGGTAAGTACCAGAAATAAGTACCTACTGAAAATTGATGTATTAAGTGAACGAATCTTAATACATTTATAAATAAGCATCAATAAATTCAATTTCCCCTTTTACCCAGACTAGAATAAAGTCGTACTTAAAACTTGTTTGTTTTAATATGAGCTCGGTGTAATAAAGTATGATTGATCAATTTCGCGATCAATGAAATCTTAATACCTGCACTCGTGTCAGACTACTTAATGCACGAATGCTTAGCAACAGCTTTTAAAACCACTTAATTGATGGGTACTTAATTAATTAAACCGGCTCGTGTTTTGATGCAAAATTTGATTAATGTACAGGTTTTGAGTAATGATTTTCGATATTCTACGTTAATTACGAAAAGAAACATTTTGTTTATGCATGTTTTTATAAAACTAGAATAGGTAGTAAAAAAACTGATGTCTTGAATAAGACAAGAATAATAACCACATTACTCTTTGTCATAGTAGGTACTTACCATTCTTATTAAAAGTCTGAATTCAACAAAACTTGGATTTGACCTGAAATTTTCAACTATTCACTATGATATTATTTATTAAGGTGTTTATATTCTCTTTCATTTATTTTGCAGATTTTCACTAATGTTTTCCTGTTTGACTTCCTAGCATCTCATATTTTATTATTTTTCCAACTTTTCTTTTCCTTTTTTTGGCATCATTTTTTATTATTGTAATTCTTATGATCCTAATTGTGTCAATCAGAATCTGGTGTACTTGTAGTCTGTAGAGTTAAACCTCGAACCCCAAATCCCTAAGATGTCCATTCATCAATAATCATTTAATAACTTTCAATTCTTGTCTATTCCAGGCGCTAGGCTCTCTGAAATAATTCTGAGTTTTTAAAATTGTTCTGAAGCCTTTCAAAATGCTGCTGAAAAGTGTTTTGGAACGTTTTAAATGACTTATTGAAGTTCTAAAGTGTTCTTTCCAACTTGGCTTGAAAAGTTCTGGAGCATTCTAGAAAATTTTCAATAATTTCTTAATTTTTCTGACAGATTTTCAATTTTTAGAGTCCTATTGAAGCTCCAAATTGTTCTAAAGAGTTCTAGAAGGTTTCCAGTTCTAAATTGATCCTAATTGTTTTTCTGGAAAACTTCCGGAGGGAAAATTATGAAACCTTTAGGATAAAAAGAGGAAAATTGGGAGCTCATGATACTAATATTTCAATGTTTTTTAATGAGAAACAACACCATGGGAAATTATTGAAAATCAGCTTGCAAAATCTAAATTACCTAAGCAAAAATGCAATCTCTCACATTTTATTATTTTTCTGGAAAATTACTAAAGGAAAACTTATGAAACTTCTAGAATGAAAAGAGGAAAATTAGGAGCTCATTATACTGAAATTTCAATATTTTCCAGTGAAAAAGAACACCATGGGAAATGAATGCAAATTAACTTGCAAAATCTGAATTAACCAAAAATGCAATCTCTTACATTTTAATATTTTTCTGGAAAACTACTGGAAAGAAAGTTATGAAACTTTTAGGATGAAAAGAGGAAAATCAGGAGCTCGTTATACTAAAATTTCAATGTTTTCCAGTAAAAAACGACACCATGGGAAATTAATGAATATCAACTTGCAAAATCTGTATTAAACAAAAATGCAATCTCTCACATTTTAATATTTTTCTAGAAAACAACTAGAGGGAAAATTATGAAACTTCTGGGATAAAAAGAGGAAAATGAGTATCTCATTATACTGAAAATTCCATGGGAAATTAATGAAAATTAACAAGCAAAATCTAAATTAAACAAAAATGCAATCCCTTACATTTTAATATCTTTCTGGAAATTTACCGAAGAGAAAATTATGAAACTTTTAGGATTAAGAGAGGAAAATTAGGAGCTCATTATACTATAGAATTTCAATGTTTTCCAGTAAAAAACGACACCATGGGAAATTAATGAATATCAACTTGCAAAATCTCTATTAAGCAAAAATGCAATCTCTCACATTTTAATATTTTTCTAGAAAACTACTGAAGGGAAAATTATGGAACTTTTAGGATTAAGAGAGGAAAGTTAGGAGCTCATTATACTATAGAATTTCAATGTTTTCCCGTAAAAAACGACACCATGAAAAATTAATGAATATCAACTTGCCAAATCTATGTTAAGCAAAAATGCAATCTCTCACATTTTAATATTTTTCTAGAAAACTGCTGAAGGGAAAATTATGAAACTTTTGGGATAAAAAGAGGAAAATGCGTGTCTCATTATACTGAAATTTCAATATTTTCCAGTGAAAAACAACACCATGGGAAATTAATGAAAATCAACAAGCAAAATCTAAATTAAACAAAAATGCAATTTCTTACATTTTAATATTTTTCTGGAAATTTACCGAAGGGAAAATCATGAATCTTTTAGGATTAAGAGAGGAAAATTGGGAACTCATTATACTATAGAATTTCAATGTTTTCCAGTAAAAAACGACACCATGAAAAATTAATGAATATCAACTTGCCAAATCTATGTTAAGCAAAAATGCAATCTCTCACATTTTAATATTTTTCTAGAAAACTACTGAAGGGAAAATTATGGAACTTTCAGGATGAAAAGAGAAAAATTAGGAGCTCATTATATTGAAATTTCAATGTTTTCCAGTGAAAAATAACACCATGGGAAATGAATGCAAATTAACTTGCAAAATCTGAATTAACCAAAAATGCAATCTCTTACATTTTAATATTTTTCTGGAAAACTACTTGAGGGAAAATTATGAAACTTTCAGGATGAAAAGAGAAAAATTAGGAGCTCGTTATACTATAGAATTTCAATGTTTTCCAGTAAAAAACGACACCATGAAAAATTAATGAATATCAACTTGCCAAATCTATGTTAAGCAAAAATGCAATCTCTCACATTTTAATATTTTTCTAGAAAACTACTGAAGGGAAAATTATGAAACTTCTGGGATAAAAAGAGGAAAATCAGTATCTCATTATACTGAAATTTCAATGTTTTCCAGTGAAAAACAACATCATGGGAAATTAATGAATGCCAACTTGCAAAATCTTAAGCAAAAATCCATCCATCTCTTATTACATTTTAACATTTTTCTGGAAAACTACTAAAGGGAAAATTGTGAAACTTTTAAGATAAAAAAAAAGGAAAATAAGGAGGTTATTATACTAAAATTTCAATGTTTTCCAGTGAAAAACAACATCATGGAAAATTATTGAAAATCAGCTTGCAAAATCTAAATTAAGCAAAAATGCAATCTCTTACATTTTAATATTTTTCTGGAAAACTACTAAAGGGAAAATTATGAAACTTTTAGGACGGAAAGAGAAAAATTAAGAGCTCATTATACTAAAAGTTCAATCTTTTCCAGTAAAAAACGACACTATGGGAAATTAATGAAAATCAATATGCAAAATCTATATTAAGCAAAAATGCAATCTTTCAGATTTTAATGTTTTTCTAGAAAACTACTGAAGGGAAAATTATGAAACTTCTAGGATAAAAAGAGGAAAATCATGTTTTCCAGTGAAAAATATCACCATGGAAAATTATTGAAAATCAACTTGCAAAATCTATATAATAAGCAAAAATGCAATCTCTTACATCCTAATATTTTTCTAGAAAACTGTTGAAGGATAAATTATGAAACTTTTAGGCTGAAAACAGGAAAACTAGGAGCCGCTATAATAAAATTTCAATGTTCTCCAGACGTTTAGAGACGTAATGCAGACAAAAAAAACGTCTATGCAATCTGGGAAGGTTCTAGAAGTAACTAAGTTTTCCTAATTAAAATCCATCCAATTCAAGCTAGTAGTCATAAAAATCCTCAACACAAAATAGTACAAATTTATCCAAAAAATGCAGCTCTCTTCTGGTTTTTTGCCTTGAAATCTGGAAAAAAATTACAAAACCTTCCCAAATTAAACCTAAAATTACTCTCTTATGGCTTTGGTATCTTTCCATTGTAATTTTGATGATCCTGAACCTGAATCTGGTATGCTTGTAGAGTCAGAAGTTCCAAAAACAAATAATAGGTTTTCCTCTTTGTCGAACTATCATTCTGGAATTATTTTTCAGAGCTTTCGCAGGACTAGGAGGCGCATTCTACGTGTGGGTCCACAGACAATACGTAATGTTCATGAGAAACAGCCAAACAATCAGCAGCTTCTTTCAGAAAAAGTGAGTAAACAATTGTAGTTATTTATTGTCTTTAAAAAACGCATCAAAAAGTATTGAACACTTTTCAGTCGATTTTTGTATCCTGCAATCATTACTCTGGCCGTGTCTACGATCACTTTTCCATTGGGTACTGGACAATTCATGGCTGGTAAAGATTTACTCAATAATTTTATTCTAAAATAATTATGTTTCCAATTATTATTAGGCGATTTAACAACACATACTCAAGTTGTCGCATTATTCAGTAATTTCACTTGGACCAAAACAAATCATACACCTTTTGAGGAGGAAATGATCAAACATTGGAAGACTGAATATACTGGCGTTATATTTTCTTTAACTTGTTTTATGGTGTTTACAGTAAGTAATTTATAAGTACATTTGAAAATTGTTTTCTAATAATTAAAAAAAAAGTTTCTAGCGTCCATAATTTGCTCAACAATTCCTGTTCCATCTGGTTCATTTATTCCAGTGTTCAAAATTGGAGCCTCACTTGGACGTATTGTCGGAGAACTTATGCATATTTGGTTTCCTCATGGTAAGGAATTGAATCCAAATTCTTCATGCGAATTTTAATAGATAGGTACTTTTTTAGGTATGAGATATGGGGGAAATGTAGCCACAATAATTCCTGGAGGATACGCCGCAGTGGGTGCGGCAGCATTTTCCGGTTCCGTCACCCATACCATATCAGTATCTGTGATAGTGTTCGAAATGACCGGCCAGATAACCCACATCATTCCCATAATGATATCTGTCCTAATATCGAACGCAATTGCTAGTTTGCTAGCGCCTAGCTTATATGACAGCATTATTTTGATCAAAAAGTTACCATATTTACCGGATCTTTTACCTAGTAGTAGTGGTTAGTATATTCTAAAATTCTGTAATTATTGAAATTGATACTTATCTTTTTTTATAGGTATGTATACTGTATACGTAGAAGATTTCATGGTACGAGAAGTCAGATATATATTTTATGGTATGACTTACGAGGAGCTGAAACAATTGCTAAAAGAAAATAGACGATTGCAAAGTTTTCCTCTAGTGGACAAACCCGAAAGTATGGTCCTTTTGGGTAGCATTCAAAGACTGCAACTCATTCAGGTAGGTAAGGAAAACGCTTGTAATTCAACCAAACCATATTCACAAACCTAATATATATTTTTTCTAAAAGTTGATTGAGAAGCACATAGGAAGAGAAAGAAGACTGCAAATAGCTGCCATAAGGCAAAAAGAAGCTGAAGAAAAAGCCAGAGAAGAAGCGACAAAACAGGCAGAAGAACGAATTAGAAGGCCTTCAAGATTTCAAGTTGTCCCTGCCCCTGATATGTTGCAAAGGCAACTTTCTGAGAGCCATTTGGAACCACATCAAGTATTAATTTAGACACAAAATAAACAATATTTTATTTTGATTTTTCTAGCACACATACACTCCAAACTTTGGTACCCAACCGAAAAAATCAATTCTAAAAAAAACAAATTCGTTTACACTAAAAGGCTTTTCACCTTTTATGAATACAAGTCCTGGAAGTACTCCATATACTACCGTGACTGGGGCCGAGAGTAGAATACGATCAGCTTTTGAAGCTATTTTCAGGTAGGTGTTTGACAATGCGTTACAATTTTTTCATTATAATATTAATATTTTATAGGAAATCGACACAACTTCAAGATGTAGCTAACAACGAAAGTCAACAGGTGATTGATCAGTCTTTGGATCGCAAACCTCAAATTATTCCCATGAGTCCTAGTACTTCGAAAAAAGTTCAATTGGTAAGTAAATTTATTGAGAGAGGCAGAAATGATTTGTACCAATTTGGAAAACTGGGGAGTGGAGGTTTTTTCAAAATCTTGGGGTAAAAAGATAATAATCACGAGATTATCATACAATTTAGAAGCTCATCATACTGAAATTGAAATTTATTCCAGTAGAAAAAAGCAGGAAGAGAAGAGTAGTGAAAAGTAGGTACAGAGGGTCACTTGAGCCTGGGAACTTTTTCGATACCGTAGGAAAATCGGCGGATTTTGCATTTGTTGGTTTGTTTAGCTGGTTTTGTGCTAGTTTTCACTGGTTTTGTGCTAATTTTCATTTTACTGCTTTACTCTTACACTGGTTTTATGCTGGTTTAGCTGATTTTGTATAATTCAGCACAAAACCTGCTAGATTAGCAAGCCACAGTAAAAACTAGCAAACTACAGCACAAAACCAGCAAAATCCGTCGATTTTACCACGGTATCGAAAAAGTTCCCAGGCTCAAGTGACCCTATAGTTACCTACTGAGAAAAGTTAGAAGCTGATCATAATAAAACTTGAAATTGGATCCAGTGAAAAACAGCAGGAAGAGAAATTCATGAAAATCAAATAAATCATACATCAAAGAAAATGCACCCCATGACATTTTTATGATTTTCTGGAAAATTAGTGGAAAGAAACTTAGAAAGTTAGAAGCTCATCGTACTGAAATTGAAATTTATTCCAATGGAAAAGAGCAGAAAGAGAATTCCATAAAAATCAACTTCCAAAAACTATGAAATGAGGAAAATCCACCTCCTCCCATTTTGATATTTTTCTGGAAAACTAGTGCGAGAGGGCATTTTTGAAACTTTTTGGGTGAATAGAGAAAAGTACGTATAGAGGGTCACTTAAGCCTGGGAACTTTTTTGATACCGTGGGAAAATCGGCGGATTTTGTGCTAGGTTTCAGTGGTTTTGTGCTAATTTTCACGGCTTTCCACTGGTTTTATACTGGTTTTGTATAAGTCAGCATAAAACCTACTAAGGGCCAAATTATGGACTGACTGGTAAACGTCTGGTTGTTACCTAACAGGTACTTTCTATGCATTAGAGAATAGAAAGTACCTGCTAGATAACAACCAGACACTTGCCAGTTGGTCCATAATTTGGCCCTAAACCAGCAAACAACACTGAAAATTAGCGAAATCCAGCACAAAACCAGCTGAACCAGTGAAAACCAGCACAAAACCAGTGAAAGCTAGCACAAAATCAGCTAAACCAGCATAAACTAGCACAAAACCAGCAAAATCCGCCGATTTTCCCGCAGTATCGAAAAAGTTCTCAGACTCGAGCAGGGTTGCCAAGTCGAAAAAAAAAATTATTCATGAGAAAATGCAACAAAAATCATGAGATTCTTAGTAAAAATCATGAAAAATGTATCCAAATCATGAGATCTCATGAAAAATCATGAGAACTGGTATCCTTGGACTCAAGTGACCCTAATAGGTACCTACTGAAAAAAGTTAGAAGCTGACCATATTAAAACTTCAAATTGATCCAGTGAAAAACAGCAAGAAGCGAAATTCATGAAAATCAAATAAATCATAAATCAATGAAAATGCACCCCATGACATTTTTATGATTTTCTAGAAAATCAGTGGAAAGAGATTTCTGAAATTTTTTGGGTGAAAAGAAAAGAGTTAGAAGCACATTATACTAAAACTTCCAATTGATTCAGTTGAAAACAGTAACAAGGAAAATTCATGAAAATCAATTCAATTAGAGATAATGAACCCCCTGATGACGTTTTAATAATTTTCTCAAATACTAGTGAGGGGGAATTATTGAATTTTTTTGGGTAAAAAGAGAAAAGTTAGAAGCTCATCATACTGAAATTGAAATTTATTCCAATGGAAATGAGCAGAAATAGAATTCCATAGAAATCAACTTTCAAAAACTATGAAAGGAGGAAAATCTGCAACTTCCTTCAATTTTGATAGTTTTCTAGGAAACTAGTGCGAGAAGGGCATTTTAGAAACTTTTCGGGTGAAAAGAGAAAAGTACGTATAGTATAGAGGGTCACTTTGAAACTGGGAACTTTTTCGATACCGTGGAAAAATCGGCGGATTTTGCTGGTTTTCTGCTAGTTTTCACTGGTTTTGTGGTAATTTTCACTGCTTTTCACTGGTTTTATGCTGGTTTTGTATAATTCAGCACAAAATCTGCTAAACCAGCAAACAATAACAGTGAAGACCAGCAATATCCAGCACAAAACCAGCTAAACCAGTGAAAATCATCACAAAACCAGTGAAAACTAGCACAAAACCAGTTAAATAACCAGCATAAAACCAGCAAAATCCGTCGATTTTCCCACGAAAAAGTTCCCAGGCTCAAGTGACCCTATAGGTACCTACTGAGTAAAGTTAGAAGCTTATCCTGCTACAAATTCAAATTGATCCAGTGGAAAACAGCAAGAAAAGAAATTCATGAAAATCAAATAAATCATAAATCGAAGAAAATGCACCTCATGACATTTTTATGATTTTCTGGGAGAACTACTGGGAAGAAAATTCTGAAATTTTTTGGGTTAGTTAGGGAGGGGAAATTTTTAAAACTTCTGGTACAAAAAGAGAAAAGTTAGGAGTTTATCATACTAACATTTCAAATCAATCCAGTGAAAACAACAACAAGATATGTTCATGAAAATTGATTAACTTGAAGAAAATATACCCCCTGACATTTTAATGATTTTCTGGAATACGAGTGAGGAAGAAAATGTGAAACTTTTTGGGTTAAACGAGAAAAGTTAGGAGCTGATTTAACTACAATTTCAATAATTTGATTCAGTGAAAACAGCTACAAGAGAAATATTGTTGATCTAGGGAATAAGTAGCTGATTATAAGTTCTCTGGCAAATCAAAGCAGTTTAAGTGATTTATACATTTTATTCATCTCTAATCATCTTCTTGCTTCAAAGTTAAATGAAACTTGAATGCATTTAGTCTAGACAGAATACATATTTCCTCAATTAATAAAAACACGATTATTTCTAGCCAAAAGAACGAGTTTGCGACATGAGTAACGAAGACCAAAGACTATGGGAGGAAGAGCAAATGGCACTTTCTGTAGATTTCGCAAATTGCCACATAGATCCAGCCCCGTTTCAGTTAGTGGAAAGAACCTCTCTTTTAAAAGTCCATTCCTTGTTTTCTATGGTTGGAGTTAACAGAGCTTATGTAACGGCTATTGGTATGTGTACTTAATATTTGGATTTCAACAATTAAAAAGTTTTATTTTAGGTAAGTTAGTCGGTGTAGTAGGCCTCAAAGAACTGAGAAAAGCCATCGAAGATGCAAACAGTGGGAATATTCCTCAACAAACTGATATTAATAGCAATGGCACGGTTAGTGTGAACGATGTTAAAGAGCCTTTAGATGACGTAGATGCTAGTACTCAATTAGTCTCTAAAGTTTAAAAAAAAAGATTATCCCAGGATCAAAATAAGTTCCTATATAAGTGAATTAAGTAATTCTTTTTCTAAAGTCAAAAGTAAGGGGATTCCAAATGCGGGTATTCTTTTTTTTTGAACTGGAGATATGTAAAATTATTCCACCTACTCTCAATATATTTGTGTAAGTAATTTTAGAGAACTAACTTTTTAGCTGCTAGTATTAATAAGTAGTATTATTGCGATTGTCTTTATTGTACTCGTTTGTTGAAGTTTTAGAAATTGTTTTATGCTTGAGTCCGGTGTCTAATTTGAACAAAGATTGTGTATAAAGTGAGTATATCTCTATAGAATTTGTTGACTATTGACTAAATTAGAGCTTTAGAAATCCAGTTAGTTATATGTGTCATTGAAAATGATTTTTAAAAATATTGAATTAAATTTTTTGCAGCTAAAAAAGCAGTTCACAATATTTGGGAGCAAATACGTCTACAAGTTCAATAAAAAAAAGGAAGGAAATTCTAAAAATGTCTTTTGAAATACCTACTTTGAAAATTTATTGCTATTGCTATTGATTTATTCTTATGATAGCGATTTTCAAAAATTAATTTTAATTTTAAAAAATATCCTTGATGGAAGAAGATTGTTGCAAAATCTGCAATAAATAGAATTGCACTTTCTCCCCTAATAGATATATAGATAGGTACTTCTTTGTAATAATTTCATGATAGTAAGGCGAATTTATTTGATGGTAAAATGTTTTCATTTAATGAACAATTAAGTCACTTATCAGATTATGTTAAGCAAAAATTAACAAAAATATTGTAGATATAAGTTATTTTTAATACATAAGTGAAATTTTCCATCATTATTATTGATGGGAGTGATATCTGGAGGTTTTTCTAAACATTGTTGTGATAGTTATTTACGAAAAGAAAATTATAGGTAGACTATTTATATATTTTTTGTTTCCAAATAAACGTTATTGTTAGAATATAAGAAAAAAAAAACTGCATTTGTGTTTTATTTAAATCAATTAAGTAAAGTGGGCTGATTGGGATTGATACTTTGAGAAATGTTTTCAGTAATTGCAAACTGATAAAAGAGAGAGATGCTTCTGAAATTAAAAACTGTTCGAGTGCTTGAAAATCGAGTTGAAAATAAACAAACTTCAGATTTCAATGAGATTCCAATTCCAACAGTTTCTTTTCTAGTTCTGCAACATAATCAGATTTTTAAGAATTGCTGATGTTTCTCTTTGAGTTCCAAAGAAAGTTTCTAAGATTTCTCCATTGCTAATAAGACTAATTCCTGCTGGTACATACTTCGTAATTTCTTTATAACTTCTATTTTTTGCAAAGTCTTAAACGTTTTTTTTATCTCAAGTTATGCAGTCTGATTTTTTTTTTACCCACTTCAACTTGCAAATAAATTCACTTTTCCCAGAGCTTGATTCCCCATTCTCACATAAATTCTTTATATTTTTTTGCAATTTTATTAACTTCATAATATCAATAACATAAGATAAATGGGTACAATAATAAAGGCAAACAATAATAATTAATTCTTATGCTATTTGAAAATATAAAATAAGTAAGAAAAGATAAAGATTAAATTATATACTATTGATAAAAGTGTACCAATATTAATAAATATTTATATTACATCACAAATACTTTTTCCGCCTTTTTATAAGGAAAAACTTCTTTGGTTTTGGGACATTTCACCTGGCCGTCATTCTCTTTGGCCATAAGAGCTAAAGCCTGTTCCCCATAAACATACCCATTGGGCAACATCATTGGCTGATTATTTTCATTCAATGGTAAACCTGTCAAATAGCAATACAACCCAGATTGGGAACAATGAGCAAACGGAAGTTCTTCAGCTAGCTTATTGAAATCTTCATTGCAAACTGGACAGGCAGGGTTTTTGGACTCTTTGTGTTCAGAGTAGCACTGGGGTGTTTTCAAAGCTGACAGGCCTGCTTCGAGAGACACTGTAAATCCAGATTGAGAAGCCAGCTGGAACAATCTATAATTCTCTTGACGGAATTGTTCAATTAGATCTGTCCACCTTGATATATCAAAATATGTTGCATATGGTAATAGTTGTGTATTGATTGGGAAAACCAATAATGCCATAACTCTCTGCAAAAAATTATTAAGCAAATTCACATTAAAAAAACAAATTTTAGACCTGTATCTTTGGTAAATGTTCCTCCTCAAACCCAGGAAAATGTTTGCGGGCATGCTTAACAGCCTCAACTCTACAATCCTTCCTAATCAATTCAACAAATTCTTGCACTCTCAAGTTAAACTCCATTGTGGACTTTAGCTTTCTAAGTTTCGATTTGTTTTCGTGGCACCACGAAATGCATTTTTGTGTTTCATGATTCGTTAAGGATTTTTCCACTTCGCTTGAGTTTAAAAAAATGTCGATATTTGTGAAATCTTTTATCTCGCTCCGTTCGGCTAGTAAAAGTGCTGACTGATAAAATCCGTTGCGCAAAGAGTATTCGACAACCATCCTGTCCAATCTTTTTCTGCGCCAATTGGTTAAAGCACCTGAAATATTTATTTATTTATTTATTTATTTGCACTTCCAATGGACAGCAGCTTAATTTTACAAATATTGCCATAATAATAATATTAATATTAATAACAAACCACATATAAATAAAAATTTTAAAAAGAGTACATACAATAAATTATTTCTAAATTAAAAAATTGAAAGGACAACAAAAAACAGCCAAAAACAGATCACAGAGTAGATCACTAGATTACAAAATAATATCACAGTGATAGCTTCATTTGGTGCAAAGACGCAGCAAATATGTCCACCTGTATCTCATTGGCATAAGACATAGCCCAATTAATGGTTGTGTGTTGGCCATAAGAGGTACAATGTCTCTCCAACGAAAAGCAGCGCACAGCTCTAAAATTCCTCACTGGGACATTCAAGTTTACAGCCGAGAGCAACTCAGGGCAATTCAGATAACCTCTGAGCAACTTAAAAATCAATAACTGATCAAATTTTCAACGTCTATGCTCCAATGTTTCCAATGACAAATTCTGCAAAAGCTGACCATGATCAATAAAATTTGAAGGTATTCCCATTTTGTACCCTATGTATCTCAAGAATTTTCTCTGTACATGTTCAACCAATTCAACATAAATTTTATAATGTGGCTATTATTTTCAAGATGGGAACGAGCCAATGACACATACAAGCACTTGAGAGCAGAAATGTTCTCAGAGTCTCTTGTGTGCCTCTTGATAAAACCCAACATTTTCAATGCTTTATTACAATATGCATAAATGTGTTCAGAAAATGATAATTTTGCATCGAATACAACACCTAGGTCACGAATACTAGAATTATTTTCAATAACATTATCATTTATGTGATAGTCATTTAGTTTGGGAGAATTTTTCCTAGAGAACTGAATATATTTGCATTTCTTGCCATTCAATGTCATCTCATTCTCAACACACCACTCATGGAACCTCAGAAGATCATCCTGCATTCCCCTGTCTGGGCCTTCTTGATTTATACTCTTCAAAATTTTCAAGTCATCGGCATATAATAAAAATTGGACATGATGGAAGCAAGACCCTATGTCATTGATAAATAAGCAGAACAGGAGTGGTGCAAGATGACCCCCCCTGAGGCACCCCAGAAGTAACACTAATAACCTCAGATTGAAATGACTTTACCTTTACAATCTGGCTTCTGTCTACAAGATAAGAATACAGCCATTGAAGAAGTGAACCACATACACCATATTTGGAAAGTTTTTCTATCAACAATGCATGACTCACCCTATTGAAGGCCTTGGAGAAGTCAGTATAGATAGAATCTACAACCTGACCGGCTTCCAAGGCCCCCGATATGGCTCGTTCATACACTAACAAATTTGTTGTTGTAGATTGACCACTGGTAAAACCATGCTGTTCTGGAATTATTTTATTTTTAAGTTTTTCAGTTAAAAAATCGTTTACCAGTGATTCAAATATCTTTGGGAAATGAGATAATAGTGTAATAGGGCGATAATTTTCAATATCTTCCTTATTGTCAGAGTTTTTAAAAGTCGGACATACAAAAGATAGTTTCCAATATTTTGGAAAGACTCCAACAGACAATTATTTATTATATAACAGCCACAAGGGTCTAGATATAGGCTATTGACTATGTCGAAAAAAACGGGGGTAAAAGGAACTAAGACATTAGTGGAATTTTATTGTTTAATATGGTCAATTGGCCCCCAAAGATGATAAAACCGCAGAGTGCTACCAAATATAGGGGTGCAGTTTTAAGAGCGGGGGGAGTTTGTCAGCTTTTTGGGTCTTCGGCTATAACTCAAAAACTATGCATTTTTGGTGAATAAATGCATTGAGGTTTTTCGTAGAGAATAAAATTTCCTATCGAAATGACATCTTTTGAAGTCCAAGAACAACAAAATAAATCCAAAAAACAATTTGAAAAAAAATAAAAAAATTAACTTTTTATTTTTTTCTTCAATTTTTGCCCGGGTTTTTGCCTATAACTTTTTTCTGCGTTGACTTAAACACAGTAATTGCCTCATGAAAAATGAAGCCTATGTAATTTTCGTGAAAATGGCGGCTGGTAGAAGTTCATACGATGAAAAATGACCGAGATATAGGCATTCAAAGTTAGCAACTTTTTATCGATTTTTCAACTTTTTGCCTTTATATCGTCTTATTTTCTATTCTAGCATGCTAGATCAATTTTTGTTCAATAACAAATTATTTTGCAATAATTAGTGTCAATTTAAGAATAATAATGTCGTAGAGATGAACTTTTCATGAATTTATTTTATATACATTGTAAAATTGATATACATATATGTATCATGTTACATCATTATGTCAAAATATTTTCGAGTTCAAGCCATATATATGCTGTGCAAAATGTCTAACAGCCATATACAACATCCTCTTTTAACTTAAAAGCGCTTTCAAAAACTTGTAACTTTCAAAAAATCGTATTCTTCTTTTGTAATCCATACAAATTTTTAAAATTCACAGTTTTCAAAGTCGCGTTAAAAGTTAGAAGAGGCAGTAAATCTCGCAATTCCAAAAAAAGTATATTATTTACCGATGATTATATTAGCTTAAATTTATAAATTTGGATACGTTATTTGAATTTGAGTAAATCCATCTACTATTGTCATTTATTTATTGTAAAATAGTTTGTTAATTGAATAAAAATAAATTTACCACGCAAACAAAGAAAATATCACGATACGATAGCAAAAAGTTGAAAAATCGATAAAAAGTTGCTAACTTTGAATCTCGGTCATTTTTTATCGTATGAACTTCTACCAGCGCCATTTTCACGGAAATTACATAAGCTTTATTTTCGATGAAGCAATTCCTATGCTTAAGTCAACTCAGAAAAAAGTTATAGGCAAAAATTGAAGAAAAAAATAAAAAGTCAATTTTTTGATTTTTTTTCAAGTTGTTTTTTGGATTTATTTTATTGAAAAAACAAGTTCTTGGACTTCAAAAGATATCGTTTCGATAGGAAATTTTATTCTCTACCAGGGTTGGAAAACCTCCATATCGACGCCTTAGCAAAGAAATTAAGTTCGGCCTGTTTTGCACTGAGATCTGTTTCCAGGGAGCTTAACTCGGCAACTTGCAGGATGGTATATTATGCTCTTTTTGAGTCGCATTTGCGTTACGCCCTTCCATTCTGGGGCACGTGTTGTGCGTCTCAATTTGAACGCATTTTTAGACTGCAGAAGAGAGCTCTTCGTTATTCTTTGGGACTTGGTAGTAGAACTCACTGCCGGGAATTTTTTATCAAGTCTAGTATATTGACTCTTCCATCTTTATTTATTTTCGAATCCGTCTGCTTAATTCGTAAGCACTTAATATCAGCTATCTCAGAGAGGCCATCTCACAATTATCCACTGAGGAACGCAGAGTTGGATCTTTATCTGCCAATCCCGCGCTCAGAGTTAGTTAAAAGTTCAATACTTTATAATGCTAAAAAGATGCATAATCATCTACCGCCTAACATCAGGTCCATTGCATCTTTTCTCGAATTTCGCAGGGCGTTGAAGGTGTATTTACTGAGGAGAGCCTTGTACACAGTAAGCGAGTTGTTTATGGTTTCTTAATTCTAAATTTTGAGCAGCTTACTCACAGGTTTTGTTTTTGTTCCTGTATCATGATAGGTTATTATAAGTTATTGTTTGTTTGTTTTTTTAATACCTATAATATGCTTACTTGCACAGTATAAGCAGTTAGACCTAGATGTTTGTTTGTTAGTTTTAATCAAATTTTGACCATGAACTATTTGTTCAAGTGTTTGGTTTTGTCCGAGGGGTGTTTCACGATCGGCATTGGTGTACAAATTTACGGCAATGATTACGGCAGTCACAGTGAGAGTAATGATTTAGGGGCATTGAATAGATAAATACTGGAAATTGAGGCAGTGATCGCGGAATTGACGGCATTGAATTGATTTCGGAATTGACGGGATTGATGTCAGAATTGACGGCATTGATGTCCGAATTGACGGCATTGATGTTGGAATTGACGGCATTGATATCGGAACTGACGGCATTGTGTCGGAATTGACGGCATTGATGATGGCATTCTTGACATCGATGGCGACATTGTCGGTATTGACAGAAATGTTCGCAGCAATCGCCACAGGCATTGACTAGGCAGTGTTATTAAACATTGCCTAACTTAGGCAGTGATGTACACATTTTTGGGTAGGTGAAACACCCCTAGGTTTTGTCTGTGCTTTTGCATTTGTATGTTTTGTTTTTTATTTTTTCAGCTTTGTCCACAAAATTGTAAAATTTTCTGACAATAAAGCAAATTCTTTCTTTCTTTCTTTCTAAACCCGGGTTTTTTTGAAAAAGTCCAACCCATCGGGTTTTTTTGGGTTTTTATGGTTTTTTTTTTGGGTTTTTTCGAGCTTCCCGTTTCGTTTTTTTCTTCAAAATTTGATTTATAGTTTCTGCTCTAGCAAAAGTATTACAAAAATTATGACTTTTGTTGCAAAAATAAAATATCCTTACAAATTAGAGCAAGCCAGTTGATATAGATAATTACACTTGGCATCAATGCACTGCACCGCGCCTCTGGCTGGTCCTGGCCAGCCCAGAGACTCCGTGTCATGTAGTATTCTACATATCGACAGGATTCTATAGGCTCGGCACATTCGATATGTCGAATTCACATGGCACGGGAGTCTCTGCCCAGGCCTCCACGCCAACAGCGAACAGCCAGGAATTGAGGAATCATCGGGGAATCCCCGATATTTTCTGTGCCGCTCATTCAACTGAAAATTTGCTATTTTTAAAAAAACCCAATAATGGTGGGTTTTATCAATTGAAAAAACCCAAAAAACCCCGCTGGGTTTTATAACCTGGGGAAATTCTAAGCCAGCCCTGTTCTCTACAAAAAACCTCAATGCATTTTTTCACCAAAAATGCATAGTTTTTGAGTTATAGCCAAAGATCCAAAAAGCTGACCCCGCTCTTGAAAATGCACCCCTATATCTGGTAGAACTCCGCGGTTTTATCATCTCTAGGGACCATTTCAACATATCAAAAAATAAAATTCCACTAACGTCTTAGTTCCTTATTGAATGACATAGTCAATAGCCTAATAAGGCTAGTGCACAGTTCTTAAGAAATGTTGGAGGTATTCCATCAGGTCCTGGTCCTTTATTTATATTGATGTGACTCAGCTTATTGAAAACTTCACCAATGTTAATAGCGAGGGGTCAACCACTCTGTGAAAATGTGTACACATATTGCGAAAATGACCGTATTTCGTAAGTATTTCGCGAAATTCAAAGTATTTTGGTGGTGGTAATTCAAGCCTAGTTTTTTGTGGTATTGCCGAGTACTTCGAAATATTTGCAGGTAATTCGAAGTATTTCGAGGTAATTTGAAGTATTTCGCGGTAAGCCGAGGTATTTCGAGCTATTTAAAAAAAAAATAGTATTTTTTTTCATGTACCAAGAACAATTAATTCTTTCACCTAATCATCTGAAATTGAAATATTATAGAATGAAAATTATAGTCCATTTTCGAACAGATTAAATGGAGGGCTAAATATGTTGACATAATTTGGATTTACTGCAGATTGATTGAAACAAATGGAAAGATATACTACCTGATATGTATAAGTAATCAATGTCAGTGTTAAATAGTACAAGGTCATCGGTCATCTAACGAGGACTGAACAGGGGTTGACAGAATATAATTTTTGACTTTCCCTGTATTTTTGAGAAAATTGAAAATAGCCAATTGGAACATTTTTATCTGGAGAACTCAAAAATGGTATCAAAAAATCATTTGAACCAAAAACCAAAGAGTTATGCCTACCATGGATGAGGATAGAATAGTCTGTTTTTTGCGAGGTTTTTTGTATGATTTTTGGAGAAGTCGCACTTTTTCACATGCATTCTGTTGAAAATATCTGATATTCCGATAGCTGTTTTTATTTCATTTTAATGTTTTATTCTTATTCCTGCAACTATTGATTTATTTGTTGTTTGTGTGTCCGAATAAAATTCATCATATCAAAAGACACAAAAATCCGAGCAAACATTTTTCAATGCGATCCACAAGAATCGGTATAAACAAGAATTTTTTTAGAAGTATTGCGAGACTTCGCGCGGTAATTCGAGGGTATTTCGGGTACTTCGACGGTAATTCCATGGGATTTCGCGTACTTCGACGGGAATACCTGGTATTTCGAGGTACTTCACGGTATTGCTAGGTACTTCGAAGTATTTCGGAGGTAATTCGGGCCAAGTGTACACGGTAATTTATTGATATGCACCATGTCTCGAAAAACAACAGGTTCACAACTGCCCACATTACCCATAGGACCAGCAGACGCGTAGACCGATGCAAAGTGCCTTGCAAAGAGATTTGCAATACCTTCACCATCAGACGCCACGCCCCTCGATAATGGAGTGTGAGTGGCAACTCTCTAGAATGAGTTTTAGAATGGGTGTATTTCCAGAAATTTCTGGGATCTTTTAATAAATTATGCTCAGTTCTCCCAATATAATCAAAATAACATCTTTATTAATTTGATAATAATATTGAGAGAAATAAGCATTGACAATGTTTGCCTTAAACTCAACTCACCTCCTGTAAGTGTAGATTGGTCCTTAAGATGGGCCACACGCCTCTTGCAAACATTAGTAGCATTTATTTCTTCCCCAATGCTTTCTTCAGCTTTGCGCTTTAAAACTTGAAGCTTCTCTACCATGCTATCTAAATGCTTAGTGATTTGGCTCGCTTTAACTTCATTTTTCATCAGACATTTTTCTGCTTGAGCTACACTTTGCTGGACGTGCGAAACTTCTCTGTCCAAAGTTTTTTGAGCCATACGAAATTTCTTATTCAAAATTTCGTAGGGGACTTTCAACGTAGGATGTTCCAAAGATTTTATGTCTGCCATTTTACAATAGTTCACACACTGCAAGACTGAAATTTAACATTCAGAACAATAAAATAATTATTTAATGTTTGTTATGCTATCAATTTGTTTTTATTTAATTAATTAATATTTTAGCAGGGATCAGCTGATGGAGGTGGATGAAATTTGACAGAGTTTTCGTTTGGACTTGCTCGATTTGCTCTTGAACCCAATTCCAATAGGAATTAAGGAATTTCACTTGTATCTGCTGGATCAGCTCCAAGCAAATGTTAAAAATAGGAATAAAACAGTCTCACGAGATTGATTAAAATACTGCTGTTCAATTTTGTGAAAGAGTTCAGAACTAAACAATGAAAACCCCTATTCGATTCCAGTTCCAGTGCAGTATTTAGATTCTTTATTAATCCTCATTTCGAAATTTGAATTTACCGCCTCTGACAATAGTTCCCAAAATTTCCGCGGCTTGCAGCAGGGCGCATGACGCATTTTCAATTCAAAATTCAAAAATAAATAAGTAACTTTGGTACTTATCTCTGTTTGGTACTTACTTAAGTCTATGTACTATTATATAGATTCAAATAAACCCTATATGCCTGAATTTGAAATCTCGAAATTTGATATTAAAGTCGGTGGTTGGCGTAGGACCGGAAGTTGAACGGGATGAAAAGACGTTTACCCATAATGCCCTCCTGGTTCATGTTAAAAACTCTTGCCGGTCTTCCAGTCATTGAGTGAAAATTGCCTGTTAAAAGTGATTTCCAAGGGGAAAAACTGCAAAAATGGACCATAAAGGTAACTATTAAATTAAAATCTATCTATTTGCGTTCATTGTAAATTTCCTTCATTATTTCCAATGACCATTGCTCTCTTTACCTACTGAACTTGGGGGCTCCAACGCTTTCTGAACCGACATAGAAAAAAATCACAAAATGGCGAATTAGAAATCCGTATAATGTAAAAATGCGAGGCTTTTATCATAATTTTTGAATTGAAGATAATTTTTCAAAATAATATTGCGATTTTGTATGCTTTCCTTTAAAATTGTATCGCTAGATGGAGCCAGTTACTTCCATTTCGATATGCGGCCGCCATATTCTTGCTCATTTTCAATATGAATATATACGATTTTAAAAGATAACCAATCAAAAAAGACACGAAACAAACATCACAAATGCTTGACCATTGCCGCTATATATTGAATCCTGCATTTTTGTGGTTTTGATCCAAGGTTGTTTCAAAGAGGGAGGTTGCCTGATAACTTTTATGACGTCATCTGTTATTCTGTATGCCTATACCATGCAAATCTGGCAAATCTACATACATAAAAACCACCTGATGACGTCATCTGTTTGCTATTACCAGACCAAGGTTGTTTGAGAGATAGGTTGCCTGATAACTTTATGACGTCATCTGGGGTGTCTCAACCAATGATATTGCCTCAAAACCATGCAAATCGATCTCGAGTGTTGCCAATTAGCGTGTAATATCACGATTTGCGTGTATTTTTTGAACATAAACAAAAAGCGTGTAATTTGAAAAATTTGACATTCTCATTATTTTTATTCTGTTTCACGGCTTCCAAATCTAAAGCCACGGCTTCAATGTGACATAAATAGGACTTGACGTTTACTCTTCCCTTACCTCCCTTTGCTCCTTAGTTAAGTTCGGAATGGGATTTCAGTGCAGTGCTAGTGCGGTGTTCGTCTAGTGCAGTGTTATATCACGTGATGAAGGTGTTATCGGCAGTGTAACACCAAATACACCATCATTTTGTACCGGGTAAACGGTGTCCCACTATCTTCATATCGGGTCTTCAAAAAAAAAACCAATCGAAGATTGCTTTGCTTACGAAAACGTACGTCGTATTACTGTTTGTTTATTGGTCAGGATCTTTGACATGACATTTTGACATTAAAGTCATTGACAAAATGACAGAAAAATTTTGCCAAGACATACGTTTAAAAAACCATAGCAATCTTCGATTGGTTTTTTTTTTGAAGACCCGATACCATTCGGACAACAACTTATTTCCAAACGCACATAAAGTGTACACCAAACTTACTCCTACCAATTAATGAATGCCATACATAGTGTCAATAGTGTAAAAAGTGTCAACACTTTCTACCATTCCGAATTCACCTCTTGCATTCTATTCCATCATCTTTTGTCTGTCAAATGGCCTGTCAAGTGACTACCCTTATGGCCAAGGATAATACACATTACTAAGGATTGCTAATCGGCCTCGTTTTTGGGAATCGCGGTCATATGATGTAGGTAGCACCATTGCCAACGTCATTAACTAAGTCATCAGCTGTTTGCGCCAGCGGTCGTAGTTTAGAATTTGAATTTTTGATGGAAAATATTATTTAATTTTGACGAACAGGAAGATGCAAACGAGATATGAAAAAGAAGTGTTTTAGAATGTCGATTAATGCCGTGAAACCAAGTTTGCATAAAGCTCGCGGAATCATAACCTGTGGTGCGAACACCCTACGTCAAGACGAGAAACGACACGCTGCCTACGTCATCACTGGTGCTTTGGCATGGCGGGGGGCTTGAGATTGAACTACACAGGCCTTATGAGGATAATCTATCTTGTAGTAGAATTGTCAGAAAACTGAGGTCCTAACAAAAGTAACAAGTAACCACTTTTTCTTTTCACGATTTCTTTCGAACCGCTTTTCTGTCGTTGCCATATCTTTATTTTTGGTTGAGGAGCGATGATCAGAAACACCATTCTTCAGATTTGACTGGATTTTCAGAAACACCATTCTTCAGATTTGACTGGATTTACCCCAAAATCATAAATCACAAAAAAAAAAATTACAAAGTCTGTTTTTTTTTTTAAGATAATTCCCCAAGTCAAAAATTTAGTAACTATGTTGGCAACACAAGCCTTTTCTACATAAAAAAATTTGAAAGATTGACAATTTTACATTGTATTGCCAACATAATGTCATTTTGATTTTTATCTTTAAAAAAAAACAGATTTTACTTGCTTCTTGATATTACAAAATAGGTACCAAGATCGTGTCTAAAGAACGTGTAATTGTGAGACTAAAAGCTCGACTGAAAGCCTGTAAAAACGTGTAATTTGACCCAGCATTTCGCAAATTCAGATTGGCGACACTACTCCATAGACACCCCAGATGCGTCATCAAATTACCCATTACCAGACAACCTATTTATTCTAGGAACATATTGTCCATCGTTTTTAATCTGACACTTTCCGTATGAGGAGCGTGGGGGTGAAACTTACGGCAAAAACAGGTGTGACGTCAGGTGACTATTGGCGTTCTAACAGGGAGCCACCAGCTCACATTCCTTTGGAGTATCAGATTAAAATCGACGGACTGTACAAACCAATGAAATTTTGTACAAACCAAGTTTTTTGTTATATGGTTTTTTGCATCAATATTTTAGGTTATATAGTTTCTCAATAGCAAGTCACCCCCGAATTAAGCATAACTCCAAGGTAAAGGGGCATAACAACTGGACACGCTTTCGCAGGCTCCACTCGTAGCGACTGCTTACGATTTATCGCGAGTGTATGTGGAATGTACGCTACTGCATGTAACTGCACAGAATTTATTACGATTGCAAGCGACTGTATTATGACTGCATGCGACTGTATTATGACTGCATGAGTCCATGTATTTCATTGACTGCATGAGAATGTATGGACTGCAGAAGAATGTATATGAACTGCATGTTATCTCAAAAACTCTTGACGACACTTAAAAAAACACTAATTTATTTTAAAATACAGCAGGTTACAATTATATTGGACATTAACTTAACTGACTCAATAATGACGACCTAACTAAAAGAGACAGGGTCTTCTATATTTTAAAACATGTTGATCTTGCTGTTTCTAAGGGAGCGTTGCGACGAAGGAACAGTTTTTGGCGTGACATGTTCAGACAGGATAACTTGCTGGAGAAGCGTCTAGACTTTGCGATACTTTGTACTACCGTGGTGATGAAACGCGTCTGCAGGTCCATTGTAGTCGTGAAATCCATATAACATGCGCATACATAAATGTATGAAACTTGTACCACCTCTACTGCATGAATGAAACACCCCTCGGTTAAAAACCAACCTGGAGGTGAATCGCTATTCAGAAACCGGCCATAATTTTGCAAAAGTGACAGTTGGTAACTTTCTCTAAGATCATGGCTCTCGGGGATTAACACCTTGACGTGGTGAGAGGGCTCAGTATTTTCAAAAATCCTAAGAGCGATGCTAGCGGGAGCAAATGGCTCCTGGTATGGTCACCCCTGCTGGTAAGGTTAACGGTGAGAAAAGAAGCCAAGTTAATCCACAATCGTAGCGTCCGACTCAGAATGGGCGGCTACAAACAGCGTCTGTACCCAAAATGGGCGGCTGAATTACTACCTGAGAGAAGGACTGGTCAACTCGCCTGGCTAGCGTGACTTTTAAAAGCTAATAACCTACCAAATTAAAAACATGTCGAATTCTGAAACAATATTACCCCAGGCGAGTAGAGCTATCAACTCAAAATCTCGCTCTGATTTATCAGACCGCCTCATGGATTCTGGGGGAGCCACAAATTCGAAAAATATACAAAAACAACATCAGAACTATGAGGTTGGACGAGCTTATAGAACAACTAGAAGAAGAATTTAAAAATATCAAGTGAGATATCCTGGGTTTATGTGAAACTAGACTAAAAGGCGAAGAGTCGACTATACTGAAATCAGGACACTTGCTATACCAAAAGAACGCCGATACAAACTCGCACATTGGAGGAACAGCATTAATGGTAAATAAAAAAATTAAACATCTTGTCACCAAAATGCAAGCCATCTTAAACCGTGTTATATACGTTACGCTAAAACTGAATGTATCTACGATATAGGTTGCAAGTGATCCAATGCTATGCGCGAATTAGTTCCGCAGAGGACCAAGAAATAGAACAACTGTACGGAGATCATATCACCAATGCACAAAGAGCAATATATAGGGTGTTTGGCGGAGGGTTAGCCAAACTTGATGGGCGTATAGATAGGCCCATTTGGAAGATATTTTCCTCGATATTTTCTTAATCAATTTTGATTTAGGTACTATAAATGCAAGAGGTGAAGTAGGTACTGCTGGATTACCTCAGAAATGAAAAGCTATTCTGCATAAATTCTTTATTCAAGAAGCCCCCTCAAAGAAAGTGAACCTGGAGAAGCCCAAATGGCCAGATGAAAAACGAAATTAATTACATACTATGTAATAAACAAGATATTTGCCAAAACGTCTCTGTATTAAATCGTTTCGACACAGGTAGCGACTTTCGGCTTGTACGTGCAACCATAGTTGCGAACACCAGAATACAAAGTAAGGTTTATCTAGTAAAACCAAGCTTCCCAACTGCGAAGGAACTGAATCAGAATAAAGACGAATTTCAAAAAATACTAGAAAGGTAACTGAGCGATATAAATTCATTAGAACAAATGGATGAGGAAATGAATGACCTGGCCACAAAAATCGTAAGCAGCATACAAGTAGCGAAAAATCTGAAAGATCTGCTAGGAACTGCTATCTATGAGCTATCTGGGATAAGTGAACGTCGATCTCCGATCTACTGCTGAGATCTGCTTGAAGCAAGAAAAGCAGTACAAATCCCTAAAAAAGAAATCGAGGTAAAGGTTATTTAAGTGCAAATACAGTAAGATTAATAGAACAGAGAAGACAAACCAATCGTGATAATACGGGATATTTTCGCGCTGTTATTTCACGTCCTGCTTCTTCTCTCGGTTAATTCGACAACTCCTTCACGCCGTAGTTCTGACTTTCTGGACACAGGTCTCTCGATTCTCGATTACTACTTGTTTCTTGATTATTCAACCGACACTGATCCTTCACGCCGTAGTTCTGCCTGTTTACTCGCTCTTTCTCGAACACTGATTTTCTCGAACACTGATTTTCTCCTGCCAAAGTTGCCTTTTTATATCATTGGTCCCTCCATTGACTTGAATTTCTTTATTGTTTCTGACGTCGATTTTTCGTGGTTGAATCATCCGATCAATTAGTGTATTTGTTACCCTTTTAATTAATTATCAAGGGCGTCGCTAAGTGGTTTGTTAAGTGGCTATCAGCATATAGGCTCGTGCATGATTTATTGATCCTTTTAGAAAATTTTCGGCTCCTTTGGAATGTTAATTGTTGAAAGCACTTAAAAAAAGGTCCATGAACTTTTGCTTTATTCACATTCCAATGTATTAGTCAATATAGGGTATCGGCTTTCAATAATTTTTGGATATCGATGTTCAGATAAATTTTAATTGAAATTTCTGGTTGTGCTGTCTAAGTGATTATCTCTCCTGGGATGGTTGTTTGGTAAGTCCTTGTTATTCTTGATTAATTTTCGGTAGTTGGATCCTAGGTCTTTAGTTGTTTGGAATAATCAGCACCTTTAATTGTTTTCTTGGCGGTTTATTTCCGCGTCACTACAAATTAATAGACATTCCTTCTAATTTGTATTTGTGGGTACTTCCCCATATCATATTCACCCATTGACATCAAGTTTCACTTTAATTTGATTCAAAATAAGTAATGTAGGAACGATAAAAATAAAAATAAGTTATATGACTATCTTTCTACTTAGTAGGTACTTGATTGTAGTTTGATAGCGTGATTTCAATTCGTTGACCTAAATTTCCCTCTCCCGCTATTTCTAAGAAATTTAATTCTTTGCTCAACCAGAGATGTCGCAACTTCCTTATTATTGGGGTCAACGGATGCCGTAAAAATGAATGGGTAACTTAATGACGCATCTGGGGTGCCTTATGGAGATTTGCATTATGTTGAGGCACCCCAGATGACATCATAAAGTTATCAAGCTACTTACCTCTCTCAAATAACCTTGCTCTGAGCCTTGCTTTTAATCTGTTTCTGGTGTCTAATTTTTGGGTTCACCTTCAGGCTCAGGAAACTTGTGATGTCACAAGTGTTCTTATTATTTGAGAGTAGGGAATTTAATTTTAGGAGACTAAAAATCCTGAAATCAGAGGCTCGTTTTTTGGTTTTGTAGAAATTCCGAGCCAGACGCCCTCTCAAGCTGAACTAACCCAGACTCAACAATCGACATCAGATGAAATCATCATCGATAAACTACAATACAATGTTTCCAGAGATATTAACATGATTTTAACTAGAAACGCCACTGAACAAGCTCAAAGTGCAGAGGTTTGTGAAAAACCTTTTAAATGCTGTCTATTAATGAAATCAAATAATCTTTTAGAGAGATCAGAAGCTGAAAATGCAAAGCTTGAGATACGAACATAAAGCAGTCGAAGCCCAGACGCCGACTAAGCAGGAGATTGAAAATGCTCTACTGGAACTTCAAAGAACAGAGCAGACTCTATATGAGAGTGTTGAAAACAAAAACAACGCAATGGTAAATATCAACCCTTTATGTCACATCATTTTAATTTTACATGGCCATTTTTAGACCTTCTTCATAGGTACAGAGGCGTTGGTTGAGGAACTGGACACTCAAGTCTCAGCATTCAGAAGTCGTAAAGAGACAGCACTAGCGAAATCGGACCGATTTTCAAAAAATGTGGCAAAACTCAAGCTAATGAAATTACAGCACATTGAATCGCAAAAACTAATTCAAGAACTAGAGATGAAAAAACAAGAACTTATGTGCACACCTGAACCTCGAATCGATCAAAATCTAGTTGAGGTATGAATATACAAAGAATTATTTGTTATTTATCTGTTTTTGGTTTTCAAGGAAAATCTAGCCATAAGAAAGATGATTGAAGAAAAAAAATTGGCCCTGGAGAAAAAACGATTCGAGAAAGCCAAAATGGAAGATCATAAATCTAAGAAGTTATTATTGCTTATTGAAATATATAAAAAAGGGGAGGAAAATCAACAATGTGAGGAAAACTTGAAAAAAATGGAAGCCAACTTCAACGATATGGCACAAAAGTGGCCTGAGCAAGAACAAGAAATAAAAACAAAGTGATTATACAATTTTAATTTTTTTTTTCATCAACCAAAACCTTTGTAGAATCGCCATTGACGAGCAAAAGCTTTATGAATTAGGGGAAAATATCCAAAGCAACGAGCAGACAATCAAAGAAGTTGACCAAAAAGCGAGTGAAATCATGCAAGGTGTTGCTGAAAAACAACTAAAACTAACCAAACTTGACCAACAACTAGAAGACAGACAGCAGGATGCAAGTACAACTAAAAAACAAGAATTTGATATTGAAAAACTAAATCAGGAAGCTTTAAATAATGAAATACAGGATATTGGCAATAAAAAGGAGGAGCTTGAAATGGTAATTAGTCTTCAATTTTGATTAATTTGCATCCAATTTAATTGAAATTTTAGAAAAAATCTGATAACGCAGCTACTCAATCAAATCTCAATGATAAGGAAGCTGAAATGGTTGCTGAGTTGCTCAATGAAAAAGCTAAACTAACATTGCATCAAACCAAATTACTGGAGAAAGAAGATGCCTTAAAAACTCTTCAAATGGATATCGAAACTGAGGGATCCAATATTGAGGAATTGAAATCCAAAGAAATAAACCTCTGTAAAACATTGGAAGAAGTTAAGGAAAAGCAAAGACAATTCTCTATTGATTATGAACAGCGTTACAATGACGTTTCGTTGAAGCACAAGGAAACTTTGGATGCGCTGTTGAAAAAGATGCGGACCGCAGAGGCGGATATAGAATTGACTCAAGCAATTGTTGATGGAGGTTTAATGGAACTTGAAAGTTTGGTGAAAATGAACAAAGGTAATATGCTTAGTAGGTGTAAAGTTGCCATTTAATTTTTTTTAAATTAGATTATGATGAAACTATAAAAGTGGAAGCAATGAAATTGAATAATCAAAAAAGAGCTGTAAAGGATTTTGAAAAAAATAAGCTCAAACCAATAGAGGATTCCTTAAAAACAAAAAAGGCGCTTTTGAAACAGAAAAACGATCAAAAATCAACTGGGAAATCCAAAGTGCCTTCTGCCTTTGACAAACTTGCAGAAAAAACTCAAAGCCTCGATGACCAAAGCCCAATCATTGTTATTGAGAAAGAAGAGAATGTGGAAAACGTAACTGGTCGTAAATCGCCCGGTATTCTGAAGTCGCCGTACAGGATCAGGAAACCCACTGTACCACAACCAACTTCACCGAATCCAAGGCGTGTTACTTTTGACGGGATTCCTACATCAGAATCCTCTTCTGCAAGCACTAATTCGCCAAAGCGTTATGTAAGTTTTTGTTTATCTACTTTATGTGTTTTAGTCTACATTCCTAATGCTGCCCTGAATTGTTTCACAAGTGAATTTGGGAACAAATTCGTGTTGAAAACTTGATCATATTGCTAGTCATAATCATTTTTTGATGATCTATCTTTAATTTTCAGAGACAGCAGTCTTCTAAAATTAATGCTGCCAGAAAGGAGGGCTCTGATAAGAGAAAATTTACGGATTCATTCTAGATTATTATCAGCTGTATTTCGTTTCTGATATTTAGTTTGTTGTATTTCCGTTAATGGAATTTATTTATCATAGATTATGTTTGTTCTTAACGTTGTGCTGCTCAAGCGTGGAAACATTGAAACAAATGGTTCAAAAAGTAGGTACTAGTGTTTTCATTGTTTCTATATGCTATCTTGAACTTTAATTTTTCATGTAGCACAGTTTAATATAGGTACTTATTGTTCAATAATTATAAAATTTACTTGGTTTTATTTTTGATAAAGATTTATTTTATGTACAAATTTTTATCTTTATATGATAATTATTTTCACATTTCTAGCCTTGCTTGAGTAATGCCAAGCTTTCTTGTTTCGCTTCCTCTTTATCCATTATTATTTTCGGTAAAGCTCCACTATTAGCACCCTCGATGGCCAGCCTCAATTCTTTACCACCAACAACCCCTACTAGTTTTCCTATGGCAGTGACGTACGCAGTGTTCAAGTGCATCATGGAAAACAACGAGTGCACCTTGAGGAGGGACGTACGTTCTACTAATTGAAACGGTGCCGGATCGACTTGAGACGAAGTGAAGTCGACTTGTTGGTTGAGTTGCTGGTCTTCCCAGGCGTCTTGTTCCGGTTGGGGTAAGTCACATATACGAACAGCTGATAACTAAGAAGACATTGATTATCTGCTTCATGTATTGGGTACAGAAATGTCACTTACTTTTTCTTTGATAAGATTTTTCCTATTCTGAGAACTACCAGGAAAGCCCATTCTGTTCAAATTGTATTTATTGAAAATTCTTTGTCTTACTTCATCTTGCTCCTAAAAAAAATGATTTTTAAAGAACAAATTACGAAAATAAGAATTTTGAGATTTGAAGCAACTCAATTCAAGTATATGTTATTTCAGTACAAATATAGCTGATGGAGTTGAAATTCTTACACCTTCAGTAAAAAATGAAACATATTATATTCCCTCGACAATAACAACAGTCATGAATGAGATGGTGCCTTTAGAAGTGGGTACACAACTTGTAAAATATTAATAACTTGGCGGATATAAGTTTACCTTACGCTGATAAACAGTTTGAGATATTTTATATAGAACAAATGACTTCATTACAAAATGATGAATATGCAAATTACCCTATAAAGTCACTGCGTATCAGTCATTCAAACTCAGAGGAATAATTGAAGCTTTTCCTGAAATTACTTAATCAGACCATCCTGTAGTCCCTGGTCATCCCCTGTGTGGATAGTACCCATAAAAGAAGATGCGGCAGGCATATAAAAATGGAGAATGATCGTTGATTATCGAAAGATAAATGAAAAAACTATTGATGATACATATCCACTAATATCACTGATTGGTCATAGTAATTATTTTACGACACTGGATATAGCCTCTGGCTTTCATCGAGCCCAGATGCATGAAAATTCGATAGGTACCGAAGACATATTGAAAATGGTCATTATGAATTTGACAGCATGCCCTTTGGATTAAAGAACGCACCACCAACCTTCCAAAGAGTGATAGAAATAGGAGAATCTTCAAAAAAGCAAGAGACCAATAACACCTTCCGATGACGAACGAACAGTTCAGCCCTGTCTGAAAATAAGCAAATAATACATATGTTTATGGAGAATCCGATATTAGGAGCTCCAAATACTAAGAAACATCTAAATGTATTTGGAAATCAAATTGTATTTCGATATTCCAATAATAACACAATTAGAAAAGAGATAAAATCAAACTATTTGGTAATAAAAAGAGAATAATATTCTTCATCCATTTTTATCCAAGAGACCAAAGGCAAGATTTTTGAAGATAACAAAAAACAAAGTCACAGTCTCATAATTTATTTATACAGTGTGTGCTAGGGGTGTGTATTTCAAGGCCTGATGATGCTCTATTGAGTGAAACACGTGTAGCTGATTAAATAAATTATGAGACTGTGACTTGGTTTATTGTTATCTTCAAAAACATTACAAATTGCTTATTTAGTAAAGGAATACATGCCACCTGGTATTTATTGCCTTCATTTCCTTCAAAATTTGGTCAAGCCTCTCCTGTGAATAAGAAAACAGCTGTAGAGATAACATCACAGTTATTGAAATATTCTAGTGATCATGGAATACTTCAAAAAATCACATCAGATAATGGAACATAGTTGAAAAATGCTTTGTACATTATACAAAACTGAGTTTCACATTAAATAGCTCCAAGAAATCCAAATTCGAATAGTCCAATCGAAAGATTCCATTCGACACTACGTGAAAGTATAACGAGTTTAAAACTCCAAAATCACATCAGATAATGGAACATATTTGAAAAATGCTTTGTACATTATACAAAACTGAGTTTCACATTAAATAACTCATTCGACACTACGTGAAAGTATAACGAGTTTGAAACTCCAAAATCACATCAGGTAATGGAACAGAGTTGGAAAATGCTTTGTACATTATACAAAACTGAGTTTTACATTAAATAACTCCAAGAAATCCAAATTCGAATATTCCAATCGAAAGATTCCATTCGGCACTACGTGAAAGTATAACGAGTTTAAAACTTCAAAATCACATCAGATAATGGAACAGAGTTTTGTACATTATACAAAATGGAGTTTCACATTAAATAACTCCAAGAAATCCACATTCGAATAGCTCAATCGAAAGATTCCATTCGACCCTACGTGAAAGTATAACGAGTTTAAAACTCCAAAATCACATCAGATAATGGAACAGAGTTGAAAAATGCTTTGTGCATTATACAAAATTGAATTTTACTTTAAATAACTCCAAGAAATCCAAATTCGAATAGTCCAATCGAAAGATTCCATTCGACACTACGTGTAAGTATAACGAGTTTAAAACTCCAAAATCACATCAGATAATTGAACAGAGTTGAAAAATGCTTTGTACATTGGCTGTGTTTAATGGGACTTAGCGTAAACCCGCTAGCGCTGAAAGCGCCAGGAGGCGCTAACTGTAACGGTTAAACGACCTATTTATATTTCAAGATTTTTTCTAAACTGTTAACATAACCTAACAAAACGCTAATAAGAATTTTGTGTTCAATGACATCGGTATTTCCATAATTTTGAATATTCATGTCAAAATTTCGAATATAAAGCAGCTCCCACCAATATCAACCGAAAAACGGAAAGGAAAAATATGTAATGTTAGGTTAGGGGTTAGGGTAGATTAGACATTTATGACATTTCATATTAGCGCTAACAACTGCTAACTAAAAATAGCACTTTTCAAATGAGCTAAGTAAGCTGACAGGCACTTTTGCGCTAACTAGTCGTCTATCGTTCAATTAGCCGAAAGCGCTTGCAAGCGCTAACACCCGCTAAGTCCCGTTAAACACAGCCATTATACAAAACTGAGTTTCACATTAAATAACTCCAAGAAATCCAAATTCGAATAGCCCAATCGAAAGATTCCATTCGACACTACGTGAAAGTAAAACGAGTTTAAAACTTCAAAATCACATCAGATAATGGAACAGAGTTGAAAAATGCTTCGTACATTATGTAAAACTGAGTTTCACATTAAATAACTCCAAGAAATCCAAATTCGAATAGCTCAATCGAAAGATTCCATTCGACACTACGTGAAAGTATAACGAGTTTAAAACTCCAAAATCACATCAGATAATGGAACAGAGTTGAAATAGTTAGTTTCCTAACAAGTGCGCAAAGTGATACTTTCCCGCACGAAAAAGCAGTTAGACGAACGACGCGAAGCGGAGTTCGGATAAGCTTTGAGTGCGGGAAAGACACTTTGCGCAAGTGTTAGGAACAATATTTTTTCTATGAATATCTTAAAAAAGTAGACTTTGAATTATTACAATATTAGAAAAATCAATCAAATCAAAATCTTCAAAAATCGTTTAAAATCTATTGGAATTCCTTAGAATGTCTTAAATTAAAATCCCAAAAAATCTTTTAACATCTTCTGGAATTTCTAGAATACCAGCTAGAATATTTTCATGAGAGTCTCTCAAATATCAAAAATTGTACAAATTCCTAGCAGTACAGGCTGGTCCAATTTGGACACCTTTGATAGGAAACATCATGTTAACTAAGCGCTAATATCAACTAAAACCCTTCATTATGAATATTAGTTTATTTAGAAACCATCAAAACATTGAAAAATCAAGTATAACTATGGTAATTATGCGTAACAAAAATGAGTGCGCAAAGAGTTTCCGTGCGCAAAGTTCAACTTTGCGCACGCAAATGAGTGCGCAAAGTGATTACTTTGCGCAAGCAAGTAGAAAAAATGCTTTGTACATTATACAAAACTGAGTTTCACATTCCAAGAAATCCCAATTCGAATAGTCCAATCGAAAGATTCCATTCGACACTACGTGAAAGTATAACGAGTTTAATACTCCAAAATCACATCAGATAATGGAACAGAGTTGAACAATGCTTTGTACATTATACAAAACTGAGTTTCACATTAAATAACTCCAAGAAATCCAAATTCGAATAGCCCAATCGAAAGATTCCATTCGACACCACGTGAAAGTATAACGAGTTTAAAACTCCAAAATCACATCAGATAATGGAACAGAGTTGAACAATGCTTTGTACATTATACAAAACTGAGTTTCACATTAAATAACTGCAAGAAATCCAAATTCGAATAGCCCAATCGAAAGATTCCATTCGACACCACGTGAAAGTATAACGAGTTTAAAACTCCAAAATCACATCGGATAATGGAACAGAGTTGAAAAATGCTTTATACATTATACAAAACTGAGTTTCACATTAAATAACTCCAAGAAATCCAAATTCGAATAGTCCAATCGAAAGATTCCATTCGACACTACGTGAAAGTATAACGAGCTTAAAACTCCAAAATCACATCAGATAATGGAATAGAGTTGAAAAATGCTTTGTACATTATACAAAACTGAGTTTCACATTAAATAACTCCAAGAAATCCAAATTCGAATAGTCCAATTGAAAGATTCCATTCGACACTTCGTGAAAGTATAACAAGTTTAAAACTACAAAATCCGAATTATTATTGATCTAATGACAATCGCTATATTGGATTATAACAACAGTTCTCATAGTAAAATGAATCACACCACTTTCCAAGTGATTTGAATCGGAATATAATTTGGTCCCTTTCTGTTTATATTATTTACCTTTGGTTTGGTATTATCATCTTCCTCCCCATCATTTTTCTCATTCTCCTTTAAATGCTTGACTATTTCCAATCTCCTGCCGTAACCGATTTTCCTCTCGATAAGTTCGACCAGTTCAGTTCTGGCGATACTGCCCAATAGAATCATATTGTGGGCATTATCCACCAATGGAAACACTTTGATTTGTTTATTGTTACGGAGCGTTTCTTTTAATTCTCTGTAGGTGATACCCAAGTAAACGTATTTCACATCTTTGATCATGAAATCTTCTACGTAGATTTGATAAATTCCTGAAAAAAACATCTAAGCATGTATAAGGAATCACTAGTGAGAAATACTATCTTACCACTGCTGCTAGGTAATAAATCAGGTAGAAAAGGTAATTTTCCAGCCTCAATAGCCAAATCGTAGATGCTAGGCGTAAAGAATCTAGCAATTCCGTTGGCAATTAAATTCGAAATCAATACAGGAATAACGTGGCTTATTTGAGACGTCATTTCAAACATTATGACACTCGTGGATAAAGTGTGAGTTACTGCACCGCTCCACGCTGCTGCGCCTACTGTAGCATAGGCTCCTGGTAGAATAGGTGTAACTTTACCTTTATAGCGAACACCTAAAATTTAAAAAAATATTTTTCTGGCACATCAATATTTTTAGATTGTGCCTCTACCTTGTGGAAACCATGTCGCCATAAGTTCTCCTGCAATCCTACCAAGCGCAGCTCCAGATCTGAAGTTTGGTATAAATGAGCCTGCTGGAATTGGCATGGACGATGCCAAAATTGAAGCCAAGAACTATTTGAAATGTTCAATTTTAGAAGCCTTATTGTGAATTTCATTTACTCACTTGATAAAAAATAAATATCACCAGATTAGCATAAATACCAGTCCATCTAGTACTCCAATGTTTGAGCACTTCCTGTTGGGCAACAGTGTGATTTCCTTGGGTCCACGTGAAATTTCCAAACAACTGAACCACTTGATCTTTGGGTGTAAGATCTGAAGCCATAAACTGACCAACTCCAGGTGGCCAAGTAACGGTCGATATTAAAAGCACCACAAAAAATGGATATACAAAACGACTGAAATATTTTTACAAGAAAGTTCAACGTTTGTTATTGAATATATGGAACTCACTTGCTTTTCTGCAGCCACTGGATGCGCTTGTTCTTTTTCATGTGCCTCGAAAATGCCCGTTTGATGAAAATATAAAACGAGCCTGCGCATCCACAAATTACCCTAACGCAAAAAAAATTAGTTTGTATTGGTTTAATTTTATAAATGAATTACCCTAAAACTGCAAAAGATATAAGCTCTAATGGATCGTATGGAAAATCGTTGATGAAACTGGTTGCAAATACCACTCTGATGGTATCGACTCCATCAATCCAAACATACAAAAGCCTATACACTGTGGCTCCCCAGACTGCTGCAAAGAATCCCCTCCAATAATTCCGCACAGCATAATAGGCCGTTGAAATTTCTACGCTGAATAATACTCCTAAAATGAACAGACATATTTTAGAATAGAGTTGTCATACTTGAGATCTTACCTCCAATTGGTGCATTAAAAGTACAAGCAACTCCGACAGCGTACGCTGCACCGATCAGCTCCAACTTTTTGTTTTCATTCAAATACACGCTTTTAAAACTAGATAAATATTTGCTCATTTTGGTCACCAGGATGCTCGCCATCTGGATAAGGGGACCTTCTTTTCCTAGAGGCATTCCACTGCCTAGGGTGGCCATTATACCCATCCATTTTGCTATCAGAACTCGAAAAGTTAGGAACTCTTTTAGATAGACGCCTCTGAGACAGGTTTTTATTTGAGGTACTCCAGATCCTGATGGAAGTAGAGAATCATGTATGGCATTTTAAGAAAATCTCTACTTACCTACTGCCTTCGGTGCTATTAAGGATGTAATTCCAACATCCCATAGGATCAATACTACAGGTAGACACACCCATGCTACCCATTTAGCAAAATACCTGTCAGCTAGTTCGGAGAAAAGCATCGTTCTGGCTAAAAAGAAATCATAAGTAAATTACCAATCATTATTGTTACCAGTCTTATGGACCTTTTGCACACATTGCAGCTCCTTGATCTATCGAATAACTTATTATAGCAACAAGTATGCCTAGGATGGCCAGAAATAGCCAGTCTTCGCCGAAATGTCCGAAGGTGTTCCTCCATAATTTCGTACAAATTCTGTAGAATTTTCCCTGATAAATGTCGAATTCTAGACGTCTGGCTTTTTCTATTTCTCTCAGTTTCCTTTTGTCGGCTAGGTTTTTCTCTCTCAACGATTCGTAGAGATCTTCAAGGGATTTGTTGTAATACTAAAAAAAATTAGTTTGTATTTATTATGTGGTTGATACAAGTTTATTTCAAAAAAATACGACTCTTCATTATTGGGAAATTCAATTATGAATGTTGTGGGTTCCAAAGATTTGCCCCCTTTCAGATTTGTCTTTTTCTATAGTTGTTTGAAGACTTTTTGAGAATTAGGGTCATCTTTGAAAAATTCTATTCCACGTCTCTATGGGTAATTGATCATCCATCTCTGTCCTTGCTAGCTTATTACAATTTTCATATTCTTCTGTTTGCTTCATCTTATTTCCTCATTGTTCCACCGTTTTTTGAACTTGGTGTTTTTTACTTTAATTCTTCTTTGACTTTATTGTACAAGGGTAAAATTTAGGTGGATTTTGGCTCATTTTCAAATAATTTGCTTTGTCTTGTCTACCATTTTCAACCAAGATAGAAATATACTCGAAATTATTAAACAAAACTACCTGTATGGGTGAATATTTCGCATCGTAAAGTTGCGAGCTCGGAAGATACTTGCTTTTCCCGTTCATTTTAAATTTACTTTGGACACGACTTATTATTAATCCGATAGTCAAAAATGGACTGAATAATGTTACATTTTCAAATAGTTTATAATTAGGGTACCTACCGAAAATCAAAGATAATAAAATTCATAGAGACCACATTATTATGTACTTAGGATAAATAATGTATAAATTAGAGCGGTACCGCTAATACGAAAGCGCAGCACAATGAGGGCATAAAAAAGTCTTTATTAGTTTCAAATATTTGTCTTCAGCAAATAGGCTGGAGCCAAAAATTGCAAAACAATTAGGTGTTAATTAATTGAACAACATTTGTATTATTGGAATATTAAAAATAAAAGTAAAGTTCATAATAGGTCAAGTAAGACAGACAAGGTAATATTAATTTGTGAGTTGACATGAAGCAGAGCTGAGAAATAGTAATTTTTGTAGATAATAGGTATTTTGAAAAATTCTCCAAACGAAATTTACCCTAGTTGAAGATTTTCATAAGGGCTACAAAAGCGACTATTTAGTGTACTAAACTTTAGATGTTTCGTAGGGAGAGATAATCGAAATCGCAGCTTTTTGGACATTTCCAACTTTGAGGCCGCATATCTAGAAAACTCCTTGGTTGGTACTTATAGAGTTGAAGAAGTACCCTAGTCCATAGGATATATGATTCTACCTCAATGATAATATTCAATCCTGTCTTATCTTAAAGATCACTTATCCAGACCCAGACATCAAGAATTTGAATTGAAAGAAGAATATTTCCTTGCTAATATTTCCTTATTATTATACTAATTTTTTAACTTTCAACTTTTGTCTATTCCAGGCGCTAGGCTGTTGTTCTCAAGCGTATCAAAATGCAGCTGGAAAGCGTTTTGGAACGTTCTAAATAGCTTATTGGAGTTCTAAAGTGTTCTAACGTGGCTCGAAGCGTTCTGGAACATTCTAGACAGTAATTTCTATGTTCTGACAGATTTTTAAGTATTTTAGAGCTCTATAATATTGAAGCTCCACAGTGTTCTAAATTGGTTCAAAAGAGTTCTAAAAGGTTTCCCGTTCTAAACTGAATCATCGTTGTTCTTAAAAATAATTTTCTAAATGGTTCTTAAATGTTTCTAAAATTTCCAAAATGTACTGGAGCGCTACAGAATACCTTTGGAAATTCTGAATTGAATTTTAGTGTTTTGTACTTTCCAGAAGGCTTATTGAAGTTCTAAAATGTTCTGTAGCATACAAAATGGTTTCCAGTAACTTCTAAATTTAATAAGAAACGAATTCTGTGAGAAATTTCTGTAGACATCTTAAGATGTCGACAAACGACATCCAAGACGTCTTGCTTACGTCTTTAAAGCGTCTTAAAGACATCTTGAAGACAACGTATGTTACAAAACCGAACGTCTGAAGACATCTTCTGGACTAAGACAGTCTTCAACAAGATGTATTAAAGACGTTTTTGAATCTCTTTCCGATACATAAACCATTAGTCTGTAGACATCTTAAGGATGATGTCCACAAACGACATTCAAGACGTCTTAGCTTACGTCTTTATTAAGACATCTTGAAGACACCGTATGTTACAAAACCCAAGACATTCTAAAAAAGACGCCTTCAACGAGATGTCTTCACGTCTTTGAATCTCTTTTCAATACATAAACCATTAGTCACTTTTAGGGCTAGTTGTCTTTAAGATGTGAATTTACGACATTTATGAATATCTTCATAATAACGTCTTTCGTCTTTTTGGACTTCAGACGGTTAGACGTAATGCAAACCTAAGAAAGACGTCTTTACGACTTTGTTTAATTGTTTGTGTGCTGTCTGGAAGCATTTCAGATCAGAAAATGATGTAAGAAATAAGGTAAGAAATATAGTTGTACAGTAGATGACAATATGAGATCGATACTCAAAATATCGAAAACGATCAATGAAGAAAATATCGTAAGAAGAAATATTTAAATGGAAAACACAAAATATCAAAAAAAGGAAAATAATATGGGATTAGGATTTGAATAATAATAAATAGATAACATAGGAAGTACAAAATATGAAAATCACAAAATATCGTAACTGTAAAATATCGAAAAGATAAATATTGAAAATGCCGGTTATTTGAATTAAACTATAATAGGCTATGGAGCATTGGTGTTCTAGCTTTACTCCTTTCCCAGAACAAGAGTAATAGGTGCACTCGCCAAGTACGTTCTGAACACCGTGCACTGGGACAATTTTATTTACACCGACTTTTCGTGAGGATAATCAAACATAAGCTGTTTTCTCGCGGTGTAACTGGTTCGATCCAGTCCAATTATGTTCGAACCTGTACAGTCTTGAGTTGAACCAGTGACGTCATATTGAACCTGGTTCGAAAAAGTTCGAACCGGATTCATGACTTGTTCTGCCGTCACTATCAGCAGTTTATAGTGATGACGTCACCCGCAGTCCTCGATGGAATGCTTGCGATTCAGGCTGTGCTAGTAAGTTAATTTTTTCGTCGATTTTAAATGTAGAAAAGGTGATTTTTAGTATGTTCTCACAGAAGAAATTAATAGCGTTTTCCATTTGTCGAACCAGTGCAAAAAAAATGTATACTCATCCTGTTACATGCTTTTAGAAAAAGATGCGGATACAATCCTCGCGAAAAATTGTCTTTCACTAACGTAATCCTTGTTGCAAAGAAACCTGTGCGAAAAAACAGCTTCACTCCTTTTGTTTCGGGCCCAGAACAGTATTCGGTGCACCCACCAAATGGGTTCCGAAAACCGTACACTGAACCAATTCTATCCACACCGACTTTCTCATTGGTGTTTTTTTACTGACGAGATACTCGGTGCAAACTCCAAGTACGTTACGAACACCGTGCACTGAACCATTTTTATTCAAACTGAATTTCCAAACAGTTACAATTTTCAATTTAATTTATACTTCACATCAAGTTATTGGGATTTAGAATTGTTGATCTGAATATACTGGTCATTAATTTCTGTAAACGCCTTGAGAACAAGCCATGCAAACTTCTTTAGTCCAGAACTGGAGAAATTGGTGCACTCACCAAGTACGTTTTAAACACTGTGCACTGGAACGATTTTATTCACACCGACTTTCTCATTGGTGTTTTTTTACTCATGAACAACTCGGTGCAAACTCTCAGTACGTTCCGAACACCGAGAACTAGACCATTTTTATTTATACCGACTTTCCGAACAGCAACATTTTTTATATTAATTTCACATCAAGTTATTGGAATCCAGAATTGTTGATCTGATTATACTGATCATCAGTTTCCGAAAACACCATTAGAACAATAATTGGTGTTAATTTAATAATGAGACCCTCTTTGCAAAGAAACAAGAAACCCAAGCAAAACTCCTCTTGTTCCGAGCCCAGAACTGAAGTATTCGGTGCACACCCCAAGTACGTTCCGAACACCGTGCACTGGACCAATTTCATTTACACCGACTTTCCTATTTGTGTTCTTTTACTAGACAATTTTTCGCGAGGATAATCAAACATAATCTGATTATGCTCAGATGGTATGTGTCAATTGTGTCATACTCTCCTAACTCCCTCTTCATCCAATTCTAGGCCTGCGAGTGACGTCACTATCAGCAGCTTATAGTGATGACGTCACCCGCAGACCTTGATGAAATGCTTACCTTGATGGAATGCTTGCAATTCCGGCTGTGCTAGTGAGTTAATTTTTTTGTCGATTTTAAATGTAGAAAAGGTGATTTTCTGTCTGTTCTCATAGGAGAAGTTGAGTGTCCTTGATCCTCGAGTATTCCAGAATTTGATGGTGGGAGAGTTAGGGGAGTATACACAATTGACACATAACATAAGAGCTGCTCTCGGGTGCCACTTTCTGAGCGCTCCCGAGTTACTCCGATGTACTCCGGCTATAGTTTGATCCGTTTGGCTTCAAGCGTTTGACTGCAAAACGCATGGAGTATCACAGGTGTGAGGTGTTCTATAAGCTTCGCACTCTGCACTTGAGAGCGGCTCTGAGCATAATCGAGTATGCTTGGTTTTCCTCGCGAAAAATTGCCTACTGATGAGATATACTCGGTGCAAACTCGAAGTAGGTTCCGAACACCGTGCACTAGACCACTTTTATTTTTACAGCAACAATGCAGCAACACCTACATAGAATTTGTTGATCTGAATATACAGATCATTAGTTTCCGAAAACGCTTTTAGAATAATATACCTTTTTTTGAATGAAGTATATTTTTCCAGAACACTGCGCCCTTGAGTAGACAATATTGTATTATGGAACAGAAACGGTGCAGCTCTGAAGCGATTCAGAGCAGTGAAAAATTCAATTATAAGGTTCGCGGATAGATGTCACTACTCTTGTTGATTTAAATAATATCGAGATAAACTAACAAAAGAGTAAAATATTGAATAAGCGCAAAGAAGTATGGAAATTGCAAAATATCGAATAGATAAAATATCAAAACTATAAAATAACGAAAGTACGGAATATAGAAAAGAGCAAGTTAGCAAACTTAATTATAATATGTGGAGCGTTGGTAATCTTTTACGAATAAGATCCTTTTTGCAAAAAAAACCCATGCAGAAAACCAGCATTACTCTTGTTCCGGGCTCAGAACATAAGCACACCAAGTACCTTCCGACCACAGTGCACTGGACCGATTTTATTCACACCGACTTTCTCATTGGTGTTCTTTTACTAATGAGATATCCGGTGCAAACTCATGCAAACTCCAAGTACGTTTCGAACACCGTGCACTGGACCATTTTTATTTACACCAAATTTCCGAACGGCAACAATTTTTAATTTAATTTATGCTGCATATCAAGTTATTGGGATCTAGAATTGTTGATCTGATTATACTGATCATTAGTTTCCAAGAACGCCTTTAGAACAATCATTGCTGCTATTCCACTAATGAGATCCTTTTGAAACAAGAAACTCCTTTTCCGAACACCGTGCACTGGAACAATTTTATTCACACCGATTTTACCATTGGTGTTCTGTTATTGACGAGATATTCGGTGCAAACTCCAAGTACGGTCCGAACACCGTGCACTGGCTCATTTTTATTTACATCGACTTTCCGAACAGCAACATACGAACGCCCCAAAGCAGAAAGTGCTGCTCCGAACAACACAAACAAACCAAAAAAAAAAAATTGAAAACTGAATAGAACAATCGGAACAGCATCGGTGCAGCTCTGGAGCAGTGAACAGGTTTGACGCTAGATGTCACTACTCTTGCTTAGAGACGGTTTCACCCTTTGAATATAAAACTAGTAGTAGTTTTATATTCAAAGGTTTCACCACACCCACTCTATCCACTCCGATTCCAATCAAACCGCTGCATTTTATTTACCAAAAAATGGTCCTAGTTGAAGGTTGTTCCAAATTCCGGTTCCCAGTTTCTTATTGAAATCTATTTTGTTCTTGTGCTGTGTGATCAACGAGGTTCTATTAATTATTGGTATTTTATTGGGGTGCATCATAATGTCTGATAAAAATACCTCCAGTGATTCAGTGAAAAATGTAAGTACTTTTTATCTTGTGTTTATATTCAAGTTCAAAGGACTTTTTGTTTATGTTGTTAAACAAACAAGTCTTTGTTCTTCTCAGTCAGAATTAAGTTTATTTTAATTCAAGGGCCTATGGCTATTTATGAATCATTTAACTGTAAATATTCAAAGCCTTTAAAGCAAAGTAAACTCTTCATTTATATTGATATTTATTTTATAATATGCTAATGATTCGTTTCAGTTTTCCAGCCTGGAAACGCCCGGCTACGTAGGTTTCGCCAACCTACCAAATCAAGTTCATAGAAAATCTGTGAAAAAGGGATTCGAATTCACCCTTATGGTAGTCGGAGAAAGTGGACTTGGCAAATCCACTCTGGTCAATGCACTTTTCCTGGCCGATTTGTATCCGGAAAGAGTCGTTCCAGATGCAGTTGGTAAGAATTTTCTTCTCATATTTCAGTCTCTGTTCCAATTGACATGAGAACTGTTCTAGAATGGTAATTTCAAGTCATTCAATTTATTTGTCAAGTAGGATAACAACTTATTGAAAAATAGGTGGGCCTTTAGAAATTACTGGTTCTGGAACAGAACACTACTTATCATCATTAACATGAGCTTGAACGTTACTTTATTTCAAGATTTATATTTATCTTTGATACCAGTTTCTAAGAAAATAAGATCAAAGGCTGGCATACGAATTAAACCCCATTTTTAATAGACATCTGTTGACATCTTTGGCCATCTGGCAAGGTTATTGCTTCTTCTTAGCATTAAATATAGGTACAACATGTATATCATTTTTTTATGTTAATTTGTTGTTAAGTTTTTCGAATTTTTAAAACTGTTGTTCCCTAGATTTTTTTTTTCTTAGCAAAAATACCAGGGTTGGCAAAAATCCGCTTAATGGTGGAAATAGAATTGTATTTTTGATGTTTTTGGTGGATGTTTGTGTTATCATGCTTTAAAATCATAAGGAAACCAATTAAAAACTTTGGGAAGGATTTTGAAAAGGTTCAGAATGTGCTAGCGCCAAGTTAGAATATATTAAGCATTTTAAGATGCTCTAGAGCAATTTAGAACTTTGATAAGCCCCAAAAGTCATTCAATTCAATTTTCAATCCTTTTGCATCTGGTTGAGACAAATTGGAATGTTTGAAAACATTGTAAAACGTTACAGAACAGTTTACAACCAATTTAGAATTTGACAGACATTCTACATCAGACCAGAAGACTTCTGAACTTTTGGCAACATTTAAGAAAACTTTTAGAACACTATACAAATCATATGGAACTTTTGGAAACAATTTAGAACTGGAAGCTTTCAGAGTATCTTGAAGATGACACATGACCTTGCACATGACACATTAGATCAGAATGTGTTCGTGCCAATTTGGAACATTTTCAAGCATTTTGAGATGCTCCAGAGTACTATAGAATAAATTTGGAACTTTGATAAGCTTTAGAAGACTCCTCCTGAATTTGTTTGAGACAAATTGGAACTTGCCAGGACATTGTGAAACACTACAGAATACTTTAGAATCAAATTAGAGTTCCAGAAACATTCTAGAACGAATTAGAACACTTACGAACTTTCAGGAACATAAGAAAGCTTGAGATTTAAAGTTTAGGTTCATAGTTCATATCCAAGTTAAAATTTCCAAGAGTATTTTGGAACCCTCTAGAACACTTTCCAAATCATAAGGGACTTTTGGAAACAATCTAGAACTGGAAACTTAAGAACTAACTTAAAACTTTCATGAACATATTCGAACACTCTAAAATACATTCAACATTAGGCTTTCAATTTTATGGAAATATCCATCAAAATCCATCCAAAAACCAAAGAGTAGAGAAAATTGTTTGCCAACCCTGATAAATAAATACACATCATGAATATCATTTTTTCTATATTATCTTATTTGTTGTTTTGTTCTTTGATTTTTTGGCATTTTTGCTCCCTATAGCTATCTTCCTTCTCAGCATAAATAGGCTTACACAACATGAATATTTCTTTTTTTCACATTTTATTAATTCGTTGTTTTATTATTAACAATTTTGCTCTTTAAATTATTTTGTTTAGTGTTAAAAGTGTCTGTAAAATAAATTTTATATTAGAAAAACTAAAACAAACCGTGAAACTGGAACCCACCACAGTGGAAATCGAAGAACGAGGTATCAAATTAAGACTGACCGTGGTGGACACGCCCGGCTATGGAGATGCTATTGACAATACCGATTCGTTTTCGGAAATAATCAGATATATTGACGAACAATTCGAGAGATTTTTGAGAGATGAAAGCGGCCTTAATAGGAAGAATATTGTTGACAATAGGATTCATTGTTGTTTTTACTTTATTTCGCCTTTTGGACATGGGTAAGTGGACCTTTTTCTATAAAGGATAAAATAGTTCTAATGTATAAAAAAAATGACTAATATTGCTTATATTTTAATTATGTGTGGAGAATTTCCATTGTGCAAAACAATTATTAAGAAATTTGAATCATTGAATAAGGCAAGTATAGTCTAGTCTGAATGTATTACAACAAATTTCCTTGCTAATTACAAAAAGAGTTAATCATCAATAATTCTTGGTATGTAATTGGATAGGTTTCTAATGACTTCCGTCTAGGCGGGTAATCAAGTAATGTAACCCGGCCTAGTGATTAATTGGCGATATCGAGTTACCAAAATGAATATTAAATGCGAAACTTGTATGGTAAATGGGTTCAAACACCTTAGAATTTTGATGAGCACGACATTTTTTTAGCACCAAGTATTCTTATAAGGAAATGGAAATTTATGATTAAATTGAATACTCAAACAAAATTGCTTCTTTTAGGCTAAAACCCCTAGACATTGAATTCATGAAGCAATTACACAATAAAGTAAATATAGTTCCCGTTATTGCCAAAGCTGATGTTTTAACTAAGAAGGAAATGCAAAAATTAAAAAGAAAAGTATTAGACGAAATCTCAGAGAATGGTATTAAAATTTTCTCTTTGCCTGAATGCGATTCTGATGAAGATGAAGAATATAAAGAACAGGTAATTTTTGTCTCTTTTTTTTTAAATTATATTTTTAATTTTTTTATTTAGGTGCGTCAATTGAAACAAGCTGTGCCATTTGCTGTATGCGGTGCCAATACACTTTTAGAAGTTAAAGGGCGTAAGGTATATACACATTATTATTATTTAGGGTTTAGTTTGTTTCAAACCAATTCTTCTAGGTTCGAGGTCGTCTATATCCTTGGGGAGTAGTAGAAGTTGAAAATCCAGAACACTGTGATTTCATTAAGCTGCGCACAATGTTAATAACTCACATGCAAGATTTACAAGATATCACGCAAAGGGAGCATTACGAAAACTACAGGAGTGAGAGGTTGGCCAAAGGGGTACCGCCTCCGGCTCCAAAAAGAACTACGTAAGAATCTTAAATATTTATATACATCAGTAGATCATAATTTTTTTTGCAGTATCATTGATGAAAAATCTCCTATTAACGCAGATAGAGACAAAATTCTACAAGAAAAAGAGGCCGAACTAAAACGTATGCAAGAAATGATTGCACAGTTGCAAGCCAAAATGCAAGTGCAACAGCAATAGTAATGGACATTTTCTTTTTTTTTTTGTAAGTTAGAAATAAGCGCTTTCGTCTATCTGTTCAATTTTAGAATCCAACTATTTTCTAAAACTGAATAGTTTAGTTACCCAAACCTATTGCTCGCCCACATATCCTATTATTGCTTCTAATTTGATCTATGATCTATTAATTATGATCCTACGAATATAGACCTATTTTTTTACCTTATTAATAGAGATATATTTTAGTTTGTAAGGCCCTAATTTTTGTATTTCTCATTAAATGTTTATCTTGTGTCAAGTATTCGAAAGAAAAAAACCACTTTATTTCTGTGTCCTAAAAAGTAACGTGATATAATGATTATTTACGAGATTAAAAAAAGATGTTATTCTTTTGCAAAATGATATTTTATTATTATTGGTTGCTTTGTCTTCTTATGAAGATAGAAGGGGACAAAAATAGGGAAATTAAATTCATCATTGACACATCAGTTCAGATCCAAATGATTTATTCTTTTGGGATTGTTTTTAGAGGTAGAAAATGTATGCACTTTCATAGTGAACAGTTGTTTTTGTGATAAATTTTGATTTCAAGATAAAAATTTTCATCATGACAATATTTTTAAAATAAAAATAGTATATTACATTACAAGTGTAGAAAGTGACAAATTTCACACAAGTGTTTTTTCGCACGAGGCGGTAGCCGAGTGCGAAAATCATACGACCGTATGAAAGACACTTTCTTACGAGTGATGTACACCATTTTTCCTACGACCAAAAACCGATTTATATCAATTTTCTCTTATTTTATTTCTTTTCATTTTCACGTATTGAAAGTAAATTGTTATGTCAATCACAAATAATGTCAACAGTATTTTCCACACGTGTGCTGAAAGTACTTTTAGTGCGCGTATTGAAAGTACTTTCAGCATGCGTGTGATATTTAGTGCTTTCCAAAGAACCAGCTATTGCGAATTTTGTCATTTTCATATTTGGTCTTAGGAAAAGAAAATTTCATTTTTTGATTCTGAATTTTGTTTGAATTATGACAAGGTTAAGAAAAATTGCCAATATTTCCATTAAAATTATTCACTATCGGAGAGAGCATTCATTTCTCTATAAATTTGAAACATTCAAAGTATGTAAACCCACCCAAAGCTACCCAATGGAATTTATATAGTTTACTTGGTTGGTCATAAATGGTGCTCCATATCAATTCAATCGAAATGACTGGGTTCACACCAGCATCTTTTGATGAAAATTCAAAAATAAAATCTCATTTTTTTTTCTGACAAGGCTGATAAGGGGTGACATTTTCTTTAGGGAATCTGAGAGAAAATTAAACGACAAAGTTTATTAAAAAAAAATCAACATTACTTTAATATTGAGTAAAAATTACATGGAAAGAGAAAAAATTTTATATTAAAGAAAATATCACAAATAACTAAAAACAAATAATGATGAGGTTTGGAATCCAATTCCTATGGCAGCGAAAATAATTTAAAAGTGCCTAATTTTTAGTAAATGTGTTAACAATGTTTGCTGCCATAAGAAAATATAAACCTAAAAAAATTCAATATTCCCCAAGTTAAAAGATGTCACTTAAACTTGGCAACATACATATTTATATAAAACTCTAAGGAATTGCTAAATTATTTATATCACAGATTACCAAAAAGCTAACTAAAAATACATTAAACTAGATACTTGAATAAGGAAAACATACTTATTACAGGTAAAATATAATTTGGTGATATGTTGGTCCCTGAACCGCAAAGTTTGATTTCACTTTCCTAAAAGCATAAAGTTATAAGTACAATAATACAAAATAAATAAGAAAAATTCTTACATTAACAGATTTATTAATGCAGCTCATGTAAAGCCTCCTGGGTAAATGTTCCTGGTTCATGAAACATGGCAAACTCATATTGTAGTCGATTTGTTGCGGATCAGGCGAAGGCGGGAATCTGTCTTTTTGTTCCTGACACAAATTGTTGATCACTAGCAGGATCATGTTACTACCGCTGACACGTTGAACTATAAAAGGCCTGGAGCAATTGCCCATAGTTTTATTGTATCCACTATTAGATTCATTTTTTGCAATATAGTGTACCAAGTTGTATAAGTAAAATTCATTGTCGCATGGTTCTGGTTTGGTTTTTTGCATGGTGGCACTCTCGTCAAATGCTTTATCACTTACTTGTTCTTGACCTAGGAAACATTTGGTTTGTATTTTAAAATTATTGTAAGGAAAATGAATACCTTCGTGTTCATAATCGTGATTGGCTTCATGCTCTTCATGATCAGACACTACAATATTATGATCGGTGTGATCAGTTGAATCGTCGTATTGTTCATTGGTTTGCTGGTAGAGGGCTGGGTCGTAGTAGAAGTTTCCAGTGGCTGCTTCAGCGAAAATTGTCATTGTTGTTACCGCCCATTCCAGGATTGTGGCCAAGAAAAAGTATGGCTAAAAAAGATTTGATTTAAAAAAGGCTTAAAACACACTTGTTCGAGGTATCAATAGACAAATGTTGTAAATTGATCAATACAGGGTGATTCAGGTTCCAAACCACGTGACTTTCGCCAACTAGCCGGCATTTTGAAATTTTTATAAGGTTAGAATACAGGTTTTTACATGTCAACGATGTCAGAAAAGTGTAAAATTTCCTTATGTCAGCAAGGGCTGAGTTCATAAAATAGCTCCAAAACCACATTTTCAACAGTTTTCAATTTCAATTTATGTGTATTGATAATCCCGCCAAAAAAACTTATGTTTTTCGTTTATTGTGTGTCAACCAGCCGCCATTTTTGACAGGATCGACTACTACATTTATCTCTTGACAGGTGATTAATACTGTATCAAGTGTCTTTTTTTCAAAATCGGTAAGGTTTCAGGGTACTTATGGCCATAGGCGCAACTAGGGGAGTGCTTGGAGGTGCTAAGCACCCCTAAAGCAAAAATTAGCACTCCCATTCGGGGTTAGACAATGTTGTCAATGTCTATGTTTTTCTATATCGGCCGAGTTCGTTTTTGACATCTTTTTCGTCGATTTGCTCCGAAATTTTGACAGACATGTGACAGAAGAAGACAGTTTCAATTTATAAATCACGTGCCTGTCAAAATTTCGGAGCAAATAGACGAAAAAGATGACAAAAACGAACTCGGCCATCTTAAGGTGACATTGAAATACCGGCCCTCAAAAAATCATTGGAGTCCTAAATATATAAATTAATTAACTGCGTATTATACAGGGTGTTCCTAAATATGATGTACAAACGACAAAGGGTGATTGTTTTTTTTTTTGAGATTAAAACTTGCAGAGGGAAAATTTTCCAGGAATAAGAGGAAAATGAGGAACTCATTTTATGAAAATTTCAAAATTTTCCAGTAAAAAATCACTCCAGGAAAAATTTTGAAAAACTAACTCTTGCAAAATTAAGGAGAATTCACCTACTTAACATTTTAATTTTTTTCTGGGAAACTGGCAAAAGGAAAATTGTGAAAATTTTCCAGAAAAAAGAGGAAAGTAAAGAGCTCATTATAGCAAAATTTTAAAATTTTCCAATGAAAAATCACTGCATAAAAAATTCTGGAAAATCGACTTATTTAAGCAAAATTAAGTAAAATTCACCCTCTTACATTTTAATTTTTTTCTGGAAAATTGGCAGAGGGAAAACTTTGGAAATTTTCCAGGAAGAAGAGAAAGGTGATGACCTCATTATAGGGAATTTTCGAAAATTTTCAGTGAAAACTCACTCCAGGGAAAATTCTGGAAAATTGACTTTTTCAAGTAAAATCAAGGAAAATTCATCCTCTTACATTTCAATTTTTTTCTGGAAAACTGGCAAAAGAGGAAAGAGAGGAAAGTCAGGAGCTCATTATAAGAAAATTTCAAAATTTTCTAAGGAAAAATCGTTCCAGGAAAAATTCTGAAAAAATGATTTTTTTCAAGTAAAATTTAAAAAAAATTCATCCTCTCACATTTCAATTTATTTCTGGAAAACTAATAAAGCAAAACTTGTGAAATTTTTCCAGGAGAAAGAAAAAAATTAGGAGCTCATTATAGGAAAATTTCAAAATTTTCTAGTGAAAAATCACTCCAAGGAAAGTCGAGAGGAAAGTTCTGGAAAATTGACTTTATTAAGCAAAATTCATTATTTCATATTTCCATTTTTTTTTGGAAAACTGGCAAAGCAAAAATTTTGAAATTTTTCCAAACGAAAAAGGAAAGTGAGGAGTTCATTATGGAAAGATTTCAAAATTTTCCAGTAAAAAATCACTCCAGAAAAAATTCTGGAAAATTGAATTTTTCAAGTAGAATTAAGGAAAATTCACCCTCTTATATTTTAATTTTTTTCTGGAAAACTGGCAAAGGAAAAATGTAAATTTTCCAAGAATTAGAGAAAAATGAGGAGCTCATTTTACGAAAATTTCAAAATTTTCCAGTGAAAAATCACTCTAGGAAAAATTTTGAAAAACAAACTTTCTTAAGCAAAATTAAGGAGAATTTACCCTCTTACATTTTAATTTTTTTCCAGAAATCTAACCTAGGGAAAATTGTGAAATTTTGTCAGAAGAAAGAGAAAAGTGAGGAGCTCATTATAGGAAAATTTCAAAATTTTCCAGTGGAAAATCATTCCAGAAAAATTCTGGGAAATTGACTTTTTTTAGGCAAAATTCACCCTCTTACATTTGAATTTTTTTCTGGGAAACTGGTAAAAGGAAAATTGTGAAAATTTTCCAGAAAAAAGAGGAAAGTAAAGAGCTCATTATAGCAAAATTTTAAAATTTTCCCATGAAAAATTACTCCATAAAAAATTCTGGAAAATTGACTTTTTTAAGCAAAATTAAAGAAAATTCACCCTCTTACATTTTAACTTTTTTCTGGAAAACTGGCAGAGGGAAAACTTTGAGAATTTTCCAGGAAAAAGAGGAAAGTGAGGAGCTCATTATAAGGAAATTTCGAAATTTTCGAGTGAGAAATCACTCCAGGAAAAATTCTGGAAAATTGACTTTATTGAGGAAAATTCATCCTCTCACATTTGAATCTTTTTCTGGAAAACTGGCAAAAGAGGAAATTCAGGAGCTCATTGTAAGAAAATTTCAAAATTTTCCAATGGAAAATCGCTCCAGCAAAAATTTTGAAAAAATGACTTTTTCAAGTAAAATTAAGAAAAACTCATCCTCTTACATTTTAATTTTTTCTGGAAAACTGGGAACGGTAAAATTTTGAAATTTTTACAGGAGAAAGAGGAAAGTGAAGAGCTCATTAGAGGAAAATTTCAAAATTTTCCAGTAAAAAATCACCCCAGGAGAAATTTATTTATATATTTTCAGATAACTGAATAAATCTAGTTAAAAAATGTATTACAAAACAATAATTCCGAAGGTGCTCCATGAATTAATCTATGACCTGACTTTTTCTCTAAGTTATGACGTCATCGATGACGTAAGTAAAAACCTTCGTGCCGTGCAACGAACTATATGTTTGTTTGAAATTTCAGACATAAAAAAAACTATTTATCAAAAAAAAAGGCAAATGATGACGTAAGTACAAACCCTCGTGAAGCTAACTTTTTTTTACGCGTCTCATTTCCTTTCCATCAAACCCCATAAAAAATAAAATAAAAAAAAATATGCTGCACATATGAAAAAACTCCATAATCCACTCACAGTTAGTAATTTTGATCCGCTACTTCCAGTATCCTGACCTTCCGGACACAATCCTTGATAGTCGAACATCCGATGCATTTTGTAGATACCTTCGTCCACTAATTGACTCATAATGTCTGATCTTATTTTTCCAAAAAAGTAGCCAGTTTCTTGGATGTTATCGCTTACAATGACGTAGCCACTGTCGTCTAACATCAGACAATGTAATTCTTCAGAATCGCAAGTTTTCTTGCAGGCTTTTTGCATATCACCACACTACAAAAGAAGCTATTTTCTCTTATTTCACATAGAATTAAACTTACATTAATGGTAGTTTTCTTGAAAATATTGTATAAGGATTGGTGGTAGAATTGATAGCCGACAACTGCAACAGGTGCTTTTCTGCTACCGTCTTCTTTGAAAACTCCTGAACTAACTGTCACTAGGGTGTTATTGGCCTCACCTATTACATACAATTTAGCCAAATTGTATATTTTCATTATGGGCTCTTACCTATTTCATGAGGCACAGAATATACATAGACGCCGGGATCTATATAGGAATGCTCTATTGCTCTTTTGTACCAAACTTCTTCGATTGCTCTATTATGAATTCTATGGAAGTGCCTATAGAAATAATGGTATGAAATATATGATATTATGATGTTTATTGTAATTGTTACTTTTCATGTAAATTGTTGTCAATGTTCTGAGGAAAGTTTTGCCACCTGGTAAATCCACTGTGAGTTGCCATAAAGGCAACTACTATTCCATAGTCCTTGATCAATTGAGCTCTGCATGAAAATAACAAAGGGAGTATCTGTAATTATCATATAAGGGCGTTGGTTTAAACTAAACAATATTTTATGAAAATGAAGCTCTCTGGTTCAGATTTTGTATTATTGTAGAAGGTAAAGTTGATTATATTTCTGACTGGAAGAAAAACAAGTATAATAAAAGTATATCCAATGGCTGCATGAAAACAAAATAACTTAAAAATATGCATTAGTTTTTAGATGGCGAGATTGTGTTGGTACTTCAATGTCCATAAGTAGAAATAATTATTTCTAATCCTAATAATATTCCTGGAAAAAAAATACTTCAAATATTAGGTATACTATACTGTACCTGGATATTAGTGCCATCAATATAGACATTGGTCTTTTTACAATAAACAAAAAAGTCATTAGTGCTTGAGTTAAAAAATAAATGTGTGCAATTTGGAAACAAAAATTATTATAGACAATATGAAAAATTTACCCTTTATCTTCTTTAGTTGTAGTGGTAATGTTCTCGTTAAACCAAACGGTCATTTTGGCATCAGCTACTACTTTGGCTATTAGTTTCCGGTCGCCTGAAAAATATACATTAAATATACATATAAATATATCACTTCCTCAAATTTCTCCTAAATTTTATGGAGGGTGCAATCAGAAAATCAGAAGGACTTCAAACTTTCAGGATTTATTAGGTAGGGTCTTTTTATCAAACAAAACAAACCTAGGTAAAGAGTAGCCTAATTTACCTGATACATAACTGCATTTTTTACTTACATTCTCGTGACCATTTCCATCCAGGACCTTCCATTTTCTTCAAAAAATAAAGAAACTCCTCCTCTGCCGATTCGAAGAAATGTTTGTCGTCCAAATATCTACAATAGTGCCTAAAATTTCTTTGATTTAAACCATTATTTTCATTGAAATTTCTACTAACCATTCTGGATGGATAGTCCAATTCCCAGGCGTAAAGAATTGAGTCAAAGTGTGCTGCCCTTTATCGTTAGATCGAATTCGGTGGATATCGTTTTCTACAGGGTGTTGGACACGATTGAAGCCGTATCTGTGTGGTAGCGCGATTACTAAACTGAATGGAGTCGCGTTTATTCCGGTGTAGTAATAGTAACGTTTGCTTATGTGGATTCGAGCCTGGAATTAAAAAAAATATTGTTTTTTTTGGACCATTTAATTCCTTGGACGTCTTTACAACGTTAGTTTCTGGGTAATTTCCAGAAGATGTCTTTAGGATGTTTACCTAAGACCAATTTAGAACATTGGCCAAATAAGTGTTGAAATATATGGTAATATAAATATAAAATGCAATAAGGCAAAATAAAAATCACTATAACTCATAAATATAGGTACACATGTTTATTCAGCAGAAAATAACATAACATGGAAAATACTTAATTTAAATAACTCAAAACACACTAATTATTACTTAAAAAGAGCTGTATGGACAGTTGCGATCAAAAAAAAGTAGTACACAAATTATTAACTCCAATTTGGGCTCCCAGTGTAACATACAAACTGTTGACAGTAAATAAATAGGCAATGACATATTCTCGGTTTAAAACGGGTGGAAAAATGCCAAAGTAATGTCATCTGAGGCTTTCTAGGTTAGAAACTTGTCGAAAAATGCCAAAAATATGTCATTTTTGGTTATGAATTGAATTAATGTATAATAGACCAGGAGATTTTGGAGATTTTTCTTGTACTACTTTTTTTTTTCATCGCAACTGTACATACATCAATATTTAAAAAAAAGCAAAAAAATGGTGGAAAGGAGAAAGTATTGGATAAGTTTTGTATAAGGTCAAAAGTAGTCGATGTTAGAGAGTGTATCTCAAAGCTCAAATGGATATGGGCAAGACATGTCGCACGAGTGATGGATGGGAGATGGACCGAAAGAATTCTCGAGTAGCGGCCTAGAAGTGACAAACGCAGCCCTAACTAAACTGACCTTCCACTCGCTGGTCAGACGATATCAGGAGGATTTCGACAAACTAGATTGCAACATCACAAAAATGGAGAATAATGGAAACACCTTGAGGTGTCTAACAGTGGACGCTGAATGACGATGATGATCTTATTCGAGGTTTAGGATTAAAATGTCAAATTCTAGCTTCAACTATTCTCAACTTCCATAATTTCTTCATCAGAATCAGAATCTATCAAGCTTTCGGAATCAGAATCTGACTCATTGAAACGAGTGATGATAGGAGGAATGTTTTCGAAGCTAGTGTTCCCAATAATTTCTCCCAGTCCACGTGTATCAAAGAGTCACAATGCCTAACAGAATTTTGCCTTTGCCACATGACTGGAGTATATGCAGACAAGGCCTTTTCCATAAACTTCATCGAAAAACAACTCTGTTTTTCGATGAAGCCTCCTCGTTTATGGGCTTGTTGTAAAAGTTCTTGGTAAACCCCCATGCCATCTCAATAGGATTATATTGACAATGGTATAGAGGTAATCTAAGGCAATGTCTATGTTACCACCGCCACCTGATTGTGATGGTTGGGTAAGGGAGACTTTGTTTTAGCCTTGGTAAAGGCCTTTTTCGTACTGCGGTAGCTTGCCACCAGGGACTTTGTTTAAAAGAAAATCTAGGTAACTTTGAACGGATACTTTTAAGTAATCTGATTAGATTGCCTCTTCCAGTGCGGGTTCTTGCTACCTGAGCTGTACGCAGTTAGTTGGAATGCTAGTGTGATGTATTATCATTATTATTGTGAAATGTGGCAACATTGTTGTTAAAGGTTCTGGGTTCTAGGTTCAAACTGGTACTGGAATTTCATGGCCAGGCCAGTATATATTTGACTCAACTTATGAATGTATTGTGTGTCCAATAAATAGGTTTAGTAAGGGTTGTAGTTTCAATTCTAGACTAACGGACATTACAGCTAGCTCGGGGTTTTCCAAAGGAAATAAAAGAATCAGTTTTTATTACTAAACTCTAACAATGGTTTATTGAACAACTGGTGAAATTTGGTAAGGAAATGAAAGAAAAGCAAAGAATATACATAAGTTATTAACAAAGTTATACTGAAAAAAATTTAAAGAAATTGCATACAGAGCTTTTGGAATGATAGGGAGTGAAATTGAGTGTCCCTGTATAGGGCGTTCCTTAATGATACAAGCTACATGAAAAAATTAAGGATTAAAGCAAAAAAAAAAGGATTTTTAGGCCGTTTTATTACATTACCCTCTTCTAAAACGGAAACATATACCCTCAAGTGACACTATTACATATTTTACTCTTATATATTATTATTGTTTACACATTTATGTACCAAGAAAAACTGTTATTGGAGTATTGTCAATCCATTTTTATGTTATAAACAACTTTAAGCCAGATTGAATTAATTAATAATTGTCTAGTCTCTCCATAGAGAAAATAACTATTTTTTTCTTGTTATTTTGAGCCTTGGAAAAGACTTTAAATAAATTCGAAATGTCGGCATTTTTTAACATTTAGAAGGGACTTTGAATTTTTTCGCCCTAAACCCACAACACTTCCTATTCATATAACTGTTAAGGACGCAAACCTCCTACAATTATTATTAAACAAAACGGTTAAGACTGACATAACTGAGACTATAAGTTCATCGGTTATCTCTGTCGGCTCGGTAGAAAGTTGCGGTTGGGAATGTCGAAATCTTCTTTAAGCATAGGCTGGATACGGTTTTGGTATCACCTCGGAATAATGCCATGTTACAGGATATAACGGGAAGATATTAGATCGGTTTTAAGGGAATGCAGATTTTGAATCTTTTCCTCTACAGTTAGTTAGTTCGTGATCCTTCATTTCGTAGAATGACATAGCATCATTTGAAACGGCTAGGAGGGGATAGGACGGTTTGATGACGATTGTAGCATTAACTTTGACGTTGTAGTAAGGAAAATTGTTTACTCGGTAAAGGATGGATGTTCGACCTAGATTGGTCAACGGGAATTCCACTAGGATTTGGATAGAGCCGCTGAAGGAAATAGCATATAGATGTAGGATGTAGTATAATTATGTATATCCATCATGTGAACTGCATGAAAAAAAGCGTGATTACTAGGAAGTTGGTCTTCGATAGTAGCTAGTGTTTCCTTTAGCTTGGCTGCGCTGATTATGGCGTTGCTTAGTCTACTTTGGGCTACTTTGTCCAAGGCAATCATTAATTGGTTAACATCGTGCTCTATGGATGTAAAATTGACAAAAACCAGCATCCTGAAGTTTGTATTTATAGTGAAGTAGGCGTCGACTACTTTAAGTATATCTTGCTGGTTTCTTTTCAAGACATTTTGTAGTCTCTGGGCGACTTGTTATAACTTCTAGGTTACTATAGGTTAACTTCTCTTAGCGTTTCTGTGTTTCTTTTTAGCATCAGGTAGGTCTTGTCTCGTCTTGTTCACAAAGAGGCTTATGCCTTGAATGAATGAATTCTACGTTTACGGTTTCCTTTCTTTTGAACTGTTTTTCCATTGTGGCCAAGTCATTTGCATTTGGGGTGCCAAACAGGAATTTCAAAGCGGTGCACCCAATGTTTATTAGGCCTCTTTTTGATTTGTGAGCTGCGGTTGTGTCTCGAATACCTTTGATAATCTCGGCAATATGATCAATGCGCTTAGTCATCAACTGTCTTTCATCGTCGAGGAAGGTTCTCTATGGAGAAAGGTCATCTGGTAGTTGACATAGGAGTCGTGATGTATCGGCTGACTAGATCTAAGAACTCCATTTGCTGTCGGACTCGGATCGTAAGATCTAGGTAGTTATTAAGGTCGATACTAATGGCTAAAGTCCATTTTTCATTGGTCAGTGTGATCTTTGTGCCTCTTTAGTGAATAATATACCTTGTGATAATTCTTGATTGAAGTGTGGGTCGCATCGGGTCGTCGGTATAGTGAAAACATAGAGAACTTCTAGTACGGTCAGAATGAATTTCATATTCGTTTTTTCAGGACCCGCAGGGATTCAGGATAAACTTGAAATAACGGGTGAACTTGAATGATTTGGCGACGCTAGGGTTGCATTATTTTCAGGAGCTGAAGGATGCGACACGTCATCATCGGAGTCTACACTTTTCCAATCGTCTTCCTTATTGGTCAGATTGTGTTGCGGTATTACAGTATATGGAGTTTTAATCTTCTTTTTTTTTCTCTTGCCAATTTCTTGTATCACTGCATTAACGACAGTTGGTAGTTCCAGGATTATGTATGGGCCTTTCCATCTCATCTGTAATTTCCTTGATCGGTGTACTACGGATACTACATTTTTCATAAGTACCATATCTCTTATCTCGAACTAATGTTTCTTACCTTTCAGCAGGTGTTTCTTTTGCTGATTTTCAGCAGTTAGTCAGAGTGTTTCCTGTTTCCTGTACTGTTTCATAAGAAATTTGAAATCTTTTAATCATTTGTGCTGCGTAGTTATCAACAACGTCATAACGGTCTCTGGTTGATTGAAGAAAGTCTTTGCATGGAATTAACATATTTCTCCCGTGTAGTAAAAAGTATGATGTCTCTCCGGTGGAACTATGAATCATATTCCTATATGCCATCGTCACGTAGGGGAGCCAGGGCTGGAACTCTGTAACGGATAGAGATCGTTATCCCTATCGCTATGGCACTTGCTGTCTTCTTCTGTCTTGTCGAAATCAATAGAGAAGAGACGTCAATAGAGATAGAGAAAATGTATCTATTCGTTACAGAGTCCCAGCCCAGGTATCTCAATCTTTTTGATCATGGCCCTTGAAATGAGAAAGGAAGTCTTTTAATGTTCTATAGGTCCTTCCAATCATCCCACCGCTGCCACCATTTTTGTTACCACCACCACTTGATTGTGACGGTTGGGTAAGGGAGACTTTGTTTTTGCACTGGTAAAGGCCTTTTTTGTACTGCGGTAGTGTGCCACCAGGAAATTTGTTTAAAGTCCCACTGAAAATCTACACTATTTTCAAATCCAAGCGGCAGTAAGTGACAAACTGCTTATTTTCATTACGACCTATCAAATGTCCTCCGTGCAGGCACACTAGTCCAGGTAGGGCGTTTCAACCAATAGGAAGGCTGGTATTTGTTGACAATTTAGGTTATTTAATGTCATTTACTGCCGCTTGAATTTGGAAATGGTGTACCTAGGTAACTTTGAACGGATACTTTTTAGTAATATGATTAAATCACTTCTTCCAGTGTGGGTTCTTGCTACCTGAGCTGTACGCAGTTAGTTGGAATGCTACCTCGGGGTTTTCCAGAGAAAATAAAAGAATCAATTTTTAATTACTAAACTCTAACAATGGTTTATTGAACAACTGGTGAAACTTGGAAAGGAAATGAAAGAAAAGCAAAGAATATACAGTAAGTTATTAACAAGTTATACTGAAATGAAATAAAAGAAATCACATACAGAGCTTTTGGAATGATAAGGAGCGAAATTAATGAGCGTCTTGTATAGGGCGTTCCTTGATGGTACAAGTTACATAAGAAATTGAGGATTAAAAGATACAGAAAAAGAGATTTGAGTTGTGAAGCTATCCAACGATTTTGTTCTTTACACAGGGGAGAAAATAAATAATAGACAGAAAACAACAATCATGATGAATAAATTTAAAATACTTGAAATTGAAACATTACCTATAAGGTCTCGGAAAGAGAGTAAGCAGAAAGACGTCAACACTAAACACCAGAACTTCGTTACAGAACGGAATCAATCTAGGCGGCTCACAGGCTTATTTATATTGGCAGCTTGATGACGCTTTTGGGAGTCTTATCGGTCGCACAACTTGCGATTTTTTTTAAAGGAACCAGGGGTCAAGAGTCGTGTTTTAAGACACAGTCACCATACTCTTTCGGAAACCGACTGATAACCCTTGGCTCTTGACATGGTTTCGTCAGAATTGTAGCGACTAATCTAGCTGAGTAAAAAAGCCCATTGATTGTATTACGAAGCAAAAAAAAAAAGGATTTTTAGGCCGTTTTTTTACATCTACTGAGAACCTTGTCAATCACATATTTTTTGTTCAAAATATAAAGATATGCTTTAGGCCTGCTCTGCTATTTTTCAGTATTATGTCATCAAAATATGATATACTTTTCATTTATTATTGGCGTAGCATTATCCATGGAAATTTGGCAAGTTGACCCTCGTATAATAATTTATTTATTTATTTATTTATCAACGGCAACCCATTTTACAACTTTACAGCTTTAAAGCTGATTCTAACAATTAAACAATTTAATATACTACATGAAACATCTACAAATTGGACTATCACATCTGCCAACAAAATATAAAATATAAAGTATTAAATATAAAATATAAAACATAAAATATAAAATATAAAAAAGACCTATACAACTTCCAAATTTAAGATTCCCATCTTTATATTTTTTCCTTGCTTTTTTTGAAAATCTACCTATAATATCACAGTTGTTTCAGACAATTCTTTAGTTTCATTTCGGATACATTAAATAAGTCAACTTGTAACTCCATTTGTAATTCATTAAAATTTTTCATCATTCTATCAATTGCCGCATTTTGGCCATAACGAGTACAATGTTGATTGACTTCAAAAGTTTTGTGTCCACGCAAAGTTCTAGGAGGCACATGAAAATTAAGTTTTGCCAAAATATACGAGCAATCAATAGAACCATGAACAACCCTATATAGGGTCATAATGTCTGCATTCCGCCTTCTTTTATCCAATGTTTGTAATTTAAGTAAAATTTCCAAGTCTCTATAAACAATATTATCTCTAGGGATATTTAATTTGTAAGCAATATAACATAAAAAATTTCTTTGAGCTGATTCTATTTGGTTAATGTGAACCTGGAAGAATGGAGACCACACAACCGTGCAACTTTCAAGTTGCGATCTTACTAGCGATGTATATAAAGTAACTAAGGCGTTTATATTATAAAAATATTTGGTATTGCGCTTAATAAATCCTAACAATTTTAAAGCCTTACTCCTACAAAATTGAAAGTGTTTAAGAAAATACATCTTAGAATCGAACAAGATACCCAAATCATGAATCAATTCAACATTTTCAACCAGATTGTTATTCAAATAATAATCATTGACTGATACATTCAAAGATCTTGAAAAACAAATATATTTACATTTACCAGTGTTTATGAACATATTATTTTCAATGCACCATGCACAAAATCTATCCAGATCCTTCTGCATTTCAAAAACATCTAGAGTGGTTTTAATGGACTTAAAAATCTTCAGATCATCCGCAAACATTCAGAATTCACAAAAGTGAAAACATTTTGAAATGTCATTGACAAATATATTAAATAATATTGGAGCAATATGCGCCCCTTGAGGCACACCTGATGTTACGTTTATAGGACATGAATAAAAATTCTTTATTTTAATCATCTGTATTCGATCTAGTAAATTAGAAGTAATCCATGAAAGAAATGTACCATGAATACCAATATTCGACAATTTTGCTATTAACAAATCATGGTTGACCTTGTCAAATGCCTTGGAAAAGTCAGTATAGACAGAATCTATTGTCATACCCTGCTCCAAGGCACCGACAATGTAATCATAATATATAATGAGATTGGTGTTAGTTGACCGCCCTGAATAAACTCCATGCTGATTCGGAATTATAATATTACTCAATAGGGTAGTGGACAAGGTATGATTTCAATGAAATTGATGATCTATTGTTCATTATGGAGTAAATGAAAAATGTTCCTATTGAAAGAAATTTCAAAAAAAAATTGCTAACTTTGTTTAAAACGATTGTAAAAGTAGAGTTTTGGGATGCACTATTTAAACGAAAATATTTCGCGCCTTGATTCTACGTCATAGCTGCTGTATTTGAGTATGAAATGAATCAAACCTTCGTCCTATATGCGACACACACTTACTCATAAGTGCAAAAAAGAGAGATATATCAGCGTCTGTGTGTCATTACATCTAGACGCACCCTCAACTTAACCCCACTTTTTGAGAGATTTCCTTGTCAAAGAATGCGCTCTGAGTTTATCTGCATCTTTTTCTAGAAGCATGTAAAATATAAGGACGCCACTGACCGCGCTCTCGCCCACTCTTGTTAATGTCGGAATGCTTTGACGCTATATATCATTCAGAGCCCTTCCGCTCTGAATGATATGGAGCGGAAGGATAAACCACCTTCATTCTCTTCAAAGAAAGACAAAATGCAGGAATGGTTAGTTGAACATAACATAGACTTCGACACAAAAATGACCAAAAAACAACTATGGGACCTAACTGAACCATTTCGGAATAGACCAAAACAATACAAAATTGACGACATTTTGAAAAGCCAGGGACACGAAGTTCTTAGATTACCTCCTTATGATTGTCATTATAATTCTATAATAAAACTATAACTTCGCAGCCACCATCCACGGATAGGGTTGCGAGGGTATGGACTTATGTAAAAATTGTCGAGATCTTACCCACCCTCCCATGCCTTATAACCCTTTCAAAAAGATAAGGTTTCGTTACAATCGATCCTGCAAGGGAAGATATTTGGAAAGAGAGGACCAGGAAGAAGAAGAATATCGTGACGGAAAAATGTCAGAACATTGTTTGATAAAGCTCGTCACAACTCTTCCATATTGCTGCGAATTAAGTGGACATCGCCATAATAATCGATGATCGCCGACATTCATAAGGGATAGGCACGTCCAGAAGAAGAAGAAATAAAAAAATAAAAATAGAAGAAATGCCGTTGGACCAAACCCGAAAAAAAAGTTACTGCAAAAACATATTTATGCTATTGAGCTTACTGTTACGGTTACGTTTAATTAATAAATTGAATAATTTTACTATTTGAATTTACTCAGATATTTTACACATTCTGGCAACTCGGCTTTCTGTTTCATAACCCTGAAATTTGAAAAATATTTTGTCATCAAATGTCATTATTATACGAGGGGCAACCTGTCAAATTTCCATGGATAATGCTACGCCAATAATAAGTGAAAAGCATATACATGCGTAACCTCCCAAAGACATATCAAAATGTTACCAACTTAGATACAGGTAATAAATAAAATAAAATCCGTATCAACTACCAACTCAAAGGTGATAAAAATCTACCTTTACCTATGGACTTCGGTTATGATCTATGACGTGTTTATGACCAGTCAACATAATCCTGACAAATCTCAACTGTCAGTATAGCAAAAAAATTTATCAAATGATAGAAAATCCTTGAAATAATACATTAATGCGGGGTCAAAAGTAAATCGGGGTAAAAATTCTAGCAAACATCTCAATTCAATAAAATATCATCATGTCGAGAGGTCTAGCAATGGAAAAATTTTTCCGAAAACCGCCTCCAAACGAACTAGCTCTACTCCATTTTCCCACATACGAAAATTACCTAGATTCATTCCTCACTGAATCTGATCAATGCTACTTGCAAGATCGGACCGTGTGCAGGAAAATTGCCGAGCTCGGATACCGCCGAGATGGATTAACATACAGCCGGGAAGACTTCGATAGGATAAAGAAAAAAGTACTGGCCTATCTTTCACCAATACCGGTAAATATACAGTCCAGTTCTGGATTCAAGTCTGGCGACAGCGCCCAAAACGCTCTAGCTATACGAGAACGAGCCAACAGAGTAGGACTAATGTCCACAATAATTTTCGTCAGTTACACAACGTCAAAAGGACGCGAAGTGTCCGGATACATCGATTTCAGCCACAGTTTGCTCAAACGCAACTGGAAGGATTTTTTCATGAACAAGGAGCCTGTTTATCCAGAACGGACGGATTTGGGGTATTTCAATTGGAGAAAAAACATTTCGGTCGTCAACGATTCGTTATATTTCAAAACTATGAACTCGCCGATCAAAGGTTTGTTGTTTCAACATAAAATGGATCGGATGGTTATTTATCCGGATCCGTACGCTTTCAATGCGGGACGGCAAACGACTAGGAAACGGTTTTATACTGATATGTATAATATTTTTGTACTTATTGATCATACTTTGAGGTGTAGGAAATGATTCAATAAACGACTTGGACATATGTATTTCTTAATGTTATTATAAGAAAATTATCAGTATTACTTACCATATCATCCAGATGGCTTTTGACTCTCAAAGTAATATTTCCCCTTTTTTGCATAATAACTCTATATCTCATCTCTAGCATTTCTTTACTGAATCTTCGAGGCTCGCTATCATCGTCCAATATTTCGACTTCCATCATATCTACTCTGTTGTAGGCGGGCTTTAAGATGCCTTGAAACTACAACCCAACAAATTTCAAATTAAGTTTTTACTACTATGAAAGCAAAATAGCAACTTACCACTGGTCTCAGATCTGGATGTATCAAAATGTAGCCGTTGTTAGTTACAATAAACGCGTAACCATTAACACCCAACTGAAAATTTTAAAATGGGTAATTTGTCTCAAAAACTATGCACCTCGAAACCCTAATTCGAATAGTCAAATAGAAAGACTACATTCTATCCTGCAAGTCTAACAAGCTTGAAATTACAAAGCCCTAATAAAAACATTAATGACTTGATGGTAATTGCAATCTTGAATTATAATAACAGCATACATAGTGTTACAGGTTATACATCTTTCCAAATAAGCTACAAATAGGTATGAAATTTTGTGGTTTGGAGCAAGACATACTAAAAATTGAAATAATTCAACAAGAAAACAGTTGCAAATTTCCTGATTTTTCTTGAGAAATCTCTCAGGATCTTCAATTTTGCTTTGCAACTGTTCAGGTTTTCTTCAAATCTTAAAAACTCAAGAATAAAGAAACTCTAGAAATCTTGGATACCAAATTTTGAATCATTACTAAACTAATTTAACAAAGGAAATAAAAATAAACTTACCCTATAGGGCAACATAAGCCTTTGAATATATTCTATCGGAACATCAGTACCAGCCACTCCAAGAAGATTTGCTACTCTTTCCTATAATAATTCAAAAAGAATTTAGAACTTTTCTTCGCAAATGTTTACCTATGTGAAAGTATATAGGGTGTTAAAAAATTTATTAATGCATTGAACGCCCTGTTCTAATATCTAAAATAATTTCTAATAAATAAGCTTTTGTCTAGTTAAAAACTCTATTAGTATGGCTACGATTTGTTATTTTTCTCTAACCTAAAGTCACAAAAATAGTATATAACGACTGGATCTAATATAACTGCTGGTACGACTGGCTAAAACACACTGCTCTGGCCTAAAATTCTGGTCTAAAATATTCATCTAAAATTTGATTTGGTCTCTTTACGACTGGGTTTTACCTCTCTGGTGACCGTTATCCAGACCGCCTCGTTTATTTGCTTTTTTTCTGTTATGTTCTGTGGATTTATAGTTAAGTAAGTGGATGTTGTAGAGAATTTGTTGATGGGTGATGAATGAATGTTTATTACAATGAAAAATCTACTTACTTGTCGTGGCTTTTTATCGTACACGGGCAAAGATACTGAAGTCATCATGTGATAAGTTTGAGTTTCTCCATAATTGTCTTGTTTCTGAAACAAGAAGCTTACCATTTCAAACATTATGAAATTAGTAAAACCCTTACCATTTTCTGCTGATGAACAAACTTTCTATCAATCTCATTAGGGGACATCATGTCTTTGTATTTGCTGAACATAAGATACCTCTCTCGTTGAGTGATTCTTTCTCGATTCACCCATAACCAGTTGGTCAGTTTAGGATCGGTAACGTCGGCGTAGACGGGCGACCAAGTGGGATTTGGTTTATGGGTAGCGTTTAGGACCATCGGCCGGGCCATTACTGGAATGTAGTGCAGGACTTCTTCGCGAACTTCGGCGTAAGTGCTCAAGTGGACGTAGTAACCTAGGATTTTCGTTTATATTGGATTTAATGAGGATTAAGGGTACGTGCACAAGGGAGTTGTGATACGTAGGTACTTATTATAGCCTGGATGATAGATGGAAGCTATCATCGATGGTTAGAATTATTATATCATTGGGTTTAAATGTGAGCGTGCATATCGGAGCAGTGAGTATAGCTTATAGCATACTAGAATGAATTTTATCATTCTTTCTGCAAACGGAAACCAGCTGACAAGGGTAGCGCATGCCCAGTCATTGACTTGTCTTTAATTTTACTTAAAATGTATTGGTAAGTAGATGGTTCCATGCTCAAGTATTAATAAAAACGATCATTAACATCAGGTTATCCCTTCATATTCCTATATGTGGTGATAAATTGATAATCTCCCATTTCTAGCCGTTTTTGATTAATTAGGTGAGTATGGTATTCTCTTGGGGTTAAATGCCACCGAACATACCACTGTAGTGACTACAGAAATTTTAATCAAGAATAACAAGGACTTACCAAACATCCATCCCAGGAGAGATCATCACTTAGACAGCACAACCAGAAACTTCAATTAAAATTTATCTAAACATCGACATCCAGAAATTATTGAAAGCCGATACCCTTCCTCTCAAGAATAACCAGCCAATAGGAATTGAACAAAATAATTGACTAATACATTGGAATGTGAATAAAGCAAAAGTTCATGGACCTTTTTTTTAAGTGCTTTCAACAGTTAACATTCCAAAGGAGCCGAAAAATTTCTAAAAAGATCAATAAATCATGCACGAGCCTATATGATGATACCCACTTAACAAACCACTTAGCGACGCCCTTGATAATTAATTAAAAAGGGACCAAATACACTAATTGATCGGATGATTCAATCACGAAAAATCGAGGTCGGAAAAAATAAAGAAATTCAAGACAATGGATGGACCAATGATATAAAAAGGCAACTTTGACAGGAGAAAATCAGTGTTCGAGAAAGAGCGAGTAAACGGGCAGAACTACGGCGTGAAAGACCAGTGTCGTTTGAGTAATCGAGAAACAAGAGTTAAACGAGAATCGAGAGACCTGTGTCCAGAAAGTCAGAACTACGGCGTGAAAGGGTTGTCGAATTAACCGACAGAAGAAGCATGACGTGAAATAACAGCGCGAAAATATTTGAGTTTTTTATTAATTGTTCATAATTAAAGTAAATTCCTTCGACCAATAAGATTTCCATGTAATTAGGTGTGGCCAGCAGTAAATATATTATTGTTAAATGTAAGTAGAGTTTTTTTTATGCTCAGCCAGAAATTGTGAAGGCAACAGTGTGAGTCGAGTCAAACTGTAAATTAAAATTTTACTTGGATATTTCTGTGTTTTACTCTCCACCCGCAAATAGGACCCACTTTAAACTGTGTCTCCACTCAGAAACTAAAGTCACCGCTCGCCAATTTAACATCTTGCCAAGTTTCTGAATTTGGAGTCTCATACCACTTCAAAGCGCATGAACATAAATAATCGTCATCACTGTCTGACATCACGATCAGAAAATGCGTGATAAAATTGTATAAATCCAGTTAAAGGTTAGTATCACAGCTCCGTTGTGCACACCTGTATAATTTCAGCTATGATTTGTCATCCAGGTTACAAGTTTGTATCACACCTCCGTTGTGCACGTACCCAGAGTGGGCAAGAGAAATGAAAGTCGTAGACAATATTTTATTTGTTATCAAATCTTCTGGTCCCTGGTTCACGTCTAATGTACAAAATCTTATTCACGACTCTAGTTCAAGGTGCAATATATTTTTTTACGAGGTAATTAAAGAGTTACAGGTATTATGCATGACTTTTTTGCCACTCTGTATAAAGACACTTGATCATCTGCCTATATATAGTATTTTTAATACCTATTTAGAAGTACCAGTCGTTCTAGTGACAAAACGTATGTCGCTTCTTGAACACACAACTAAAATTAGGTTAAGAATTTCCTATTTGTACATGAATTTGACGTATTGGCAATCGACATTCGTTTTTGTTGGTAATTTTTTGTTTCATCTGATTCGTGATTGATAAATAAGGATAGGGTTATTCTAAATGGGTATTAAAAACACTATAGCTGTTCCACCGTACCGTTCATCTGCTGCACGTGAGCAATTACTGAAAATTAAAATTGACAATTTCTTGGAGGATCATATAAATGAAGAACGATTAAACGGTATGTGGACTAAACGTAATTACAGTTAGTGACAAGTACCTACTCGCTACCGCGCATGAATGATCTTCTTCACTCGACTAAAACAACTTTTCACCTGATCGTGATAAAATAGCTTTTACTATTCCTTTCGGAACTTATCATTTTAACGGGATGCCGTTTGGACTGAAAAATGCACCTGGAATTTTTCAGCGCTTGATCGATCAGTTTCGAAGTGGACTCAGTAACGTTTTAGTGCTAGCGTACCTAGACGATATCTGTGTGCTCTTCAGGACTTTTGAAGAACTTTAAATTTCGTATTTTCACGTCTCCGCCAATTCAATTCACGAGCCAAACGTGAAGAGTGCAACTTTGCGTGTAAGATTGTTAAATATCTTGGTTATTTGATCACTCCTGATGGAATTTCCGTGAATCCGGAAAAAGTGGCAACAATTGCGAATAGACCCACGTTCCGTGACGTTAAGCAAGTGCTTTCGTTTTTGCAGTCGTGTAGCTTGTATCGTCGCTTTGTGAAGTACTTTGCCGCCATTTCACGTCCATTGAGTAATCTAACTAAGAAAAAAAAGCACCATGGCAATGGACTGAACAGCATCAGAACTCGTTTGATACTTTGAAAAATGCATACTTATCACAGTATCTAGAAGGCGAGGGCATGGATAAACATCCCATTGAGTATGCCAGTAGAATACTCACTGCATGCGAGAAGAACTACTCGACGTCCGAGCGCGAAGCACTTGCTGTTGTGTGGGCGCTTGACAAGTTTAGATGTTACCACCGCCACCTGGTTGCGACGGTTGGGTAAGGGAGACTTTGTTTAAGCACTGGTAAAGGCCTTTTTGTACTGCGATAGTGTGCCACCAGGGACTTTTAAACAAAGTCTTTGTTTAAAGTCCCACTGAAAATCTAAGTAACTTTGAACGGATACTTTTTAGTAATCTGATTAGATTGCCTTTTGCAGTGCGGGCTCTTGCTACCTGAGCTGTACGCAGTTAGTTGGAATGTTAGTTCGAGGTTTTCCAAAGGAAATAAAGGAATCAGTTTTTCTTACTATACTCTAACAATGAACAAATGAAAGAAAAGCAAAGAATATATAGTAGGTTATTAACAATATTTATTGAAATGAAATGAAAGAAAATACATACGGAGATTTGGAATGATAGGCAGTGAAAAATCAATGAATGAGCGTCCTGTATAGGGCGTTCCTTGATGGTACAAGTTACATGAGAATTTAAGGATAAAAAGATACAGAAAATAAAGACTAGGTTATAATTCTTATTGGGTAAAAGTCACGGGCGTCCTCGACAAGGGAATGACAAAACGGCCTTGTGTAACAGTATTAATAGTAAATTTCAAATCTCGGTTCAAGTACGTATTTTATGGGAGTTACCAGAGACGGTTTTTAGAAATAGAAATAGTTAAAATGTTATCTTAATGGGTTTTACAAACATATGGCGATTCTGGGAACGATAACTAATCTGGTCGAGAATTAAGGGAAAGCACTTAAAGCAAAAAAATGTATCAAATTTTATAGTTTCAAGTCAAATATAAGCCAAAATTGACGAATTTATGAGGCAAAATTATGCGTTCTCCTAGATAAACATCAAATGTGATTCTAATCTGTAGCTGCACCAGATCACGACATATGTTTATAATAAAGTATTCAAGAACGATAATTCCCAACGTTTTATGGCGAACCCAGATGTCAGAGAACTGATACTGAACTTATATTCGAAGCATGTGTGTGGGCTAAAACAATGATTACGGGTACCAGATTTTCCAAGATACAATAACACAAAATTGTATAGTAATAGGAAAATCAAAGGTGAAATGAAAACTGTAGGAATTAAATGTTATTAACAAATAAGATAAGAAAGGAGATAGTTAACTACCCAATTATTTTAGGCATAATTAGTATTTAAGTATAGAATAATTTAATTTATTTCACACCGTTGATTAGGCTAAGTAATTAGGTTTATTACTCAGTTACATTAGTAATTAAGAAACTGTTTGTTTCATTTAACTAGGGTAACAGAAGGCATACCTATAAGAAAGAAAGATTTTTCCAATTAAAGGAAAAACGGTAATTTTCAGTTATTAAAATTATATTCTTCATATGACTAGCGAACTCTATTGGAAGGCTTTCAAACTATGTCACTAAGGGTGTAAACAGGGTGAACGACACGAGAACCAATAAGGAAAGAGCAATAAGGAATATTGAGAGGGCTAGGTACTAACAGCTAGCCAATGAGTTGTTAAGAGCAGTACCCTCAAGAAATAGGGGTTGGTTCTCTTTCGCTTATTTAAGCGAGAGTTGATGCAGTTATCGGCAGTTATCGTCGGAAATTGTTAGAATAAAACAAAAACTTAACGAGTTAGTGTTTGTCACAGTCGTCGCTCGATCCGTTCTTCTCCTAAGTTCATCTACCACTCAGTGATTAGTGGAAAAGCTCTCCAAAGAAGGTGATGGTTTATTTCAGTTCAATTTCTTTTAAAATCTATTTTTTTAGTCTAAACCTTTAATTGGAAATCAAACATTGTCTTCGTTAATTTTTTTTTTATTATTCATTCTTTTCTTGAATAAATTAATTTTATTCTTTTAAAAAAAGGAGTTTTCATTTTTGGTGTCATAAATTAAATTGCTCTAATCACTGGTAGTGGCCGAAAAAGATCTTTCGTGCCGGTTTGTGCAATTGAGGAGGGGAGTTAGCAACTTTGGCAATAAAAGGGTAAGTCATCTTGATTCTATAACCCTTTGCAGTAACCATAACCGAAGAAGAGAAAAAGTGAGGTTTTTGTTTGGATTGCCTCCGGTTCGAAAAATTTGGTATTTAGGATCCTTTTCAGATTAAATTTAATTTTCAGCATAATTATGGTACCCACGTAAACTAAGATGTGACAGAATTATTCAAGCTACCAAAATATTTATTCTTCTTAAGATCTCAATTTTGTCACACTTGTTATTCAGGGTAAGATACATGTTGGAAAAGGGATTTGAGTTGTGAAGCTAACCCAATGGTTTTGTTCTTTACACAGGGGAGAAAATATATAATAGATAGAAAACAACAATCACGACGAATAAATTAAAATACTTGAAATTGAAACATTACCTAAGGTCTCGGAAAAAGATTCAGCAGAAAGACGTCAACACTAAACACCAGAACTTCGTTACAGAACTGAATGAATCTAGGAGACTCACAGGCTTATTTATATTGGCAGCTTGATGACGCTTTTGGAATTCTTATCGGTCGCAAAACGTGCGGGTTGTTCATGGAACCAAGAGTCGAGAGTTGTATTTTAAGACACAATTAGGACACTCTTTCGGGATCCGAATGATGACCCTTGGCTCTTGACACGGTTTCGTCAGAAATTTAGCGACTTAATTTCGCTGGGAAAAAACCAATTAATTGTATTACGAAGCAAAAAAAAAAGGATTTCTAGGGCCGTTTTGTTACATAGAGGATAAATCGAAGGAATGCCCATAGCTGTGCAAACCGACCATCAGCCTTTGAGATGGTTGCTCAACCTTAAATCGCCAACTGGTAGATTAGCCAGGTGGACTCTACAAGTTCAAAGTTACGACCTGAGAATAGAATATTTAACTGGTAAAAGGAACTTAGTAGTAGATATGTTATCCAGGCCTCCATGCAATCACAAGACCAAGGAGTTTTGTAACATTTACACGGTAACGATGAAAATGTTGAGACGATCAGCATCAGACATCCGAAACGAGCAATTGAAGGACTCTGATTTAGAAAAAATTATTAGATAAAGGTTTCGAAGACAGGTCAAGTGATGAATTTTCCAAATAGACAGATCGAGGGTATATCATAGTTAACGGTGCTCTATACAGATATTCCTGTGAAGACGCGGACACTGAGAAAGCCCAACTTGTGGTCTCGACGAATGAACGGGAAAAAGTTTTGAGGAATTATCACGACGAACCAACAGCGGATAGCAAGGCGTTATTTCACTGGAATGCGACGTTTTTTGACGGAATATGTGAAGAATTGTGTCAAGTGTCAACGGTATAAGGCCTCAAATCAAATGCCAGCAGGTTTGGTACAAACACCAGCCTATGCTCAGAGATTTGAAACACTTCACATCGATTGATTTGGACCTCTTCCAAAAGATGCTGGTGGTAACAAGTAGATTTTCATAGTAAAAGATAGCTCTACTAAATAGATGGAGCTTTTTGCTACAAAGAAAGCAACGACAGAGGAATGTGTGCTTGTGTTCTCAATGAAGTTTTTTTACGTTATGGTTTGCCAAGGAAAATCATTAATGATAACGGGACACAATTCGTCACATCTGTCATGTAGCAAGTATGTTTTGTGCTAAACATCAAATTTGTACCACAGATAACCCCTTACTTGATGAAAATGGCTAATGCATGGTATATCAACGAAAAACGACTGATATCACATCTTTACTACTCTTTTCGGAACTTATCGTTTTAACAGGATGCCGTTTGGACTGAAAATGCACCTGAAATTTTTCAGCGCTTGATCGATCAAGCGTGGACTGTGGACTCAGTAACGTATTAGTGCTAGCATATCTAGACTATATCTGTGTGCTCTCTAGGCTTTTGAGGAATATATCGAAAACTTAAATTTACGAGCCAATTGATTAAAATGGCTAATACATGGTATAAAGTTCGAGATATCAATGAAAAACGACAGGATTATCAAAAAAACTAAGCTGATAAAAATCGAAAAGTCGGTGACGATGTTTGGATAGCTACCTATACCCTTATAGCAGTGCTGCTAAGCAGAAACCTTCGAAATTTAACACCAAACGGACCTTACCAAATGGTGAGGAAAGTTTCTTCAGTAAACTATAAAGCTGCGGATATACAAGAATCAGCAATATCCTTAGGGGTATATCATGGAGTGACTCCAGTGGTACCAATACGAAAACGAGGAAGACCTCCGAAAAAGAAGGTGAATCAAGTTGACCAATCTGGCCCCTCCTCGAGGAGAGTTCGAAGCCAGGAGGGGAGAATGTAACATCGCACCTGGGACATCCTGGACGACCCTGCGACGGGATAAGAAAACAACGAGTCGGCCAATGATTATTTTTTTGTTGTTGTAAAATAGTTCAATTGTGTAGTTTCCATAAATGTAGTAGAAGTTTTTTAGATTGTGAAACCAGCCACTCACGTTCCGGTAGACCTGTACAGGTAAAACTCTTCAGGAATATCGCAACTTGTGTGTGAGTGAGCAAACCTGCGCAGTGCAAACGATCTGTGCAGGCGACCGGGCGAAATTGAAAATCGATTCGGTCTACCTGCGCCAGAGTGCTGTCGTGAGATGAGATGTACCGGAACGTGTGTGCGGACTAGCTTGCCCAGTTGTTCAGTTTTCGTGTTTTCAAGGAATCTTAAAATTGCAGTTCATCTCTGATGTGGTAAAATGCCACTTCTCATGACCGTATCCCTCTTTGTAAGAAAAAGACTATAACCAGAAAGCAATTTCAAGTATGTTCCCTCGTCCATTCGTAGATAGTTCGCACGCTTATTTAAAACTAATAATAGGCCTAGTCCTGCCAATTCGTCATCCTCTGTCGTTGTCATAGAGTTGAACTGAGAAAAACTAGAATTTCACCATGGCACGTGTAGGCTTTTTCAGGTCTCCGGTATACCTGGACAGTTATTGTCCAGCAATATAATCAAGAATTTATTAACAGTATTGTGTTTTCTGGCGACCCTCTGCTCAAACAACATTACAATAGAAATTTTCCAATAGGGGTTTGTGGAGAATTCAATTGGCTTCACTTGAAGCCTAATAACGTTGAGATCGGATTGAAATTGACAAATTTTTGACTGTAGTGAGGCAAAATGTGTCTCAATGGTCTAGCCGCTCACTTTAGAGAAAATCAAAGTTACCAAAAATGATGTTGAGGGTTTTTTTTTTCTGAGGTAAATGTTTGAACAAAAGTCTGAAATTTAAGGAAAGATCAACATTTTCTTTGATTTTTTGACTTTGAAGCGAAACTATTGATTCTGCATTGGAACTGTTAATTTTCCTTATATATTTATTCCAAGCTCTTGAATTTCTAGAGAAAGAAGATAGAAATAAAATTCAAGAGCCTGGAATTAAAAAAAATTAGACGAAGAAGTGAGAAATGAGGAAAAAAAAAGAGAAATAGAATGAAACTGTGGCGACCCTAAAAATTTCCAGGTGCTGAAATCCCAGAAAATATAACTAAACTCTATTGGTAAAAGCATTTTTGTAGTCATTTTAATTAGAAAAGTACCTACACCTACGTCAGTTGCAAGATAATTTAAACTCAACTTATTAAATCTCCTAGCAATCCAGCATCTAATTCCGTATAAAAATAGTATAAATATAAAGTGACGAAATTTCTAAGCTCAACTGAAATTACATAACAATTTTTTTACCAACACAAGCGATAAGCGACCGGATCTCATAGTTCGATGTCCCCAATTAATAGACTCTTGCGATATTCTGATAAAAAAAAGTCAATAAAAAACTATAAAATTAGGACGCGTTTAACCGGACATCACTATACTCATGTGATTTAATTGCGTCATAACTGATAAACTACAACTCCGGTGTGTCCGCCGGATGTTGCATTATATCTTTAATAAAAACTCAAAAATAACAATTTTTGGAAAACAACAATGTCGTTTATCACTCGATAAACGAGGTCAAATAAGAGGATTGGTTCGAGAAATGCTAAATGACCGCCCACGTAACAGATTTTTGGTGGGAATTAAGTACTATATGTTAGCAGGTTACAATCAGAAAAAAGGAGAGATAACATCCAGCAGTTGATTTGATAGTAAAATTTTAAGAATACAGAAAATTGGCAGTGAGTGAGTCTCCACCAAAAAGTTTTTTTATCTTTGTTTTGCCTCGGGAAAAAACCTGAAAAGTTTGCGATTGTTTATTGTCCAGTAAGAGTGATAAAGTAGTATCAGGTTTTCCTTTGTTTGTGCGTGCTAAGTAACTGAAAGTATAATTTTGATCGTTTGTGTATTTAAGGACAGATTGTAAGTACATGTAGAAATTTGAGACTTTAGTATTTATCTATTAGTGAATTGATTTTAAGAGAACTGGTTGTGCTGAATTCTTAGGCTAAATTCTCCTAATTGATAGTGCTGATTTAGTGAATAAAGTATATATGAAAACTATTATACAGTTGTTTCTCTCATTTGCAAATAGTCCCCCTTCAGTCTTCACCACTTAATTTTGTAGTAGCCCGAGGAAATAATTTAAAAATCAAATAGGAACCGGTCGCCATTTACCATCTAACTAATTAATAGAGTACTTGGGTGGATCTCTACAAAACATTAAAAAAAGAAAGAGTGGAGAAGCAAATTGAGAATCAATGAAAAATTAAAGTGACGAGATTGATCAAGAAAAGATCTACATAGAAAAAATATTCCATTAGCAGAATTCTGCAGTTCAAGAATCTTTTACTCAAAAACCAGTTATTTCCTGAAATAAAAGTCAATATTATATTAAAAATATCGTACCTTGATTAGCGCAGGCCATCCATTTCACCTCTCTGGTATCACTAACTTCCCTGCCTATAAGATACGTAAATAATCTCACAGTCACCACTGGAAGCTCGTCCCAATTGTACTTTTCGAAGACTTCTTTGTAGTTATATTGAGATCCGTCCGTTATAAGCATAATGGCCTGATTACAGTTAGCACCTGATTTTTAAAAAAAAGTCACATTTTTAGTAAAATTTCTAAAGTTAGGTACCCACTCACCTAATTTCTCATCTCTATAATCCTCAAGACTTTCAAACGCGGTAGTCAGAGCCAAAGAGAAGTTGGCAATTTGTTCTGTTTTGAAGTCTGTCATGCTTTCTTTGAGAATCCTGATATTAGCCAAGTTTGCCTATAAGATTCCAACGAATAAGTAAATCAAGCTTTATATCATAAATTCAAACTAACTTGGACAAGTTTGCCGTTGAAACATTCAACCAATGGGTCAGTTGTATTGCTGAATGTGTAGATGTTTACATAGTCGTTGTTGCCTAATGTGTCTAGGATGTTGTGGACTACATGGCGGGCTACTTCTCGCCTCATACCTATACAAAAACAAACTTCTATTACAATAATTACTGTCGCTTTATAAATACAATTACTTGCCTGTCATTGAACCAGACCTGTCCACCAAAATTATAACATCTTTTGGAGAAGAAGCAGCTTCAATAAACCAACTTCGCGTACGACAATCGAACAAATCAATAGGTTCTTGAGACCAAATCATGGCTAGAAACAACAAATGTTAATCCAAGTAGCTGAAAAAATTAGAATATTACCTGGAAATTGCCTCATAAATCCAGTAGAACTACCAAAATACTGCCACGACAAGGTCGGATCTATTTTGTAATTATTCCTAAAAGTTTTATCTAATTCCTCCGACCACATTATACCTGATATCACATCTTTTGCTAAAAAAAAAAATAAATACAATAATTAATAAATCAACAAATTAATAAAATTGCAAACTTACATCTCTCATATACATTACTAGGTACATGGACGGCGCTATAGTTAGTATTAACTGGAATGTTATAGAAGTGTCTATTATTATATAAAGGCAACCTGGTTTTATCTACAGGCTGCGTTTGACTTGCTTGCGGATTTTTTTCTAGTTCGTCTTCAGTGATCTACAATATTAATTTTCAAAAAATGATAATGCTTTGATTATTATATACACCTCAATATCAGTCTCAATAAAAACATCTGATGGATCTTGATCACGCTGGTACCGATCCTCTTCAGATACCATTCTTTGATAGCTTTGCTCAATTTGTAGACTGCCAACTAAAGAATCATCGTATCGTAGGTCTTGAGTAGATGCTAGCTGAAAATTTGCTTTGTAATTTTGTATTTTGTTTGCAGTACCAGGTACCAACCTCGTTTTCGTCTGATCCAGAAACATTAGGGGCTGAATTTGTGAGGTTTTTCGAATTGATAAAGCTATAGTTGAAGTCAATGTCGTCTTCTTTTTGAGCTTGAGCTGCTTGTTCTGCTATATCCATGATTCTCTATATGAATGATTTTTAGTTTTGTTGGTTCCTATAAGAAAGTGTAGATATACTTACTCGTACAGCTTCCACTTTTTGCTTCATCATGTTGGATATTCGTTCATGAATATCGTTGAGAAGGGCTTCTCCATCTTCAATAACGATAGTGGTATCTTTGAAACTCTGGAAAAATGATTTACAATTTGTAACTTTGAATTTATCATTTTGCCACTCAATCATTTTGTATTTTTTTCCAGGGAAGTGAATATCTTTAGAGGTACCAATCAAATATTTTTTTGATATTTCCAGGAAGCTTTTATCTCTAACATTCTAGAATTTCATAATGATACAACCATGTAATATTTTGGTTCTCATTGATACACTAATTAATACTTGTGTCATTGAGCCATAATGTGAATTTTGTATTTTGATAGTTGATATATTCTTGGAAGTATGACAAATTTCATGTACCTACGTAGGAAGCCCAAGATTTTGAAATTTTATAAGTATAATTCTCAGAATACGGATTTTTTGTCTATAAAGGCAACCAAGAGCCGAGAATAGTCTAAATTTTGTATCATTATCAGTTTCTGATGCATTGGACAATTTGAGCTTTAGGACCATGGCCATTTGTTCCAGCAATCAAGATCCAGTAATGATTCAAAATTTAGACTATTCCAGAGGCTCTTGAATCACTGTTCAATTTTTCTAAAGGTAACCAATAAGAGCCGGGAATATTCTAAATTTTGAATCGTTACCTACCAAGTTCTGATGCATTGGACAATTTCAGCTTTAGGATCATGGTCATTTGCAGTGTTGCCAGGTCTACTGATTTATCAGTAGATCTACTGATTTGGCCATTGGTCTACTGATATACTGATATCAATGTAAATTCTACTGATAAAAGAGGTTGTCATTTTTTGGCCATTGGCGTTCTAATGTAGGGTGCCATCAGTTCACATTCTTTTCGAGTATCAGATTAAAATCGACGGACTTTAGGTACCCATTTGAAAAAAGCTGAAAACATGCAACATTTCTCATTTCTGATATTCAATTTTTGTTTCTGACCATGAATTCTAAAAATTTAGCCAATGCTGTACAACTTTTGTATTTACACCTTTCATCTACTTGTAAAGGTGAAGGCTGTAGGTGGGATGTCAATATATAAAAAAACACAATGTACTTGAACATTAACTTATTATATAAAGTCAGAATTTGTAAGATTATCCACTTTTTGTCAATTCGCCTTTCAACAGGAATTAGTAATGTTACTTTACCAAACTAGTAATATATTGTGACAAGTTATTCAAGTACAAATGAGTGAATTGTTATTGCGGAACTTATGGGTGGACCTCTGCGCAGCCATCCATTCCTCAATATGTTGTTTAATTACGATATTAACCTGACTCACTCAAATGTGAGTTATTCTTATTAGTTTAAAAACTACATGTTTCAGGGGAATGTATTACTTGAACAGTTCAACAGTATATTGGTAAGTAGATGGCTGCGGCCCATAAGTTCCGCAAAAATCCACTTATTTGTATTTGAACAATAACTTATCAATAAAGTCAAAATTTGTAAGATTATGATAATTCACTTTTTCTCAATTTGCCTTTCAACAGAAATTATTAATGTTACTTTACCAAACTAGTAACATAATGTGACAAGTTATTCAAGTACAAATTAGTGAATTGTTGCGGAATTTATGGTGGACCTCTGCGGGACGAGCGCAGCGAGTTCCGCAGCCATCTATTCATCAATATGTTGTTAAATTACGATATCAACCTGACTCACTCAAATGTGAGTTATTCTCATTAGTTTAAAAACTACATGTTTCAGGTGAATGTCTTATTTGAACAATTCAACAGTATATTGGTGAGTAGATGGTAGATAAAAAATGCAAAAATGGAGATCCATTTGAGTGATAATAGTCCGATAACCTACTGACCTTATAGACTTTCAGTATATGAGAGAGAAAATGTCCGTGAAATAATTATAAAAAACTCAAAATCACCGTATTTGAGTCCAGTTGTTTTTGTAAAGAAAAAGAATGGTTCTCTAACATGAAATCCGTGAAGGATTGTTATCCACTACCAACGGTGGATGAACCTTTAGAGATACTTAAAGGATGCAGGTACCTTACCACTTTGGACATGGCAAGCGGCTATTACCAAATTTCTATGACAGGAAATTCTAAATAGAAAATAGCGTTCGTAACACCAGATGGCCAGTATGAATATCTGAGGATGCCGTTTGGATTAGTCAACGCACCATCAATCAGATCTTAGGCTCGATGAGGTTTTCGATAGCTTTAGCCTACATGGATAAGATTCTGGTACCATCGCCGAATGTAAGTTCAGGATTGTTGGCTTTGGGAGACGTCCTCGAAACATTTAGAAATGCGGGAGTTACCCTGCGGCTCTCAAAATGTTGCTTTTTTTTGAGATATGATCGAATATCTTGGACATGAAATTAGTTCATTTGGAGTACGACCTAGTACCACAAAAATTTCAGCTGTTCAAAATTTTCCTCTTTTTCGAAACGTACCTACATCAGATACGACAAAAATTTAGAGAAGTTTTGATTAAAAGGCGTATTCTTGAGATTAATGACTCTAAGCTATAGAGACAGAAATCCACACTGATGTCTCCAAAGACAGGCAGGAATTTTATTACAGAGGCAGGGACATGGCAACCTGAAACCAGTACCTACTGTACTTTAGCTACCAAACATCAAGAGAGGAGCAAAAGTACCACTCCTATGAGCTGGAGAATTTAGCCGTAATGTGCTCGTTACACAGAAGGTGTTTCTTAGGGCTTATGTCTTATGGTTGTTTATCTATAGGTACACGGTACACTTGGACAAATAGCATTTTTCTGGAATGGAAAAAGGGGTAGCATGTAGCATGGCTGACTGACTCACTCAAATATGCATTATTCTCATTAGTTTAAAAATTACACGTTTCAGGTGAATGTCTTACTTGAACAGTTCAATGGTATATTGGTGATTAGATGGCTGCGGAACTCGCTGCGCTCGTCCCGAAGAGGTCCACCCATAAGTTCCGCAATAATTCACTTATTTATACTTAAACAATAACTTATTATATAAAGTCAGAATTTGTAAGATTATTTTTGTCAATTCATCTTTCAACAGGAATTAGTAATGTTACTTTACCAAACTAGTAATATATTGTGACAAGTTATTCAAGTACAAACGAGTAGATTGTTGCGGAACTTATGGGTGGACCCAGCCATCTATTTACCAATATGTTGTTCAAGTACAATACTAACCTGATTCACTCAGTTATGAATTTTTCTCATTAGTTCAAAAACTACACATTTCAGGTGAGTGTTTTTTTTTTAACAGTTCAACAGTATATTGGTGAGTAGATGGCTGCGGAACTCGCTGCGCTCGTCCCGCAGAGGTTCACCCATAAGTTCCGCAATAATCCACTTATTTGTGCAGGGTGTTTTTTTATAAATTGACACCCTTTTTATGTATTGACACCCCACCTACCTCCTTTACTTTTACAGATAGAAGAAAAGTGTAAATACAAAAGTTGTACAGTTTTGGCTGAATTTTTAGAAACCATGGTCAGAAACAAAATTTGAATGTCAGAAATGTGAAATTTTGCATGCTTCCAGCTTTTTCAAATGGGATGCCTGTACAGGTGAAAGCTGCAGGTAAAATTTGAGGTATTATCCATTCACAATCCGATGTCCACAGGTACAGGTAAAATTTATCACCTTTCAATGCTATTTGATAGGGAAAGGTGATAAATTTACCTGTACCTGTGGACATCGGATTGTGAATAGGATATAGGTAAAGTTTGTTTCGCCAGGGTTTGTACTTGCCACCAGCATTTGCCTTCCTTTTTTAACAAATAAAAATTTACTGAAACAAATCAATGACGTCAAAAACGTTCGTCGGTTCTTGTTCTTAACCAGACGTCATTCATTTTAATTTGTCAAAAAAATTGTATGTGTCATATGAATTAATCTACGACAACCCTTTTTTTTCAAGTTTCAAGGTCAAGTATGAACCCTGGTGAAACGAACCTTACTTGGTTTCTCTGATAGTATTTTAAAAATTTTTAGAATATGTTGGAGCCAGCTCAACCAAATACAGACAAACTATATAGTTTTGGAATAGGGAAATTATACTCTTCAAGAATATAGAATCAAATACCTATAGGGCATCCCATAGGTAGTGCATATTTGATAGGAATATCTCATGTGTCTTAAACTTAATAAACTATTTCTCATAAGTAGTATTGGTGTTTGATTTTCTAATGCAAGTTTTCATAGTCTAATACACAGTCTAATGATTTAATGATTTGAAAAAACGTAGTTGAAATAATTATTTGAGTACCTATACCTTAATGGTTTATCCCTTTAACAAGGCAACTTATCTGTCTACTAATTTCTACTGATATTTAGACTGGTACCTAATCTACTGACAATACATAATATGACCTGACAACACTGGTCATTTGTTCCACAAAAAATCTACACCAATTCAAGATTTATGAATTATCTGAGCGATATACACATATGAAATTGTTCCATGAATTATTCCTACAACCACGAATTGACTCACAAAACTTAGAATTCTTCTGAAAATCTCTCAAGGATCATTTTTAGATTAGCTTCTGAGCAAAATATGATATTCCGATTAATACCTACTATACTATGGCCAGTGTGAATACAAATAAAGCTTTTGCTTTCAGCATTAAGTATTAGCTTTAGCTTTTACTAGGTAGTTTCAGCTTTTGCTAATAGCATCATTTGCCTAAAATGGTGTGAATAACCTTATGCTTTTACTTATTAGCTAAAGCTGCCTATTTTAAGCATTCACTTCCAAATACTTGTGAAAACAGACGAATGGATTTTTTGGTTGTATTTTTCCTTCAATGACTATTTCTATTGAAATACGCGTATCACCATTTAGTGATGGTTTTATCATGGTAACATCAGTACAATCTGTTGCATTAATAGGCAGTAGCATAGGAAAATGAGACCCATTCAGCAATTGCTACATCGATCAAGTTTTCTTCCTGTTGGAAATATAATCCAAGTACCTATCTCGATTTTCCACGATTTTTGGTAAGACATGATATCGTTTTACATATTGTTGTTTCTTCTTCTTTAAACCCTATATTTGCTTAAAAATATTTGCATTTTTTTCTTGGAATGCCACCTTGTCTCTGCATTTTTCCCTAAGAAGTATTCAGCTCAAGTATACCCTTAAAATTCTGCTACCTAATCTATACATACATGTGGTCGGTATTCTTCGGGCAGAATGACTTTCCTTTCTTACCGGGTAGGTTGGTAATGTTTTCCATCCTTTATATTTATAAATGCAGTTATTCCGCCAAAGTTTCAAATACAACTACACATTTTCAAGCAAGGCTTGTAATGCTTGAGAAAATGTAAGCTTTTGCTTAATACATAAAGCATTTGCTTGCGTTTATTCACACCATTTTTAGAAAATGCTAAACAGTTTAGCTTTTACTTCAATACCTTTTAGTAAAAGCTAAGCTAATACTTATTCTTATTCACTGAAAACTTAGCTTTTGCTTTGAAAACAAAGGAAATAGCTTTTACTGAATTTTTATTCACACGGCCCTATACAGGGTGTATCAGGTATGAGTACAACTATTTCAACATGAGATAATATGGCCCATTTCAAGCTAAAACTGTCCTATTCACCATGGGTCAATTGTTAGTATTTTTGGAGTTATCGCAGAATTTAAATTAAGAAAAATGTTAACAACGTGACAACATTGTACAGGTATTATCTCTGCCAGGATATGAATGTAAATAAAACTGGTAAATTTAAAAAGTTTTATTTATTTCCATCTGTTTAGGTTTTGGTTTGTTATTGGCTTTCAAATAATGTAAATAATAACTTGCATTTTTATCACTTTTTTAGTAAAAATAAAAAATGTGCCGTTTTATTAAGTTGTGAATTGCACTCAATGACATTTTTGCACTGAACATTCAAGAGAAAAATCCTTCCTGTATCACGCAATCTTTGTAAAACGGGCACATTGTTTTTTCATCATGTGGGTGCTTTTGTTTTGGGAAATCTTTCCCTAGTTTCCTTGTAAATTCTGGCGGCTAAATGAGCATTTTGCAACGTTGCTGCCTAAACAAGTATCTGCATATTCGATGTTTCTAAACATTTTATTTTTTAAAAAAATTAATTTGAAATACGCGCGTTTCCTAACTAGACCAAATCAAGAATCAATTTATTCAGCTGCACCAAGGTTCAACCTTTAATCACCTATTCTTTATTGTGCTGTGTTGCCAGATGTTTCGATACCCTTTTACAAGTGAAATTTGTAAGTTGTTTTTTCAATTTTTTGTTATAGTTGTTGACTAAAAATGCATAATTACCTAATAATTGGATACCTAAACTAAATTTTTCTACATCTCATAATGATTTAAATTTTCTTTACCTTTAAAATATTCGTTAAAAAATGTCAAAACTTCAAAGGCCTTTCTCTCAAAAATGGTTGAGTTTGGATCCCATGTTGTGTAAACTTTTTTTGTTCAAAATGAGCCATATTTTCACGTGTTAAAATTTTTGTAGTCAAACCTGATACACCCTGTATTGTAAAGGACGCTTCAATGAACGATTTCTAAAACCATGAATTCACTCACTAAACCTGGAATTTTTTGACACGCTACTCAAGGATCAATTTTACGGCAAAATTAAAAATACATAACCCAGGTTTGTTTACACATTAAACAAAACTTCAATAGTTTAAATTCCAATGAGGTTTACACTGGATTTCCTTTCATCAATTTAATTGTTTTGATTATACCTACTTTTTATTTGATTTTAAGTAAGTGAAAATCACACACTCGTAATATATACAGTGTGTGATTAGTGTAACCTGATGGTACCTACCTAATTACTTAAAAGTGTCCCTTTATTTTGGGGTTTAGTTTGTTTCAACATCTTTATTTCGTTGATAACTTTGCTACTTTTTACTTACATTTTTGACATCATCTTTCCTTGTGACCATCTGACCAAAATGCCATAGTTCTCCACTTAGCTTATTCGCCCAACTTTGCACCCTAAAAATCGAAGTTTTTATCAAATAATTTCAAGAGAAATATGCTTAATTGACTCTCATTGATTTTATGAAGTTGTATAAAACTGTAATTATTGTTTCTAGGATAGACAAATCAGTGGCGCACCCAGGGGGGGAGGGTATCGGGCCAGGGCCCTCCCCAGGCCGCTCCTGAAAACTGAATTTTTACATCAAGGCGTGGCACCCTGACACCTTAAATTAAAAACTTTCATTCACAAGCCACATCCTATAGGCCTTCCCCAAACATATTTTCTGGGTGCGCCACTGAGACAAATCAATATTGATGTTCTAAAGTGTTTGGGAATTAGACAATTTAAATAAACTTTGGAGTTGAACAGTTTTGATGAGTTGATAGACAAAGCATGTAAGTGAATAGTATTTATACAATAACATTTTAGAAGTGATGATTTCCTATGTATTTTTAAATTGATACGGTTAGGAAAATGTGAAATTCCACTCTAGGAACTCTTTTAACGTTTTCATCAGACATTTTCATTTAAATTCTGGAAATATATCTTCATTCATCGTTTGCACATCAGAGATAAAATTATTCTCAATGTAGTGTAAATGTATGTTCCTATAACAAAAAACTAAAAATGATTATAAATTATACTTTAACTTACACTTTGGATAATTCCGGGTGTTGTTTGGTGTCCCTACTTTCATCCTGTCCCAATGCAAATGAACATACGCACAAAAATACCATTATAAAAGCATATTTGGTATATTTCATTTTCATTCCCTGTTTATTATTTATTAATAAACAAGACAACCACTATAAATACTGCTGCTGTGAAATAAACTAAACACTTATCACTTGTACAAAAACACTTTGAACTGAACTTTTCTCAAAAGGAAGGCCATCGCATTAAACTAATTGAATTATTCCGTTCCTGTACATACAGCAGGACGTTCCTTTTTGATTATTCCTGCAAAACGGTCTCAGTTTGTGAACGAAATTTACTAGGGCGAATCGATAAATCGAGGCCGCGCATGGGTTTTTGAATTTTCGTTATTAAAAACTACATATTTCGATTTTAAACGTATCCTAATCTCCCCCGCAATTAGGTTTGTTTGCAAAAATAATTATTAACTTATTCCAATTATAGATATTTTACCTAAGAAAGCGAAATTGCTGCGGAAATCTATTTTTGGGGCAATAAAATTACACGCTTTGAAGTCTGCTTTAGGATTTCAGGCCCGGTTTATTCATTTTCAGATAAACTTGCTGGTAACTATTTACAAGATAATAAGTAGGTATACGGTTGACCAATAGATTGCATTATACAGGGTGTTAAAAATTCGTGAGTGAGTGAAGGCATCTTGGTTACCATAAGGAATACAAGATTGGTTAAATTGGGGTAAAAATTAGATTTTATTTTTGGATTTCCTACGAAAGATGCCGGTGTAAACCCAGGCATTTCGATTGAATTGATACAGAACGCCATTTATGACCAATCAAGTCAACTATAGAAATTGCATTGGCTTGCTTTGGGTACGTTTACATCAGAATATTGAAATAATATAAAAATGAATAAAAATAGTTATTTTTGTATCTAGTGGCTAGTGCGCGAAATGCTTTATTTTCTACTTTAGAGTCTTTTGAAATCTTGCTCAATCTTGCAACCATATTAGATCTCAGATCACATCAACTCCAATAATGGACGAGTTCACAGATTCGAGTTCATTAAATTAAAATCTGTTTTTTTTTAAAGATAAAAGTCAAAATGACATTATGTTGGCAATACAATGTAAAATTGTCAATGCTTTCAAATTTTTTATGTAGAAAAGGCTTGTGCTGCCAACATAGTTATTAAATTTTAGACTTGGGGAATTATCTTTAAAAAAAAACAGACTTTTTTTTTAGCTCCCATAAATAAATATGTAGTTGAAAAAGTTGACAGTTATCACGTGTTTAACTTATGTCAAATTCAATTTGAAATCACGTCGAGAAAAATCTTTCATTTCCGAACTCGCCAAATATTGCATTGTCATATTAGACATCCGCCCAGCGCCGGTTCAAGGCTCTACCGGGCCCTATAGGCGGCAGAAGGTATGGGGCCTTAGCCCAAAGTAACTTTTTACTGTTTTTGTCCAAATTCAATAAAAAAGCCTTTCAAAATGCTGCTGGAAAGTGTTTTGGAACGTTCTAAATAGCTTTTTGCAGTGTTCTTGGCTTGAAAAGTTCTGGAGCATTCTAGAAGTTTTTCAGTAATTTCTAAATTGTTCTGACAGATTTTTTAGTATTTTAGAGCCCTATTGAAGCTTCAAAAAGTTCTAAATTGGTTCAAAAAAGTTCTAAAAGGTTTCCAGTTCTAAATTAGGATTCAATTTAGAACTGTTCTAAAATAATTCTGACGTATCTCAATTGCTTCAAAATGCTCCTGAAAATTCTGATTTAATTTGAACTGTTTTAAATGCGTTTAAAGAGTTCTAAAGTTCTACAGCAATCAAAATTTGTTCTAAAAATCCTTCTGAATGGCGTTTTGTAATTTTTGTTCTGAATCCTAAGATTCTAGCGCGTTTCAAAATGTTTCTGGGGATTCCAGAGTGTCTGAGTTTGAGTGTTTTGGAGCGTCCTAAAATGGGTTTTCATAACCTTCTGAGTTGTTCTAAAATGCTTTTGGAAATCGGCGTTTGAATGTTTTGCGGCATTCTAAAATGGTTCTGAAATTTCCAAAATTTTCTGAAACGCTACAGAATGCTTTTGGACATTCTGAATTTAATTTTAAATGTTTTGAACTTTCCAAAAGGTCTATTAAAGTTCTAAAGTGTTCTGTAGCATTTTAATGGTTTCCAGTAACTTCTAAATTAGATGAGAAACGAATTCTGTGGGAAATTTTTCCCAAAGATGTCCATAACCGACATTCAAGACTTCTTGCCTACGTCTCAAAGACATCTTGAAGACGTCGTAATGTAACAAAACCCAACGTCTTCCAGAGATCTGCCTAGAGATGTCTTCAGCACTATACGACATTCTAAAGACTACCTACTTCATATTTTCAAAGAGATGTCTCAAAGACGTTTTTGAATCTCTTTTCAATACATCATAAAAAATCATTATTCACTTTTAGGCTTGAAGAAGAGAAAGATATGAATTTACGACATTTTATATGGACATCTTCAAAACAACGTTTTCTAGGCGTCTTTTTCTGGTCTTCAGACGTTCAGACGTAATAGTGTAATACAGACCCTAGAAAAGACGCCTTCAAGACTTTGTGTGCTGTCTGGGTAGTGGAATACATCTGGTATCTATTATCTATTACTCGTTTAACGGATGTTCATCAGCAACATGACATAAGGTTGGATGGAGGATAGACTCTACCTGAGTTGGGAATCCCACAGCTACAGAACAGTGTGTTTCCGATAGTGTGCGTAATTCGGGCGGTGTGTTGCGTCTCAGGGCGCAAGGTTGCCAAAATAAGATATTTGATTTTAGAGTGAATTTCGGGCCCCATTGAGCGCCCGGGCCTTAGGCGGCCGCCTAGTCCGCCTGGTTAAACCGGCGCTGCCTCGACGATATCGAATTAGAATGACGTCACTTTAATATTAGAGATGTTCCAACACAGCAGGAAACCGTACAATGTACCGTCACGATTCTGCGCAAAACCTAAAATTTGTGCGTAGAATCCGAAATTCGTATATACTGAGTGGAGAAACCGTTCATGAATGGTTTTCTGACGTGTTGGAACAGACCTATTATGTTGCGCTTATCAAGCCTTCTAATTTGATACCCATATATTAGGGGATGCGAGATAAGTCGCCATATTGGATTTAGAATGACGTCACTCTACTTATTGTGTTACGCTTATCAAGCCCTTCGATTTGATATCCATCACATAGCCTAGGGTTGCTGTGGAATTTGTGGAAATGATTAGTCGTCATTTTGTGACAGCCGCCATATTGGATTTAACAAGACGTAACTTCACTTATTGCGTTTCGCCAATCAAGCCCTTTCATTTGATACCCATATCATAGGGATTGCCGTGGAAATGATAAGTCGCCATTTTGTAACGTACACCATATAAGATTTAGAATGACGTCACTCTACTTATTGTACAGTGACTCTATTACCACAGTGGCGACAATTATTGCTGTCCTATTTTTGATTGGTTCTAAAATCCCATATGTTTCTATTGAAACGCCGCCATCTTGTTCCCAACCTCTTGTTACTTTTAAATATGAATATATGGGATTTAGGTGAACATCCATCATAAATCATGGAAAACAACGTAGTTGATGGACCTAATAATGGTCATCAAATACGTCGATTTCAATTTTTTATGATAGATGTCCATTTAAATCCTATACATTAATATTTAAAAGTAACAAAAGGTTATGGGAACAAGATGACGGCGGGACCTCTATTGTCGCCACTGTATGTAAAGGTTTATTTAGCCACTGTAACTTATTGTGTTGCACTTATCAAGCCCTTTCATTTGATAGGTACCCATATATTATAATGGTTGCTGTGGAAATTCCAAGTCTCCATTTTCTAACATCCGTCATATTAGATTCAGAATGACGTCACTTTACTTATTGTGTTCCGCTTATCAAATCCTTTCATTTGATCTCATTATCATGGGGGTGACTGGTGGAAACTTGGTGGAAATGATAAGTCGCCATTTTGTAAAGTCCGCCAAATTGGATTGAAAATGGCGGCATTCAGGTAATCGTGAACCAAATGTATATGCCATAGACAAATATAATAAACCAAGGTAACAGTTACCGATTCATATGCGCGATTTGCGCGAAGTGACAACGTATTTCTTTTGGCACATTTGTGTCGCTAGCATAGCTTGGAACTATCTGACTTATATCTATCTCTTTTCAACAGATGCGATTATAAAGAAAAAGAAGACAGATAATCATCGCTTTTTACTAAAGCGATGCAATATTTTTTTTTATCGATATTTTGGGTCCTAATGGTCCTTTGGGATCTTCCAAATTCCATACACTAAATTATTCTGAGATTTGGAACATTCTATAGAAAGAGGCACTCAGAAAAATTGAAAAATTGATAAATCATCCCAAATTGTTTAACTCGATTTTATTTCTGGAACTATAAGTCCCAATGGGCTGAACTTTTCAGGGATTGTTGTCCTCTACTGGGATAAGAATCGCTGAAAATTTCAGCTTTCTATTTTTAATTGAAAAAAAAGTTATGACCTTCCAAAGTTTTCCAAAATCTAAATCATAAGATAGCTAGGTACCTCAGAACTAAAACGATGAATTTTCATTTTTTTTTTTTTTTTAGATTTTGTGTCTTAATTGTCCTTTGGGACCCCCCAAACTCCATAATATACTTAATTATTCTGAGATTTGGACCTGGATTCTATGAGTAAAGTCATTCACAAAAATTGAAAAATTGATAAATCACCCCAAATTGCTTAACACTTTGATATGTCTGTTTACGCAATAGTATTTGAAATTTTGTAAACTGGACTGCGATTGAATAATCGCGCAAACGAATAGAAATAGAAATGAAATCGATACCATAGGGTTGTCGAAACACACAAAAGTTATTACCACTCACCTGGGTTTTCTTATAAACTGTGCGTATATACGGGGATCCCCTGGAAAACGGTTCTCCACAACCACCAAACCAACGTATCACCAGGGACTTAAGGCACTCAAGGTCCCTTTTTAACGGCACAAGACATAGACTTTTTGAGCGTAAAACACAGAACCGCTAAAAATGCAACGTGCATATCAAGTACCATTGATCTAGTGTGTGTATAAATCCAAATCTTCAACGGCTGTCTCGCTCGGCGCAGGGTCGTAGAAAATACACTCCTGTGTGTTTTACGCGAAATTGACATTTAAGTAATTCTTTAATAAGAATGAGAAGAAACCAAATTTATAAATAATGCTGCGTTAACAATGTCCTTTCAGAATAAAAATAGTTTTGGTTCCCAACATTTATTCGCAAAATAGAAATGTAATTATTCACAAACTACAAAAATAATCATAAATCAAACTTATAAATATTTCTTAATAATATTGGTTCCTACTTCAACTCTTTTGATCAAAAAATTTGAAATGCTGGTAAACTAATTAGGGTTTAGACCCAATTCAAATGATTTCAAATTTCTCAACCATCCCGAGTGCAACGCTTAAATAATATAATAAGAAAAAACCGATATCTAATATAATAATATGCAAAAAAATAATTTATTCTAAGTGGCACTTTTTCACAAAAATAATATTGATAAGCCTTTAATATCCATTCTAGACTTTTTCCACTGTGTGATCTGAGATTTTGGCCTCTGATTGGGTAGATTTTGGGGTCTCACTAGGGCCTTGGGTTAATCGTTTAAATTGAGCGATCTCCTAATTTTGGTCAATCAGCGTCCAGAATCTCAGATCAGTCACTCGAAAAACTCTATGTATTTTATTACAACTATTCCTATTATTATTGTAACAAAAATAGAATATTACATTTCTTAAAATAACAAACTCTGAATAAAACATTATTTTTTTTCTTTCAAATAACTAAGCCTATAGTACAAATTTGAAACTTGTATAGCATTCAAAAGAGTGGATACTTGCCACAATTACTAAACAAGTTTGAACTTAAATTTAAAAAGTTTCAAATTAGTACAAACTTTACCTTAATGAACTGAAATTACAAAAAAAATATTTAAATTCTTTGTGTCAAAAAAAAATAATAATAAATCAACCCCCAAAAACTAATTCTTCCTTTTCGGAATAACCACCTTTGGAGGCCTGATCATAATATCAGCAGGTGCTCTTTCTAAGTTGTTAGCGAATTTCGGTACCGGCGGCAAATGATGCATATTCTCCTTGGGTTTTTTATCGCTGGGTTTTCTGTCTTGGCTGGGTTCTTCTTGTGGCAAATTAGAAAACCTCAATCTTTCGGACTCGCGAAAATCGCGCCTTTTCGCAGCCGATTCGGTATCGATTCTGCGCAAAATTTTGTTTTCTTCGCAGTATTTTTGCGGGTCGTAAGATTTAACTGGTGGGGCCTATATAAGTACAAAGAAAAATTAATTTTGTGTGTTTGAATAATGGATTTTTGACTTACAAGATCCCAAGTTTGATCAACAGGTACAGGAACTAGTGGCGCTTTAATAGGGATTGGTATTTTCTCTGCTTCCATGAAAACTGATAGTTCTGTAGATTTTCGAGAGGGGCAATTTTCGTGATGGTACTAAATAAATAAATAGTTTAATGATATTTTTATTTAGGATAATTTTTTAATTGGTTACTTGTAGTTCCAGCTTTGAGATGCGGTGAGAGGTGTTGAAATCGCAGATCACAATTTCCTCGCTTTCTCTGTAGGATCTTCTGCATTTGGTCAAGTGCACGTCCATGCGGCTCTGACGGATGTGATGGGATGGATTGTAGGGACATTGGACGAGTTTCTCGCTTCTGTAACGATGAAGCGAATTTTACAAGACTTTTACTTTATTTATTTATGTATATAAAAATACATACATTTGAAGTGGTACAAAGTTTAAATCTAAAAATCTAACCTAAAACAATTCTCTTGGCCCGCGTCTTGAATTTATCTAAGATTAACTGAAAAAGTTAAGACCCTCATACATGGAACTTATTTACTTTGGCAGATATTCTTTTACCAGGACTAAATAATGAGTACCAAGTATGACAGTAAGGAATGTGCAGTAAAGATTTACTTTGAGTGTGCAGATAAAAGCAGCCAAGACATTCGTGGCTTTTTATGTAGTACTTAAGGATATTGGAAGCAAAACAGACATCAAAATATTCCCTTCTGCGAACAAGAGTAGTTAAGTCTAAGTAAGTCATAATGTGGAGGAAAAAACAAAAAAAGACGGAGTGATGTGTACGAAATACAAAACTACTGATTATAGTAGTAGAAAATAGAAATTTGCTTGAAAATTTTTCAACTGTGAAGCTTCAAAGTTTTTCTATTTAGATTTTCACCAACTTGAACAATCAGAAGGAATTTTATTTTCTGTGATCATTTCGTGTCCTTGCAAAGATTTGTTTTAATTTCGTGGGTTAGAGGACAGGACCAAAAAAGAAACTATCAAGCTTTTGGCAACGTTTCGGAATATATTTTTCCTTTTTCAAGCCTTAAACTATTGCTTCTGGAGTCCGTTCAGGATGGACAAAGGCACTTCTCATCATAATATTTAAGGGATGCAATCAATTTTTCACAAAAATTCGTTATTTTGAAAGTTAGCTTTCAAATTTTAAATTCACAGAACAGAATTTGGTTTGAACTCCGCTCTAACTAGAAGTCTTCCAGTGATAAATCAAAAAAAATTGGAATTTACTGGGTTTGAGCAAAACCACCTATTTAAAATATACTCAAGTTTAGGATTGAACGAGCGCGCCACAGAAAACGAAGGTACCGAAAACCGAAGAGGATACAAGAGAAGAGGCGATTAGGCATTAGAGAGACTTGACAACAAACTGGGGCTGTTCCTTTACATGTGCATTGTTCATGTATTTAACAAAAATCGTTTCATACTGTAAACAACACAGATAAAGAAGTAAATTAAAACCTAAGAAATTATGTGCTGTCTTTTTGTGCTGAGATTTTGATTTTGTGGATTTAGAGAGTGTATTAGGGCATTGTTGAATTTACTAACATTTTCCTACCCTGACGAGAGCATATCCTAACAAATTGAAATAATCAATCTAGAGCTATTGGCTCAAAAACAACTATAGCTGAGTAGCTTCCCATATGGGACCTCAGTATTCGCTGGGAAACTGGCGAACTATCTAACAAAAAAAACTCTTCAGTATTGAATATAGGTAGGTAGTGTTGATTGAATGTTGTGTGTGTAATTAAAATTTTAGCACAAAGACCAAAGACGGTACCTAATTTAAACTTTTATTGACTTAAATTATTGAATTATTGACTCACAATTATTATTTAAAATGACACAGTATGTTTCGATTTTTGAGGAATGTTAGATCGAGGGTTTCTCTGCCGTTCTCTTTCCCCTCGAGAATTTCAGGTCGAGAACGGTACGATTCACTTTAATAATAAAGTAGACGTTTTACAAATTTTTCGTTTCTTTTACATATCACAACTTCCCTTAAATTTCCCAAATATTTGCTATGTCGGGCGCAGGTCCAGTAAGTAAAATTGAGTAAATTTCCACAACGTAGGTATTTTTTTTTTCTTGATTTCATTTTTCAGAAGATTTGTTGTTTAAACGTAATAAAAATTCTCATTGTTGTCTCATGTTATACTACAGGTTTTATTAAGTTATGTGATGAAGTGGTTGTGTAAGAGTTAAAACTGTTACATTTTTAGGTTTCTTTAACTTTATAAATATGCAATTAGTTTAGGTTAGTGAAGTTATGCATATAGTGAGCTTCTGAAGCAAGTTATTTCAGACACTAGGACGTAAAGTTGTGGGATATGTTTTCAAATATATGGCTATATAATGTCAGTTAATAATAATAATATGTTAATAATTGCTTTATTTAGACTTCATCTAATTCAATACAAAAATTTGATATAATACAACAATGCAATAGGTACATAAAATATTACTTTACCTACTAATCTACCACCTTACAATGTGACGATCATTGAACAATTTTGAACTAAGGAAGTACAATATAACATGACATGACATATTTCTTCATTTGCATCATTCTCTCAAGTATTCTTTAAGTCTCCCTTCAAACAACCCAATGATTGGCAAGTTCTTAATGTTATTGGGCAACACATTGAAAATTATTAACCCCTTAAGTATAGTATACCTACTGTTTTCTCAGAAAGCGATTTATCCTTTTTTGCAACATAAAAATTGTCTCTATTTCTACATAGTTGGGAATGTCCCCAATGGTGATCAATATACTTGTCAAATAGTCAGGTGTAATTTCATTTTTTATTTTATCTACAAACGTTTGGTTACGACGATTTTACATAACCATTTTTCTAGTATTTGAGTTATGTTATGAGATTCATAACACAACTAGTGGTGTTATAGACTAGGTTATGAATTCATAACACAACTATTTTTGGTGATTTTACAAATGTCAACGTTAAACTTGTGAAGGTAGAATCAAGGTAGACAACTACTAATAAACGAAGATAACTGAAAAAACATTTATATTTTTCGCTTTGTAGATAAAACGTTGTACATCACACGCGCGTTTAAACATGACTACAAAACTCGTGTGATTAGAACCTTAATCTTTCACACTTGTTATTGTAATCATGTGTAGTATAAATAACTATTATAGATAAAGATCATTTGATACTTGACAAACCCTTCGACAGATAGCCAATTCAACCCTTTCAACAAGTCAACTATAGGTGTGTCCCTTTTTTTCTTCAATATTATATGCATAGCACTATTTTGCAACTTTTGCAGGCGATTCATCTAATTTTTGTTGACAGTGAATAGTATTGTTGCACTATATACAAAATGAAGTAAGATCAGAGTGTTATATATTGTAATTTTGGTCGATTTAGATAATGATGACACTCTGGACAGAAAATTGACATTTCTTGTTATTTTGTCAATGATTTTCAAGATATGTTCTTCAAATTTGAAAGAATTATCAATAATAAACCCCAAACAAACAAACAAAATTTTTTCAAAAACAAAATTAAAAAAAACAGTTCCTCTAAGGATTTATGGAATAATATTAACCAAATATGCCAGAATAAAAATACTCAACACGAGATAAATGAAATCAAAGTGAATAATATTCATATCACCGACAAAAAAGAAATGGCAAATGAATTTAATAAACATTATAGCAACTTAGGTGAAACCTATGCAAAACGAATAAAAGAACCAACAAATTTTAAAAAAAGTTTAACTTCTCAAAATGTATCTAAATCAGTGTATCTCTTTTCGACCAACAAAGAAGAGATTATTAAAATTATACATAATCTAAAAATAAAAAAAGCTCCAGGGCACGATAAGCTGAGATCCGAAACGTTAAAATTAATTGCAAATGAAATATCTTTACCACTATCATATCTTATAAATAAATCTTTAAGTATGGGACACTTTCCACAAATTTTAAAGCTTGGGATAATCAAACCATTATTTAAAAAAGGAGACAAGTTAGACATCCAAAATTATCGACCTATTTCTTTAATTTCAAATATGGGTAAGGTATTTGAGAAAATAATGAAAAACCGAATTGTAAATTTCTTGGAAAAAAATAATGTCTTCTCAGAAGGACAATATGGCTTTCGCCGAGGCAGGTCGACGGACAGCGCGATAGCACACTTAACTGGGAAAATCTATGAAGCCTTAGATGGAAAGAAACCTGCTATCTGCGTGTTCGTCGATCTTGCTAAGGCGTTTGATACAGTGTGCCATAAGAAGCTTCTGATTAAACTGGAGCATTATGGTATAAGGGGGATATCTCTTTCATTAATTAAAAGTTATTTAACAAATAGACAACAAATGGTAAAAATAGGGGATGAGGTTAGTTCAAGTCGAGAAGTCAAGTACGGGGTTCCACAGGGAACTGTTTTGGGACCACTGCTCTTTCTGCTATATGTTAACGATTTGTTTGGGATGGTTACTGATGGTGAAATACTATCTTTCGCCGATGACACTGCAATCTTCTTTAAAGGCAATACTTGGAACCAAGTCAAATTGAAAGCTGAAAGTAGTTTTAAAATATTACAACAGTGGTTCGACTTTAATCTCCTAACTGTTAATTTTGAAAAAACACAGTATATTCCTTTTACATCATATAAATCAAACCTACCTCATATGGGAGATTTAAAAATTGAAGAAACCAAACGAATCTCGGAAGCGGAACAAGTAAAATATTTAGGATTAATATTGGACAAACATGCGAAGTGGGATATACATATTAGGGAATTAACAAAAAAAATCAGATGTCTGTCTCCAAAATTTAAAAATTTAATAAACTTTTTCCACATTAAAGAACTTAAAATATTGTATCATGCCTTAGTGCAATCACTTTTAAATTATGGGATCATAGCTTGGGGTGGGGCACATGACACACATTTGAAACACTTGTTTACGGCACAAAAATGGATAATTAGAATTTTATTTAGAAAAAATTACAGATACCCTTCTGAAATGTTGTACTGCGAAAGCGGATTTTTTGACATTAGGCAGCTGTATTGTTTCAAACTGGGCATAAAATTGTATCAAGACAAAAATATTTCCCCCCTTGATCACAGATATGGAACACGATTAAACAAACCCTCGAAATGTTCCATCCCAAGAGCATCAAAAACAGTTGGACAAAGAAATTTCAACTACCTAATCCCACGGTTAAATAATATGTTGCCATCTGAGATTTTCAACAATAACAAGTTGCACATTTTTAAAAAAGAACTTAGGGAGTGGATAAACGTTACACCAAGAACAAATATACACAATTTTATTTCAAAATGAAAGAAAAAAAAAAATAAAATAATAATAAAAAAAAAAAAAAATAATGAATAAACAAAAATATGAGAAAATAGACCGGATGCGACACAAATTCAAACACAATTATGACAACTTACCCGATTGCGACCTCTACGAATACTACGACAAAATTATATACTTTCACAAACAAGTAGTAAATGACTACTTCTGTGAATTGTCTTATGTTTATTTTCCTATTAGTTAGTTCCTATGTGAGAAAATGATTTTTAACTTTTTAAAATGTACCTGCTGTATTTACTTGATTGAAAATAAACATTATTATTATTATTATTATTAAATACTTGATCATCTGAACCACCTATACACACTCAGTACCTATTTCTTTATTTAAATCATACTGATTACTGATTATATTCATGCTGAATCCTGTTAGGTACCTCCAATCATAATGAATTTCGTTTCCCCAACATTTGGCTCAAGCATGTTATCCTTGACCACAACTGAATTTGCTGAAGATCCAGATTTATTGTATGCATCAGGCTAACTATGTAGGTTTTTTTATTAAAAAAAAATCAATGTATCATCCGCAAACAAGTGTATAGAGCAATTTTGAATCCCCGAAGACGTCATTACTTGGAAAAAAGGGTTGTCATAGAATAATTGAAGTGCTGCTGTATCACAATTATTTATTTATTTATTTATTCAAAGCATCAACAGCAGAGCCAACTACAAATACTGACTTTAATAATAATAATACAAAAATACAGATAACATTCAATATACTCTTAAAACTTACTTACAAACTCAACAAAGTTTATCAATGACAACATACAGAGAAATACAATTTAGGATGAATTCAGTTTTCTGGCAATTATCATTTTGAATGCCTTAAGACTAATAATGTCTATATCTTTTCTGAGGCATAAAGGTTAAATAGATCACACAAATTATAGATCGGAGAACACATAAAGATTGGTTCTAGGGTAGGCCAAGTAAAATACATTTTTACTCCTTGAATTAATATGATTAACAGCAAAAGGAAGCTGTTCCAAAATACCTGGGCAGTCAATATTATTGGTCAAAACCCTATACATAGTGCATGAGAATATTCTTATCCGCCTTTTCTTCAGTGACAGTCTACTGTACACACTCAACAAATAGTCATTGCTACAGCCACACTAGGGATAAACTCCAAACTTTCTGTACAGATATTTCAAGAATTTTCGTTGCACTTTCTATAATTTCACTCCAATTATGGTATTAGGGTGACCATATTATACTGTCATATTCTAAGATGGGCACAACAAGACTGTGAAAGAAAGATAAGCTAATGCCAATACTAAAACATTTTGTGTTTTTTGTAATGAAACCTGATACCTTTTGAGCACTAGAAATTTTTGACAAAATATGTCCCGAGAAAGACAAAGCAGGATCAAAAATAACTCCCAGATCTTTTTGCTTAGACAATCTTTTCAGTTTTACATTAGCTACAGAATAATCATAAATGACAGGATTTTTAATGCATTTAAATGACATGCATACAGATTCATCAAGGTTCAACTTGGAACTATTCTCAGAACACAATGCAACAATATCAGACACCTTTCTCTGGAGCACTGCACAATTCGTGATTGATGAAACTTCAAAAAACAACTTCAAAAATCATCTTCAAAATCAAGTGACTCAACATTCCTTACTCCCAACAATACCCTGTTAAATGCAATCAAAAATGAAAGTGGACCCAGGTTTGACCCCTGTAAAATACCTGGATGTGCTGATAAAAACTACCAATTTACAGCCCCTAATTTCAACATACTGACATCGTTTACTTTGGTCAGTACCCAAGTATGAATGAATCGAATCGATTATAATTTGAGGTTTCTCAAAATTATGCCATGCTGGACTTTATTGAAAGCCTTTTCTAAATCAGTGTATACAACGTCAACTTGTGATTTTCTATTCTAAGCTTCTTGAATGAACTGTGAGAAGGTAGCGAGATTTGCAAATGTAGACCTCTTTGGTAAAAAACCATGTTGATTTAAGGCCATTTTAAACCCCAACTGACTCGGAATTAAGATATTATTTAAATTAATGTTCTCCATCAATAATCGTCAGTAGTAGAAAACATTTTGTATGCAACAGGTGTGTAAAGCACCTTTTTTCACTCATATGGTTGTTAAAATTCACATTTGTAAAGAAAGCTTGACTTTACACACTTGTTGCATAAATAGCTATTGTAAGATTGTTACATTTACTGGGGTAATCCCGTTAATAAATAACTCCCGAAAAAATCAAAGTACCTTATATTAGGAATATCTGAAGTATGTAGATGCGGAATAGAACTTTATTCTTGACAAAAATGTTCATGAGCAAAACGGGTTAGGTGAATTCTGACAAAAGATCTTAGCTCAAAAACTTGATTATGAAAAATATGTAAAGTACAGTCATGACAGGTCTTGTCATTTTTCGCTGTTTTGCATAAATCAGTCTTTTCTCTACAATCGATTTTTTTGTCAAATATGATAATCCCTGTCATTGCCGTAGGTATAGCTGGTGGGCCCGTTTTACAAAAGGAAAAAACAGGTGTCCCACTTTTTGTGCTCACGACTGCATATAAAAACCAAACTTTCACTTAATATTCTCAACAATGTATAATATAGTAGGTATATGGCGCCATGGTCATCATAAGGTCATCATGCATTTACCATATTTTGCAAGTTTTCTTGGCACGAGTTGCAATTGCATTTTAAATGTTAATATGACCATGACGCAAAATAGGGGACTAATGGACGTTTCCACCAACTATTTCAGGGGAGTCCTAACGATAAGTATTCGTTAAACTGACATTTCTCCATGTAAAATTATCATTTTAGGGAATGCTTATTGTTAAGGCTCCCCTAAAATAGTTGGTGGAAACGGCCATAAGTACTTTCAAATCGCAGTAGCTGTCTATTATTAGAATTGATATTTTTGTTTATTGTCCATTGTTTGGTATGAATACCTACCAATGTTAAGATAGCAGAAACATTTCAAAATAATGATACAGATTTTACTTACTCTCGAAGGTTCTCCATCCTCAAAAACTTAATTCTTTTCTTTAGAAATTAGGAAAACGATGTTTTAGGATTTCAGACTAAAATATGCTACAAGAATATGAAATATAGGAATTCTCTTCTCCTGCAAAGATGTTTCCCTTTTGCTTGAAGAAAAGAAAGTGGAAGAAAATTGCTTGAAATGGATAATTTGTAAATAAGAAAAAAAGATCAGCAGCTGATTGTTTTTTATCTTTCTCTAATGAAAATGATTGGAGAAGGACAAATACTGATCCCTGAATGTGACAGAACCAGAGTGATTACTGACAAATGTGGCGTGTTCCGTATTTAATTTGATTGAAATGGTTTAGTCGGAGTAACTCCAACTGCTCTATCTTTTTCAATTATTGTTAATTCAGAACATGGAACTTGCTGGACAAACTAAATATAGAAAAATACCCAGTCTTTATTTAAAGAAATATTAATTACATGTTCAAAAATGAAAACTAAAAATAAAACTATCAAACAACTTAAATAAGAGATTAATGTATCACAAATTATTTATATACATTTTTGTTACTTTTCAACTGCTATAACATGTCCCATTAGCTTATATAAATTAAGCAGCAGTAGCTTATTTTTCAAAACTAATAAAGACAGCTCCATTTTCATTTTAATCTCTTTTATACGGTTCAGTTTAATTTGCAATACAAGATTCATACGTTTCAATTCCAGTAATATGTTTCTTTGGGTGAGCATCAGGGTCCTCAGAGCTACTAACAAACAAAAAATAATTAAATTCATTGTATTCTTTCACCTATCAAAAGTTCATTAGGTGAAAGAATGTAATATTCAAATTTCAGTTGAGATAAGTTTATTGAAATCAACAAAAATTTATTATTACCCAAAGAATTATGAGCATCAACTGCAGGTAACCGGTCATCTTCATCTGAGGATTCCACATTGTCATTCAAAGGGTGCACATTTCTGACTTTGTAGATCCTATTTCTTCTAGGTTTACACATGGTTCTGTAGAAATGAAAAATATTAAAATCAATTTTAAAACGCTCTGGAGCAATTTAGAACTTTGATAAGCTTCAGAAGACTTTCAATTCAATTTTCAATCCGTTACCGTTAATTCTGTACCTGTTAAAAGGTACAGAACACTTTAGAACGAATAAGGAATTTGAGAGACATTCTAGAACAGATCAAAACACTTCTGAACTTTTAGAAAGCTTTTGGAACACTTTCCAAATCATATGGAACTTTTGAAAATACAATCTACAACTGGAAACTTTTAGAATATCCTAATAATCATCAAATGACACTTTAGAACTAACTTGAAACTTTAATGAACATAATTAGAACACTCTAAACCACTTCTGAATTTATTCAGAATTTCAATTAGAACTACCTACCAAAAAGGTTTTAAATTTTTTTTTGAAGATTTAGGTACTTATAATTGTTATCTAGAAGAAAGACATCTTTACTTGTCACAATTATGTATACCTAATTGTCAGTTCCAAGTGATAATTATCACTAATCGTCAGTTCCTGGTGACAATTATTATACCAAATTATCAGTTCCAACACTTCCAACTGACAATTATTATGAATTATGGCTATAAAGGTCTGTTCTCACAAGGGTTTCTGACAGTTTGTAAACTGTTGGGAAGAATCGCTCAGCTAAGTTACTGATTTATCTAGGAACGACGGCATTACACCATTCGGGCACCAAGTTATTTCCAAACGCAAATAAAGTGTATACTCCAAACTTACTCCTACCAATTAACAAACGCCACAGTGTCAATAGTGTAAAAAGTGTAGACACTTTCCACCATTCCGAACTCATCTCTAGTAGTTTTCTAACTACTGTTTCTGACTGTTTCCAACCAATGAAATTCGCTCTGAGTGGTTTGTGATTTCTTTGGAAACAGACCTAATAACAACTAATTGTCAGTTCCAAGTGAACATTAGGGCGAGTTCTCATGAGCGTAAGTTGACATTTCTGGCGTAATCATGTGATAATATGGTGTAATTTGATTGGTAAAATCTCCAGCATGGCGAATATTTTACCAATAAAATCCAACCATTTTATCAAGTGATTACGCCAGAAATGTCAACTTACGCTCATGAGAACTCGCCCTTATAGCCATAGGTCTGTTTTTATATACAAGAGTTTTTGATAGTTTTCAACCTGTCAGAAACAATCACTCAGCTAAGTTACAGACTTATCTAGGAACTACGGTATTGAAAACATCTATTGATGATGCTTTCTGACACAGTTTTCAAGAGACTCTTGTGTTGCTCCAAGTGACAATTATGGAAAATTGTTAGTTCTAACTAGCAATTATACCTAATTGTCAGTTCTAAAGCGATTTGGAAAGTCGTTGCTAAATCGTGGGCTGTTTTGCCCACACACTATGTGAATCCCATATCCCATCCCATATCTTCAGTCGCTCACGCACGATGGACAGAAGAAAATTATTAGCAGTGGCAGGTTCAGTTTTAAGATAATAATATACTCTAAAGACTTTATGCGCCATAAACAAGGAAACTGTCTATACAAATCAATCAAATCTATGATACTCTTTTTATTGAGGGCATTTTGATCCATGTTTAGTAAAAATTTGAACACACACACACCACAGAGTCCTTATTTTTGGAACAGGGGAGCAGCGTTCCCAGGAGAACGAATGTTCTGTCTTTGTTACTAATGTTACTTAATATATTATCACTTGTATATCATTGAAAAAGACGGAACACTTGTTCGCCTGAGAACGCTGCTCCTCTGTTTCAAGAATAAGGACCCTGATGCGAACTCTTCGCTCGCTGCTCATATAAAAATTACATTACATATTACGTTTATATCCGTCAGATTGCATACCTGACAGTTTATCAGAAGGTGAATAAATCGGCCCTTACTCATAAGAACCAAAAAATAATTATTTTGCAAAAACCGCCTACCATCTTCCACGCTAACAGCTAACATTACCGATCGCGATTTTACTTTTTGCGGAATACCTATACATTTTGCAAATAAATGTGGGTAGTAAGTAGAAAAGTGAGTCAGCAAAATTTTTAATTCAAAAGAAAAACTAGTCTTCCTCCACAAATACTTTATTCATTTTAAATTAAACAGCCCTACATGTTTTGGGATTAGTAAATCCCATCATCAGGGTCAATAAATTAGCTGATAATGTTAACAGGAATGGATATCATAGGCTGCCAGATCATGCTAATGCTGAAAAATTTAAATGAGTTTTTTTTTAACATGATCTATGATATCCAGGAAGACTTAAGAGTTTTTTTTTTTAAATTAAATTTCAACTCCACTTTGAGATATGGACTACTTCTTCAATTTAAAATTTTTAATGATTTTCGTATTTTCTTGATTACAATCAGGTTTCGTAAGACATTATTCTAAGTATCGTACGAATATATTTTTTGACTGTAAAATTACTTTTGCATGGGACCTCGGATGGGGCCCAAAAAGCCTCTGGGCCTGGGGGCCACGGCCCCCTCTGCCCCCTCGGTAGTTACGCCAGTGGGCTCAGCTAAGTTACAGATATATCTAGGAACTACGGCATTGAAAACATCTATTGATGACGCTTTCTGACACAGTTTCGAAACTGCCAGAGACTCTTGTGTTGTGAAAACAGACCTTTATCAATTGTCAGTTCTAAGTGACAATCATTACAAATTATCAGCTCCAAGCTCCAAGTGACAATTATGGAAAATTGTCAGTTCTAACTAGAAATTATACCCAATTGTCAGTTCTAAAGTAAAAGTTATACATAAGTCTCAGTTCCTATAAACTTTGGTTCCAACTGAAAATTATTAGGTCTGTTCGCACAGAAACTAGTTTTCTAACTACTGTTGTTACTGTTTCTGACTGTTTTCAACCAATGAAATTTGCTCTGACTGGTTTGTGATTTCTTTGGAAACAGACCTAATTACAACTAATTGTCAGTTCCAAGTGAACATTATAGTCATAGGTCTGTTCTTACAAGAGTTTTTGATAGTTTTCAACCTGTCAGAAACAATCACTCAGCTAAGTTACAGACTTATCTAGGAACTATGGCATTGAAAACATCTATTGTTGATGCTTTCTGACACAGTTTTCAAACTGCCAGAGACTCTTGTGTTGTGAAAACAGACCTTTATTAATTGTCAGTTCTAAGTGACAATCATATCAAATTATCAGCTCCAAGCTCCAGTTCTAAAGTAAAAGTTATACATAAGTCTTAGTTCCAATAAATTTTGGTTCCAACTGAAAATTATTAGGTTTGTTCGCGCAGAAACTAGTTTTCTAACTACTGTTTCTGACTGTTTTCAACCAATGAAATTGGCTCCAGTGGTTTGATTTCTTTGGAAACAGACCTATGTATAAATAATCTACAAATCTACACAGAAAACCATAAACCAGGATAAATTAAGGAAAAACGGTTTTCTTACCTGCAAATTGGAGTTCTTTTTGAGAAATTAGCTAAAACTGGAACAGTCCAAGCTGCAAAAAACAGGAAAATCAAAGAAAATTAAAGCAGAATTCAACAAATGAGTTTGAAGTTTTGAAGCATGTTTTTTGTTGTTGTTTGTGTTTGTTGAGGTTCAGTTGACAGTTGTAGTTTGTTCGATTGGAGCAGTTATACCCTAAAAATTGCACTGAATCTGTTCTGACTTTAACAACTTGTTCTTCTAGAACCTCTACAGAATCAGCTCCTACTTCAAAATACAATTCGAAAAAATGGAAAGACAACAGATTGAAATAAGAGTTGCTGCAGAACGTTAAATTTATTTAGAACAGATAAAATACGGACATCGGAGTCCTATTCTACAAGTTACGAAGCTATTCGTTCGGAGTAACTTCCAAAAAGAACTATTTTTACAAAAAAAGTGCACCAGGAATGGGACTAGAATACTGCTTTCATGACGTCACCCACGACCTATTTATCGCGTACAATACAGGCGATGATGATGTTTGCCATGCAACCTGACGTCATGAAAGTAGAATTCTATTTGTCGTGATTCCAGCCCAGGTTTGTTGTTTTGTTTAGAATTTGTCATTAGTTCAACGTTTGTTATTAATGATAATTTGTTCTCACAAATTAAGCATGATATATAACATTTTCAACTTTACTGCTCTCCTATCTGGGCGGATACGTCACAGATCTCTGCGGAAGTACTCCGAGAGCGATTATAATATGATCCAAACACACCATTTAAAATCAATGGCCGAACGTACTTATGAACGGTTTGCTCATTCTCTGATCCATCAAATTTGACGGAGCAAGGAAAAGTGCTCCGTGCGAGATTTGAAAGCGTTCTATTGCTCAAGTCGTAAGCCAGACACTCATACATATGGTGATTCATGGGGAAGTTGAAGTTCCTCTGAAACTTAATACACTGGTTCAGGCTTGTCTTTCTATGCAAATTTGAAACATGAAGCATTTCGATAAAAAGCGTTCTTTTTGGGAGTTACTCCGAACGCACAGTGCAAGTCACTCTTCCCGGCTTTAAAGTAGGACCACACTTTTCCGCTATAAAACAAAACTGAATTTCCTTCTTAACAGAGATGTTTGCGCATTTCTCAAATGGAAACAAGAAAAAACCAAAAAACTTGCAACTAACCTGCTCCACTTTACAACGCCATGTTCAACTTATTACATTTCCAAAGCAGAAACTAATGCGCTTTTTATGTATTTCAAGAGCCGGCAAAAAATACCACAGAAAAAAGTTTCAAATCTATAAAAATCTATTTTAAAAAAAAGATGAAACGATATTGAAAAAAATTAAATCTGGCAACACAACAGTAGGCGTTTTTTAAATCCATGTTGTCTTGTGCGCAAGCCTAGTGCCGCCATATTGTTGTTCGAATTGTCAAACAAAACGAAAAGGCATGGCGAGGCAGTGGCATGGCGAATTGGCAAAAATAAATAGAGGTGGCTTTGCCTTTGCATTATTGTCCGCGCATTTGTGATTTTTCCTGGACTAGTTTTTGAATTAATTTAGTGTTAAAGTGGTCGTGTAAGGAGCAGACAATCTGGTAAGTATTTCTTTTATACATAATGGAATTCCTACTGATATTCTAGGCGTGGTATGTGCCTTGTCAAAGGTAGCAAACGTTTCGATTGCCTAGCGACATCTTCAGGCACCGGTTTTTCAATTTGGTTTTAGTTGCAAATTGTTTTTCAAAATAAAGTCCCAATGATTGGTACGATATTTATCAAAATCCTAGGCTTGCATATTAACTTAACTTTTAAGAAAATCCCAATTAACTCTTATCTAACAATAGTAGCCTAAAACATTAGCTGGTGAAATTAAGTCTTGGTTTCCATTACCTTTCAAGCTAAGCCATTCCCTTTTGCTTAAATAAGTATTTTTACCTTCTTCATTTAAGCTACAGTGACTCAATAAAACACAGTGGCGACAATTGCCGTCCTATTTATGATTTATTTATTTAAAATCCGATATATTCATATTGAAAAATATGCAAGAATATGGCGGCGAGGGTGTAGCACGATTCCTATTTAAAATTAGCAAGAACATGGCGGCTGAACCTCTATTATCATCGCCACTGGTTTATTGAGTCACTGTAATTTGTATTTGAGCCACGAGGCTGTGAAAATCAATTATTCTAACCTAATTGCATTTCTTTTCAACAGAAAAGAGTCAGGACCAATGAATTATTGATCGTTTAAATATTTAGATAATAATAACTGTATTTATTCGGCAAAAGATTAATTTATTTTAGTTTTTATTTTTTCCTTGTTTTGTTTTGTTGTTTGACATTTTAGATACAGAGGGCGCTGTTGTCAGACCACGTGCCTGATGTTCTCATTTGCCTTTTGTTCTAAGATAATGGTTAAATCGGTAATATACATTACGTGCATTGGAATATTTTTAATTATCTGATTTTTACAGTTGTGTCTATTCTGAATTTAGGAGCAATTGACCCATCAAAAAATTTGTTCGAATTTGCACCGAGTGTAAGTTAGAGTAAAGCTTCCTGCGCAAGTCAACGGACGCCATTTTTTTTTGCCCAAAAAACAAAGATGGCGATCGGCTCGTGTCTTTAGTTAAATCATCGCAATTTATAATTTATTGTTCGTTACGTTTTGGTTGATTTCAAAAAACTGTGAATAAGGCTGATTTATAAAACTGGTAAGTTTGTTATGATTTTATTGGAATTCTGGAAATTGCGTATCTACGTGGTTTTTGTCAATAATAATAAACGTTTCGAGACTTTTGCACACTCTTCAGGATAATAGAAATTTGGCTGTTAAAAATTTTATTCCAATTACCTATAACCTCTCATTAATCACGTTTACACAATAATAATAAATAATTTTATATCTTTTCTAAGCAAATTATTGAAGATTTACAGATAGCTAAATGAATGGTGGCAACCAAAAAAATTTTGTTTTTAAATCAATAATGCCATTTCAAACTCATTGCATTGTTTTTATACTCAAATAAATAAAATAAGGGCCAAATTTATAGTCGTCAGACCCTAAGGAGGCCTTGGACGTTTAGAATTAACACGACTAACTTGTCAAATAGTAGCAAGTGGCCATTCTAAACTCACGTCCTCCAAGGAACGAGGAATTTGACTGAATAATTTTACCTACAACTGCTAAATAAAGTCACGTTTTTCCTTACAGGGCAAATTCATCTAACATTGATTAAATAATTATCAAATAGAAATTTACAGATTTACCCTCAAATTAACAATAAACAATTATTTAAAAAAAAATACAAATTCTTTATTTGTTTTTCTCTTGTAGGTATCATGTATCCACTCATTCTCAGTTGTTTTCTGTCATTCCTTTATTTTTATTTTGGGGCGTTGACACAAGATGGCACCAGGTGAAGCGTTTTCATTTGTCTGCACTCTTCGTGCTATAAACACTAAATCCGATATTTTCAGTTGTTCGGACTCTTTAAGTAGTGAAACCATCGATATCTCAAGTATTTTTGATGAAATTTTTCCAAAAAAATCGAGTTTCGAGTCAGAGCAATCCATGTCCTACTTGAATTAACGAGTTACACTGAGTGCAAAAGCGAACGAAACACCCTAATAAGTGTTCGAAATTGCACTGGGTTAGGTTTAGAAAAAGTTATTCATGCGCAGGTCTAAGGCCGCCATGTTTTCTCTCGTTATAAGAAAAATATCAACTGGCTCATGTATTTGTGATTATTTGATTTTGGATTAACTGAGTGTAAAAAGTGTAAGTATTCAAAAAATTGTTGTTTGTGATTCTTGATGTACTCTCTACTTATGGTTTCTGCTAGAAGGTAATTTATGGGAAACGTTTCGTCTTTACTGCAATCCTCAGACATAACATTCATTTTGGTTCCAACTAGAACCATTCAATTTAAGCTGCCTCGTTAATACTTTCCTGTTCTAAGTGTTTTAACTATCCCAGGGCTGGTTCTAGTTGGAACCAGGTGCGAGGATCACCTTCAAACAATTATTTTTATCCCGGCCGGTTTTGAGACAGATTTTTAATGATTTCGTGTTAACACTCCTTAATGACTCACCATAAGTAGTTTTTATTTATTCAGGGATAATTATTTTGTCAAAATAAGCTTGGAACATGTGATAAATAAAAAGTCCAATTATTCTAACCTAACTTTTGATTGAATCACTTTTCTTGTTTACATGGGGCAAATCAGTTAAACCAACTTGGATCTTGGATTTATGTTCTTTTTTAATAATTTAAACTAAAATAATTGTAATTTGTGTATTCTCAAGTTTTAAATTCAATTCAGCCTTATTTTCATGAGTATATTTTCATTTAATGGTGGGTCTATTTTTAGACAGACACATAAAGTAACATAACATAAGAAAACCCATTAAATTTTATGCCTTATTTTATGGGAAAACGAGTCACCCAGTTGAAAACATTCCAAAATACAAATCAAAACAAGTCAATAACACATGGATAATTATTTTTAATGTTTTTATTTCCTGTATCAACCTACTAACACTATAAGATTTAATAATTTGTTGAGCCTGCACTGCACAAAATGATAAATGAAATTCTAGTAGTCTGATAAATAATTATTATCCATTTTTTTTTATCTATGATTTGTTCGATGTCGATAAAAGGTGGCGTCACATCACATGTGGACTATACACTGACTCAATAAACCTTTTCATGCAGTGGCAGCAATAGAGAATCCACCGCCATATTGTTGCTAATTTCAAATAGGCATATTCTTCTTTTCAATAATCACGAATGTTTAGGATTTTAAAAGAACCAATAAAAGATAGGACGACAATTGTCGCTACTGTGGTTTATTGAGTCACTGTAGTGGACTACGCCCTAATTTAAATCGCCATAGATAGCGTTTTCGTTTGCCTTAAGTTTACCTGCTCCGAAACTTTGAAATAATAGTTTTTAGCAGAAATCGAACAAAATGTGGAATCTGTGATTGCTTTGAAATCTTGTAGTTTATTTTGAAACAATGGTTACAAACTTCCAAAATATTAACCTTCGAATACTTTTCTTTTTAATTGCATAAGTGCATATCAATGTCAATTTATCCTACTTTGTTAAAAGTCAAGACTACTTAAGCAAATAGATCTGTGTGTCTGCCATGTCCATGCGGCAACTCCCCCCTATTTGTGACGTCAGCCACAGACCTCAACTCTTGACTTAAAATGCATTATCCGAGCTTAAAACACAGGTTAAAAGAACGATTTCCTAAAAATTAATTCAGAAACTCAGCGGTCTGTAGGTGACGCCATCTCTATTAGCTGCCGATACTGGTGACGTCACCCGTAGACCTGCTGTTGACTCGAGAACTGGCCTTATTAGGTTGAGCGATCCTATTCGATTAAAAGTAAGTCGCTATCTTTTCATTAGCATTTATGATTATAAACACGAAAATCCCTATTCGGAAAATTATCTGAAAGCCTCTACACTGACGTCACACGTGGCAAACAAATTCAAAATTATTCGTGCTGCGCAAGTTCATGACCGCCATGTTAAAATAGGCACGGTGCTGGTTGAATGTAAAAAGAAAATGGCCGGCTTGTGGGTTATTTGAGCTCCCAGTATTTTGACTCGTTTTTATTGCTGGTTGTGAATATTAAAAACTGGTGAGGAATTTATTTAAGTGGCAGAGGTTTCGATTCTTTAGTTCCATCTTATTTTTTGACTAGTTTATAATAAACTCGACCTAAGGGCCGGTTTATTCACCTGCCAGTATGCAATCTGACGGATAAAAACGCAATCTGTGATTCCATTGGTAGGCCAGTTATCCGCTGACTGATAGAATTATAGAATGATAACTTGATCTTGAAGCAAGTTTATCTGCAGATTAATAAACCGGGCCTAAGACCCGTTATTTTGATATTATGGCTTGAAAAATGAATCCTAATTATGTTAACCTGACCTGTTTTTCTAAAATACATTATAGACCTAATTGTTTTTTTTAAATTTCAGGTTGGACAAGAAAGCTATATTCTCCTAGAGTGATGAAATCAATCTAATCCATTGTTCGGTGAGTTAAATGCCTATTTATTTAATGTTTTCTTGAAATAGCATTGATAGGCAATTTTATGCTTGATTATGCTGGTATATGTTATGTCAATTGTGTCATACTCCCCGCTAACTCCACTTCCATCAAATTCTGGGCGAGTGACGTCACGATCTGCAGCTTATAGTGATGACGTCACCCGCAGACCTTGATAGAATGCTTGCGAATCAGGCTGTCCTAGTGAGTTAATTTTTTCGCCGATTTTAAATGTAGAAAAGGTGATTTTCAGTCTGTTTTCACACAAGAAATAAGGGCTACGGTCCGAATATAACCAAACGTTAACGAAAGTAACCAAATCGGTTGACAGATGGTTACTGAATTTCGGTTACTTGGGATTTCAGGAAACCGAGGTCCAAAAGTAACCACTTTTCCAGGAACCAGAGTAATTTGATTACTTTCGGACCGCAAAACCACAATCCTGGTTATATTCGGACCACAGCCTTAGTGTTCTTGATCCTCAAGTATTTCAGAATTTGATGGTGGAGGAGTTAGGGGAGTATGACACAAATGACACATCACATAATCCAGCAAAAGAGTATGCTTGGTTATCCTCGCGAAAAAAGCCTTGATAATAGATGTGTACAGGGTGTTTCATAGCAGATGGATATTTAGGAAGAACCGACAAAATTTTTGATTTTTCAAATTGAGTATATTGTCTTAGTAGGCCATGGTTATGTTCTGAAAATATTTTTACAAGTGCAATGTTGCCAGTTTTTCTCGAAACTAATAGCAATATTGCAATTTGGCCTCTATACAGGCTGGGAACCAGATCGGTCTATATTTGGAAGACGGTATGCAGAAAATTTGACAGTATATACTAATGTCACTGGGAGCAACACGGCAAAAATATTTTAAAGATGGTGCATTTACGGGTATACCGGAAGTAGACGTCAACTTGCTTATTTTAAGTGAGACACCCTGTATGTGATTGCATGTTTGGATTCTACGTAAAATTCTGAGCCAGATTTCATGTGATATACAGTGTATCCACACAAGTTCGCAGCATATGGGAAACTTTTTTATTATCAATTTTATGAAAAAAAGTTATTATTTATAAAAGTTTCTGTTTCTTGAAAAAATAGTACTAAATTATTAAAATTTGGAATAGCATGTACAGGGTAGTCAGAAAATAGAAAAATATACAGGGTTTTTTATATTTTTTTTCAGATAAAGCAAGTCATATTACAGTCAGAAGATACCTTTCGTTATCACAAATAAACCTGCCAAATTTGGAAAAAAAATTGGAAAAGGGATTTTTGAGCTGAAAAAACGTTTTTTTTTTTAAAACTTTGACACCCTGTATCTCAGAAACTACGCATTTCCGGACACATGTTTATGGGATCTTTTTTTCTTAAAATATTGTAAGGAATTACATCCTGAAGTTACGAACCGTACTTAAGAATCACCCTGTATATTTTCCTATTTTTTCACCACCCTGTATATGCTATTTCAAGTTTTAATACTTTAATATTATTTTTTCAAGAAGTAGGAACTTTTATAAAGAATAACTTTTTTTCGTAAAATTGATAATAAAAAAGTTTCCCATATGCTGCGAACTTAAGTGGACACACGTACTGTATATACTTCAACTTTAACAGGTTGCTAAACCTAAACGGTTAATTTTAGAGGAAAACCGGTCTCACATTCTCATCTTGGATTTTTATAAACTATCATTTGACACGAACTTTGAATTTAATCCATGATTAAAAATTTCGGTTAAATTGAATCTCCAGTAAAATTCAAAGTTCAAATGATAGGTACATAGTTTATAAAAATCTAACATAAAAATGTAAGATCGCTTTTCCTCTAAAATTAACTGTTTAGGTTTTACAGCCTGTCAAAGTTGAAGATAGCCATCATGTGATATACCCTATCACATGAAATCTGCTCAGAATTTTATCTAGAATCCAAATATGCAATCACATACAGGATGTCTTATTTAAAATAAGCAAGCTGACGTCAACTTCCGGTATAACCGAAAGTGCCACCATCTTGAAAATATTTTAGTCAGGTTGCCCCCATTGACATTAGTATACTGTCAAATTTTCAAAAACTTTCTGCATACAGTTTTTCATATATAGATCGATTTGGTTCTCGGTGGTACACCCTGTATTTATTGCATCGTTGGATGCTACTCGAGACGAGTCCGGTTAATCCTTTGCGAGCAAAAAGATGACCGGCCCCACGTGATCAGTTTTATTACTTCAAATGGAAGATCACGTGAGCTTCTGTCCTGTCAATAGTGTCATCTTTTAACTTGCGGAAGATCAACTGAACTAGCCTTCTAACATCTTGACACATTTGTTTTTGAAATGTTGACAGTTGACAAGCTTTAGTTTGACAGTAAAGGTCGTCATACACGGTTTTGCATAACGCATATGCATAAACCCCAACCAATCATAGGTTGCATTAAAGGACACTTGACTGTCAACTGAACATCAGGTGACCTTTAATACAACCTGTGATTGGTTGGACCTTCAGTTTGAATTTAATTGAAAGTACACTACGATTTACTGAAAACAACACACGTGACGCCCTCTCATTGGCTAGAGCCGATATTCAAGTGAAATTTCCATTCAACAGATTATTTAGCGACAATTTCAGTAAAGATTTGGCAACATGAAGACTGTATAGATTTTATGTTAGAAGGAAGCACAATTATTTTAGTATGCTTTTATTATTATAAAGAATGTTAAACTAATTGTTATATTCGTTAACATGACGACATACAATTGTCTTGTTGACTAGCAACCAAAAACATTTTAAATAATTTTATGTTAGAAGGAAGCACAAAGAAAATTCCTAACATTTTAAAACATTTAGGTTCTTTGTAGTAGGTAACAAGAGTTCACCGATTAAACCTATCCTTTATTTTTTTATAGCGTAATGAAGGACACAAATAGGTTTCAAGTAGTGAGCTGTGGAATAACGAGATGTTACGAGTTTTGACTCGACGAATCCGCATTAGCCTAGACAAAGATCGATATATCGATTCATGTCGGATACGAGATATAATCAAATTGGAAGATCTCGCATTTTTGGGTCTCTGACGTCATATTCCTAGCCTGCGTCTTCGCAGCAGTTAAAAATTTCAAATAATTTTATTTTAAATTTTCAAAAAATATTTAAATTGAAAAAATCCCTTTCTTCTACCTCCCATAAGCTGTAGAACCGTTTACTTCAACCAGATGTTCACTTTTAAGCAACTTTACTATATCCCAACTCCATTGTTTTTATGTAATTCCTGCTTGCTTCCATACTATACAAGTTAGTATAAATAAATATATTTTTTTTTCCAGATACTCATTGAAAATGGAGGTAGATACAGTTTGCATCTTGGATTCAGATGACGAATCCCATGAAAGTCTTGACGATAAATTGACATTGACTGATGAAATAGTTGTAAATAAAATGATTAAAACCGAGATTAAAACAGGAGATATATTGATGGAGTATTCTGATAATGAAGTTGACGATGATAATTTCGACACTAACAACTTGATAGAATATGATGAGGCTAGTAATCAACCTGATGATGATGATGATGTTATCGTGATTGTTGAAGACATTTCTCCAAATGGTAAAACATCACCACTATGCAAGGTTTTTCAAACAGCAGACAAAATCAAAAAAGAACATCCTTCAGAGCCACTAGTGGATGGAGCAAGCTCTTCTTTACCAAAACATGATGATGCTGAAACTCCCTTCTGCTTTATAGCCTCTGCATACTCCTTGGCAACTTCAAAGTCGCCAATAATAATTGAAGAAAACCCTCAAGAAGAAACTGAAAGTGCCATTAATGAAGTTTGCCATGAAAATTTAATACCAAATGATGTTGAAGCTGAAGATAAAGAAAACGATGATCCTGAAAGTGTAAATAAGCCCTTTTGCTTTATTGGCTCTCCGTACACAGTGCCAGAAACAAGTTTGACTGAAAAAAGTCAGGAAAAAAGTATTCATTCGCCACAAAATCTAGATTCTTCCAATAGTGATCTTATAAGCTTTGTGGAAGAGGATTTAAAGCCCAAAGAAGCTGCAGAAGAAAATGATGTGGTTGCTCCAAGCTTTGTAGAAAAAGATTCATTACTTTTGGAGTCCACTAATGAAAATGATCTAGAGATTGTTCCAAGCCTTGTAGAGTCCACCAATGAAACTGCTACAATTTCTGTAGTAGAAGATTCATCGATTTCCAAAGAAAATAGTAATAATCAAAGTTCTGTAGAAGATGAGTTGTTCAATAAAATTGATGAAGATCAAAGTTTGAAACATGTGTCCAGCTTTGCAGAAGAAAGTTTCAAAAAGAATGATGAAAATGTTACAAGTGATGTTGATGAGGAGGCTTTGCTTTTGTATTCTTCAGAAGAATATGATACTCCAAACTATGCAGAAGAAGATTTACTGCTTATGGATTCGCCTATACAAGATGATATTCCAAAACGTGCCACTGTAAAAGACGTTCTGTGGCTTGTGAAAGAAAGAAGTGAAAGTAACACTCCAACCGCTACGAGCAGTGTTGTCGATACATCTAGAGGAGGAGATAAAATTATAGTAGAAGATTCATTACCTGAGTCTGTAGAAGAAAATAGTGAAGTTGCAACAAGCTGTTTTGAAGAAGATTCGCTGCTTTTGGACCCTGTCAGAGTAGGAAGCGAAACTTCCAAAGATGACACAAGCCTTAATGAAGGAGATTCATTACTTGTCACTTCTTCAGAAGAAAGGAGTGAAGCTAACACGCCAAAAACTACTCAAAGCAGTGTCGAAGAGGATTCACTCAGAGAAAACAGTTCAAAGGATGCTACAAACTTTGTAGGAAAGGATTGTTTGTCTAAAGAAGATGCTGTGTGTAAACTTCTAAATTGTACAATGCTTATGGAATCTTCTTTAGAAAATGCTGCAAACTGTATTGTAGAAGATTCATTGCTTTTGGAGTCTTCTAAAGATGTCAAAGTTGTAGAACAAGATTCACTACAATCTCCTGCAGAAGATAATGAAGATGAAAGTTTAAATAATGTTTCAAGTTTTATAGAAAAAGATACATTGTCTTTAGAAAGTTCCAACAGTCCTGGAACAGAAGAGGAAGAATCTATTGAAGCTAATTCTAATCTGGAAAAGATCGACAATAATGTAGAACAAGATTCACTACAGTCTACTGATGAAAATAATGAAAATGAAGGTTTCAATAATGCTTTAAGCTTTGCAGAAAAAGATGCTATGCTTTTGGAAAGTTCTAACAGTCCAGAAGAGGGACAATCTATAGAAGTGAACTTTAATCTGAAAAGGACCTACAATAATGTAGAACAAGATTCACTACAGTCTCCTGAAAAAGAAAATACAGACGAGAGTCTTAATAAAGCTTCAAATTTTGTAGAGAAAGATACATTGCCTTTGGAAAGTTCTCACCGAGGTTCTCACAGTCCTGAAACCGAAGAGCGACAATCTATAGAAGGTAATTCTAATATAGAGAAGACCGACAAGAATGATAAAGATTCATTGGTTTTGGAGTCTTCTGAAGATGTCAAAGTTGTAGAACCAGATTCACTACAGTCTTCTGAAGAAGATAATAAAGACGAAAGTTTTAATAATGCCTCAAGCTTTGCAGAAAAAGATGAGTTGCCTTTGGAAAAATCTAACAGTCCAAAACATGGCACAGAAGATGTGGGACAATCTATAGAAGCCAATTCAAATCTGGAAAAGACTGACAATGATGATAAGGATTTATTGCTTTCAGAGTCTTCTAAAGATGTCAAAGTTGTAGAACAAAATTCGCTACAGTCTCCAGAAAAAAATAATGAGGATGAAAGTCTTGATAATGCTTCAAGCTTTGTAGAAGAAGATACATTGCCTTTGGGAACTTGTAATTTGGAAAAGACCGACAATAATGATAAAGATTCATTGTTTTTGGAATCCTCTAAAGATAATGAAAAAAATCTAAAAGTTCTAGAACAAGATTCACTACAGTCTCCTGAAGAAGATAATGAAGATGAAAGTCTTGATAGTGCATTAAGCTTTTCGGAAAAAGATGTATCACCTTTGGAAAGTACTAACAGTCCAAAACATGGAACAGAAGAGGGACAATCTATTGAAGCTAATTCTAATCTGGCGAAGACTGACAATAATAATAAAAAATCATTGGTCTTGGAGTCTGCTAAAGATAATGAAAAAGATATAAGTCTAAAAGTTGCAGAACAAGATTCACTACGGTCTCCTGAAAAAGATAATAAAGACGAGAGTCTTAATGAAGTTTCAAACTTTGTAGAAAAAGATACATTGTTTTTAGAAAGTTCTGGAATAGAAGAGGAAGAATCTAGAGAAGCTAATTCTAATGTGGAAAAAATCGACAATAATGTAGAACAAGATTCACTACACTCTCCTGAAGAGGATAATAAAGATGAAAGTGTTAATAATGCATCAAGTTTTTTGGAAAAATATGTATTGCCTTTGGAAAGTACTAACAGTCCAAAACATGGCACAGAAGTTGAGGAACAATCTATACAAGCTAATTTTAATCTGATGCCAAAGACCAATGATATTCATAAGGATTCATTGCTTTTGGAGTTTTCTATAGATGTTAAAGTTTTAGAACAAGATTCACAACAGTCTCTTGAAGAAAATAATGAAGATGAAAGTCTTGATAATGCTTCAGAAAAAGATGCATTGTCTTTGGAAAGTTCTAACAGTCCAAAACATGTCACAGAAGAGGCACAAGCTAATTCTAATCTGGAAAAGACCGACAATAGTGATACATTAGTGAAAGGTACTTCTGAAGATCATACAGTACCAGATATTAATAATGATGCAAGTACAAGTGCAATAAGAAATGACGAGGATGTGCAAGAGAATGATGAAGAGAATAACGAAACATTGAAAGATTCAGAAGAAATAAGAAACAGTATAAGAATGCAACTGACAAATCTAAGAAAAGGCAAAAATAAGTTTAATTTTTTTAAAGATGTTCAACCAAAGACAAGCTTTTTTGCCAGAACTGATGAAGAAGTCATTAAGAAGCCGTTTGTACAACCCAAAATTGTTACTGTTTCAACTGTAGAAAAACGACAGCCTGAAGTTATAAGACCAAAAGAAACCGAAAAAGTCGAACCTCAAGAGGATGACAATGTATCGAACGCATTAAGTGAACTAAGAAAAATTATAAACAAACCTAAATTATTTTCTAAAAAAGAAGCAAATAAACAAGGACCGAATAAAACGACCACCGCAAATGAACCAGTTGAAACTAAACCTGTACATAGACCCAATAATAGCTCATCTACTACTACTGACATAAGAAAAATTATAGGAACGCTCAATACCGATATCGAAGACAGCAATTCTAACGATAAACTCGACAGCGAATTAAATGATAATAACAGCAATCCATTTGTTAGTAACACCCTTGACGAATTCTTAACAGACTCAAAATTAAATGTAAGCTATGACATACCAAAAAGTGCAGCCGAAGAAGGTATTATAAAAGATTACTCCTTGGACCCTTTGATGTTAATCGATCCCCAAACCTCTAAAGATGAAGAAGAAAAAGCAGACAAAGATACTAAAAAAATCACTAAAGCAAGTGCATACAAGCCAAAAACTTTAGCCGAAAAAAGGCGAATTTTGGAAAAAACCAAACTTGAACAAAAGAACATTAAGGATGAATTTGATACAAGAAGTTATGTAATGTTTAAAAATAAAAAGGTGTTCCTTCATAGCAAGTACCAAAGCAAATGTTTAGCGTACGTCGAGTCTGATGTACCAAAAAAACCAGTTCGAGCATTAGAAGTAAATAAGCCATCACTCTTAAAGGAATTATTTCGCAAATCTTCTCCTGTCAAATATAGACCTGGCCCTTTATCAAGAAAACACAGGCTCCAATCAGATTATTCTCAATGGACCACTGAACTAAAATCACTGCCTACAGTTACTTTGAGTATAATGCCTGAATTTCGAAAAGCTGTCCACCCAAATTTACTAGGCATCATCAACAATCAGTGGGACGCTGAAGTGAGTGAAGATCAAGTTGAATTTGCTTTGTCAGCATTGAAAACGAATGAACCGCAAAACAAAATTTTTAATTTTGAGTTGAATTATGAGAATAAACAGGAAAAATTATTGGCCCGTAAGAAATTACGTAATGACGGAATAGCTGCATTTAAAACAACTGCAAAAAATTTGTTTAATCACGAGGATGATGATAAAGTAGTGGCTCAAGTTATAGAAAATTTAATTAATTATGTTGAAATAAAAGAAATAGCCCCAACATTGATTAAAGATGAAGTTTTTGATAACGATGAACATTTGCTTCAAGAAAAAGTAATAAAATATAAAAGAGGTAAAAGAAGAAACTTTAACAAAACCAACAGAGAACTTTTACGTTTAAATTGCAAAGTAGTCACTATGGAAGAGGACGAGGATGATACGAAAAATGAATGTTCCAAACCTTACTGTCGCTTAGGCTGCGTTTGTAATTCTCTTAAATCCGAACACTTAATAGGAGTAGGAAAACATTGTCAAAAAGTTGCATGTATGTTCGAATGCAGTTGTCCTAAATATGCAAGGGAATTTTTAACAACTGACACTGTAACTAAAATCGAAGATATCTCCAAGAAATATTTAGCCAAAGAAGAAAAAGAATTCACTCAAACCGTCATTTGTACTAACGATAAAACTTTTGTGGTTGGAATGAGCGCGAAACCAAGAAGAGCAGCAAAACTGCCCAAAAAATATTCAGATTTTTTCGATGAGGATGTGTATGATGAAAAATCTACTATTAACAAAAAGGTGCAACTTATACCTTGCTCCGTTACAATGGACAAATTGAACTTTTCAGGTATTGTTCCTTATTGTTGGGTACATTATTTATATAATTGCCATTGCAATGGAACGAGTATTTCATTCGAGAAAAAACTGGCATCCGAGAACGATAAGAAAAAACTGACCAGCCGAACCCGAAAAGCGCCAAAATATTTCGAACAAAGTAGATTATCTGGAAGAAAAGTCCCTAAAAAGTCTTTACAGCATAAGTATGTTTATCAAGAAGAAGAGGATTTAGATGATGATGGTACAGTTTCCAGAACACTTCCGTATGAAGACCACTTGGGTCAAGACAGAAAACGTGAAAATACCGAGGAACTCACTGCAAATGATTTTATAAATAATATGAGTCAATCTGATCGATTGAGAGCTCTCACACTGCGAGAAGTTCCCTTAGATCGCCTGAACGCTAGTGATGCATTGAAGCAGTCAATTATTCAAGAAAGGAAACTTGTTATTGGTCATCAACGGAAGCAACAACATATGGTAAGTAATTTATTTTACTTATTTGTAACTTTTGATTGCCCTTGACTTAAATTATCAAGCATCCGGGCTGGGACTCTGTAACGTATAGAGATCGTTGTTATGCCTTTTCGCGATGGCTATTGGTTAGTTGGTTGAGATGCAGAGTGAACAGGCCTGGTTAGGTAGCTCCAACACTGCAGATGTCGGCTTATTGTATTGTCCTGTTCGTCTGTTTAGTCGGTGAAAAGTTTTGTGACCTTGATTAGGTTTAGGAGCCTCTTCACCATGTTACTTTTGATGAGTATAGAGATAGGGTCTTCTGGCCCTATCTTTATGTATCTCCACCAGCGTAAAGCCTCACATTCGAAGATTATTTGGGTAGCGGTTTCAGCCTCCTCGTCACAAAGTCTGCATATGTGTTCTTCTTGGAGGATGCCTATTGTGTGAAGGTATTTTCCAGTGGCGACTATTTCAAGTGAGGAGGCTAGAAAATAATGAATTACGGTAATGGTTACCACTGCGCAGCAGGCAAAATTTGTTTTGGGGTGCCCATGTCCTCAATAATCCGGTACATCAGAGAGAACTGAGACCCGGCATATCGACTAAAAATCACATTTTGAATATTCTATTCCCGATTTTATAGATTGGCTTCAAATTATCCGCTGACCAATAGAACTATAGACTGGGCCCCGTGATTAAAATAACTCCGGACCTTCGGGCTCGCGTATAACTCTGGCCCTTCGACCTCGCGTATAATTCCAGCCCTTCGGGCTCACATATAACTCTGGCCCTTTGTTTTTTTTTGGTTTGGGGATTCAAATTTTGGTTATTCCCGGCTCTTGATTGGCTTTAAATTTTGAATATTCCCGGCTTTTGATTGGGTTTAAAATAATCTATAAATCGAAATTTGATATAAACATATGGCAACGTTGCTTATGATACAACAAACGTCAAAAAATTGAAATTTCAAAGTAGGCCTTGTTTTTTTTGACAGTCGATATAAAATGGCGTCTTTTTGTTTCAAAGATTACGAAGTAATAAAATCAGTTGACAATGAACGGGTTCGTATAACTCCGGCCCTTCGGGCTCGTATAAGTCCGATCCTTCGGGTTCGCATGACTCCGGCCCTTCGAACTCGTATAACCTCGGCCCTTTGAGCTCATAATTGAGATAACCTCAGCCGGTCCCCTGTTTGGCTTCTTCCTACGTATTTGCCGAGGCTAAATCTATATGACTATTGACAACTATCAATGTCAAAAATTTTTACCTGTTTTTTTTTTTTCAAAAAACAAATGTCTGGAAACGATCGAACGCTTCGTTCTTTACAGAATAAGGCCCCTGACTCCAAAAACCCTAAAATAAAAAGTTTCATCGATATATATGTCAAAAACCAACGGTCTGGCAACGCCGAACGTCTTTTTTAACATATGTTAACTACGCATTCGCCGAGGCTAAATCTATATGCCCATGTGTTATTTTTTTTTAAATTTTGACAGCTGTCAATCTCAAAAAAAATTTCTTTTGTTTTTTCCAAAGAACAAAGGTTAGAAAACAAGTCGTTTTTTAGTGGCTTTTAGGGTGAGATTTATGTATAGCAACATCTAGCAACACTTATATGAAAATTTAATGAATTCATTTGTAGCAACAAAAAAATCAATTTCCCGTCGGTTTTGGAATTCGAATTTTTGAATTTTTCCGGCTCCTGATTGGTTTGGGGATTCGAATTTTGATTATTCCCGGCTCTTGATTGGCTTTAAATTTTGAATATTCCCGGCTCTTGATTGGGTTTAAAATAACCTATAATCTCGGCCCTTCGAGCTCGAGATTTGAAAAAAACATATGGCAACACTGCTCATGATACAACAAACGTCAAAAAATTGAAATTTCAAAGTAGACAATAACCCTTTTCACGTGGCTCCGGTTTAACAAACCGCAACATACCGCTCAATTCGAGTGGTATGTATCCATCACGTCACTTTGTAACCGGGTTAGAAAACGATATGTCATTTCTCTAACCGTTTTGTAACCCGGTTAGTTTAAACCGGAGCCACGTGAAAAAAACTTTTGGTTTTTTTGACAATCGATACAAAATGAGGTCTTTTTGTTTCAAAGATTACGGCCCGAAGGGCCGGTGTATTAAAATCAGTTGACAATGAACAGATAAAACTTTTGTCGATATCGACAGATGTCACCTGTCAAATTTGATACATATGTTCGACTTTTTCCCCGCTCTACTATGAAAGCTACGAAAATCAAACCCCGGTACAAGGCAGTTTCACGACGCCGACGCCAACTATCGATTTGTATTAAAAAAATTTGACAGCTGTCAACGTCAAAAAAAGTTTTCTTCTTATTTTGCAAATTTCGAGAAAAAAAGTGGTGGAAAACGATCCCCGGACCCCAAAAACCCTAAATAAAAATTCCAAAAAAAAACAACGAAAATGACATTCCAAAACCTACTTGATAAAACTAAAATTTTTAATTTTTCTCACTTACCCCGTTGAGAAACTGGAAATTTTTGGTGGAAAATGAAGAAAGCTCAAAGCCTCGTACTTTAAATCAGTTTTCCCGACTGGAAAAAAAATAAAAATATAAACACGTCAATTGAAAATGGCCGACTGTCAAAAATGCTTTCTTGATTGAAAATAGCCACAAGCGATGTTGCCACATCAAAAGCATTTTAAATGGGATTTTGCTAATTATGGCATTTGAAATTGAATTTTTACTAAAAAATGAAAACTCAAAACCTCGTATGTTAAATCGCTTTTTTCCATTAAAAACCCCGAAAAGTCGAAAATTCGAGAAAAAACTGGTAGAAAAAATTCAAAATTTCTAATTTTTTCAAAAATTCCGTACACAATTTTTCCACCACGTCAACGCTGTAAACCTAAACTTTTTCGTTTCGTCTCTGTCTTTCCGCGCGTGACTGCCTTCCTGCAGCACCAGAGTCACCTCCTTCGATGACGTCACGTCGGAACTCGAACGAATTATCAATGCCGGTCGGTTTTTTCGAAGTCAAAAAGATACCAATTAGTTTTTTCACCCGAATACTTAATTTTCACCAAAATTTTTTTACCGCAGCGCCATGTCATATGCCTCTATAAGTATAAATGAAACGACGATTCATTATTAAAACTAGGCATATACTCACTGATATTAAGAAACTCTAAATATAGGATTTTTACGCTATATTTAGGGTGACGTCACAGTAAATTTCTGCTGCTAACCTAACAAAACTAAAAGTACTTTTTAACGTATTTAAAGTAGAGGAATTTCAGATGTTTCTGGTTGGCAACGGCGCGCAACGTTGCATGACTTGTATAAAATTTTCATTTCGTTATTTTTAGCTGTTGTCAAAATTATTGACACATGACATTCTGGTAAATTATTAGAAAAAAAATAGACATTGACAACATCGTTTGTCCTTGTTCGATGACGACATCCTAAATAGGTATAACTTAAAAATCCTATACAAGTCCGAAACCACATACGCAAGCAACCGGCCATTTCACAATACTGACTTACCGAGCAGCGTTGCCAAACATATTAGAAAATAATAATCAATTCTGACAAATGTGTTGGTTCCATGTTAGCTTCATATCTAGGATGACGCCCAGAAATTTAGCTTCCCTGCCAAACTACAAGGTTTTTTGGAAAATACTGGGAGCAATTAAGTCCTCCAGATTTCTTTTTCTCGTGAAAGGAATGAGTTTTGTTTTGGAGGGGTTGGACACGAAGTTACTCTTTTGTGCACCATTCCTCGATGACTTCTAAGGCATTCTGCATGAGGTTTGATACTGTCCTGATAAATCCTCCCCTAATGAGAACGACTATGTCATTCGCGTAGCCTAGGATCGTTTAGTTTCCTCAGAAGTTCATCCACGACTAGATTCCACAAGAGTGGTGACAGTACTCCGCCCTGTGGGCATCCTTTTGTCGCGATTACTTTAATAGAGATTTCAGCAATAGTCGAGTGGAGGATTTGATCCATCTACACATGGTATCATTAATGGCATGTTGCCCAGCAGCTCTGACTTTGGAGATGTGGTCAAAGGCTCCTTCTATGTCAAGGAATGCCACTAGTGCGATTTCCTTGTTTTCTAGTGAGTTCCCTACTATTGTCACCAGTTGGTGTAGAGCTGATTCGCATGATTTACCTGGTTGGAAGGGATGTTGGTTTTGGTGGAGTGGCCTCTGTTTCAGTGCCTCAGGTTTCCCTGATATACTTTTCGGCTAGTGGGTCCTTTTCCAGGTTGGCACTTTCAGATTTCCTTGAGGATAGTTTCCTGTACTTTTTTACCGTGTTCTGCTGTCATTCATATAGTGTCAAGATCTCAGTCAGGATAGATCAATGAACTATAACCAAAAACTGGAATGCTAACACATAAGGACGAATGTGAAGCCTAGTGCGGCTGCTGCGGAGGGGATACCTGTTTTTGTCGCACTCATTATGTTAAATGGCGAAAATTGCTTCCAACACGTATTACAATTGATGAAACCTGTGAAGGGAAATATGACAAAACTTTCGAAAATGTCATATGTCAGCGAGCAACAGAAAAAGAAAACATTCCCCGTTGTGGCATCTGTCTTTCATGGCTTCATTTTTTTGGCAGATATGGCACTGTGTGCGCATTCCAGTTTTGAGTTCTAGTTCATTGGGATAGATACTTGTGATGACAGCCATCTTGATTCCTGACACAACCTTGCTGTAACTGGAACTTGCTACCTTCTCTTGTTTTTATATAAGTAGAGAGAGGACGTCAATAGAGATAGAGAAAACATCTATTCGTTACAGAGTCCGAGCCAAATAATTAATCGAATCTTTGTTCCAGGTTTTTGATACTGATCTGAAAGTGTGCCTTTTGTAACATTTAACCTTCGTTCCAGGTTCGAGAAGAACAAAGCTCTGATTTAACTGTGAGAAAAACCATCACAAGCACTACTCGTCAACGTAAACGTCCATCCGCTAAAACATCTAATCCTGAATATCGCAAAAAAATAAAAATTGTAGAGGCAAAATCTGAATATAGCACTAGCCAACAATCTCCACAAATTACTAGTACAATAACAGAACAAAATGAAACCTGTACTACCATCACACAATCCAAAGTGGAATCGGTATTTGATGGCGAAATTATCTGTAACGACTCTGCTTGGTTGAAAAGAATGTGCAACAACACGCAACAACCTGCAGACAGCTATGCCAGAATTTTACCCTGGGATGCACTTCTTAATGGTTTCCTATTAAAAACCATCAACGTTTACTGCCTGTGGGACGCACCCCTTAGACTAGTATTAACCAAAAACATAAAAATAAGAGCAGCTAGGTATCTTGACGTAATGGAAAGAGGAAGAGACATATTAAGAGCGGCATTAAGAGGCACGAGTAACCCAGGATTGATTAGGCAATCGGAAACTGTTAGAGATATTATCAAGTGGCTGATAACTGGCAGTTTACATACAAAATATTCATCATCCACTTTGTCATTTCTTCTAGTCGAAGTGCAACCGAAGCGTTTTGAAGTTAGAGGGTGTTGCACTCAAAAACCCAAAACACCTGTGAAAAGCAACATTCAATCAACAATTGTAGAAGCCCCAGAGCCTGAGATGGCAGACATTGAAGAGCCTGAGACGGCAGAAATTCAATCCGCACCTGTAAGTCCTGCACAGTCCGAAAGTATGGAACTGAGTGAGGAAAACAATGAAAATATTGAAACAGATAATTTGTCATTGGACGAATCAGCTCAAAGTGAATTGACCGAAACCAAACATAAAAACATGTACAACCAAGTAATGTCCTTGTTTATAACCAGAAGCAAGTTTAAATCGACTGAATTAATAGAAGACGGTTGCGATGATGATTTGAGTGACAACTTGTACATGTGGGTTGAGCTTCCGAATGTTCGCAGATTAGCCAAATGGCGGGTGATTTTTTTGAAAAACGACTTTATGTATCTGTTTTTTAAAACGGTCAAATACAGTATTAAATATACGGATATAGTTAAGTTAACCGAAATAGCCAAAGATTTTAATTCAACTTTAATGGTGAGAAATATGGATATTAGAAGATGTCACAGCCATCCTTTATACGGGCTCCATATTAGTCCTAAACATCTCGATAGGTTTTTTATTGGGCCTTATTATATTGACTTTATGGATGAGGATATTGATACTTTGGTTTATAAGAATCAGTCTTTGGTTAGTAGTTCGTCATTGAAAGGTAAGTGTGTTTTTTTTTTTAAAAAAGGGTTTTTGTTTGCTTTAATAGTAACTTTTGCAGGCGGTGATAATACTGAGAAATGCGGAGCTTGGATGTTTGAAAGGGGGGAGGCTAAAATCGCTGTTGTTGATCTTACAGAGGATGATACCCCAACCCCAACCCCAGCTCCAATCCCGTCCACATCTTCTTCTTCCACTGTTACACTGGAATGTCAAGTTGTGCCTCCAGAAACAGTATCCAATTTCATCATGCCTGAACCTTTTAAAATACTTAGTAATAAACCTAGGATGCCTTCAGAGTTTAACAGGTACGAACATTGATATTTGGAATTAAAAACACAGTGCAAAAATGTGATAATTTTAGATTTATTGTAACCAATATTCCGCATTTTGGCTATTTGGGGGCTTACCAGCCAGACGGTTCCGAATCGCTTGAAGTTTCGTGGCCTTTTGAAGGGAAAGTCTTGCAGTTTGACAGTTGCGCTCGCGCACGAGATTTTCTACAAAGGTAAGTTTTATTTGTGTTTTTTTTATTTATCAGTGTGTGTAGCGAGTCAAATGGAATCAGCTGTTGTTTAGGTATATTATGCAATATTTGATTCAGTTTATTATGTTGAAGGATCCTAGAGTGCATAACTCCCAGCTGCGAAAAATTAATAGCAAGTTGGATATGACCTATTAAATTTTGTATCTTATTATTTTGCATGTTTACGTTGTGTGTAATATTATTATAATTTAAAATTGCAATTATACCATTAAATCGATAATATTTTTTGTTGGATTTTGAAGTTTAAGACTTGTTAAACTTTCGCGTAAAGTTGAATGAAATCTTTCCATTGGGCTGTTTGAGTTAGGATTTCTAGGTGTTATGTAATGAAATTCAATAATATGTAGTGTACATAGTTTTTGAACTCAGTACCATTATCTGAAATTATTTTCTGAGGGATTTCGTGGTCACTAAAATATTTTAGGAGTTGTGACGTTATTTCAACAGCTGTTTTAGTATTGACAGGGCCAAATTTTGAAAAACTGTCCATAATCGTTAAAAATTTTCGATTATTACTTATGTACGTGTCAATATACAAATGTTCAAATGGTTTTGAACCAATTGGTGTTGGTTTGAACACGGGTGTCGTTCATATTTGGTCTCATCATATATTTCACATGCTCGTGATATTATAGATTCTAGTGTCTTATTTAGAAAATGAAGACAGTATGTACCAGGAGCCATATATTCTTTGACTAAATTGACTATTTGGTCATTTGATGGATTATTTGGTAGAAAGAATATATGATTCTCTTTTTATTATGAAAAGACTTAATAATTTCTTTCCTAATTGTATTATTATTTGAGTAGCGTAAGATCACTTGATTAGGGAAGAGATTCACATGTTTCTTCGTATATGGAGCACCTTCTGAGTTTGTCTTTTGTTTAGGTTTTATTCTTCTTTCTTATATGTTTTTGAAGATTCTCCCTTTTCTATTGGAATTTCTTTCTTTTTCTTTGGAGGGATAATTACTTGTGAGATTATTTTTAACTTTGGTGCATTTTCCTTCTCAGATGCGGTTTTTGTTGATTCAGTGTGATCTGATGTTGGGTTGCGCATATATGGTTTTGATTCCGTGAAATATTTTCTAATTATTTCATCATTACATAAAGGTCTCTTAACATATCTCTTAATTTATTGTGAAATTCTTCATCAGTTTATGCTGTTACTTTCACATCAGGATTTGAAGTCTGAAGCGTATTTATTTGTAAAGGTAGTCTTGATAAAGCATCTGCATTCATGTTAAAAGTTCCTTTTTTATATTTAATTCCATAGTCAAATTCGGATAACTTAAGTCGCCATCTTACCAATTTAGAAGTTGGTTCGACTTGCATATGCGATAGGAAAGGTCAGAGCCGACAGGTCCTTGAGATAACACTGCTCCTATAGCATAATTTGATGCGTCAGTTGTTAAAAGAGAAGGTCGATTAAAATCGGGACGTTGTAGTACAAGATCATTTACCAGGATATTCTTGCATGTTTCAAAACTTTTTATAAATTTTACATCGTGAATTATTTTTTTGTCTTTTTTCAAACATATTATCATTGGTTTCGTTAATTTAGCGAAGTTCTTAAGGTAGTAACCTACTAATCCTAAGAAAGATTTTATCTCTTTGACAGTTCTTGAAATTGGAAATTCCTTTATTGCCTTTATTTTGTTTGGATTAGGTTTTATACCGTTTGGCGTTATCATATGTCCCAAAAATTCTACTGTTCTTTCTAAAAATTCGGACTTATCGAGTTGAATTTTTAGATTTTATTGTTGTAATCTTTCAAATACTTGTTTAAGGTTTTTCACATGTTCTTGAAGTGAAGTCGAAAATATGATGATGTCATCCATATATACAAGACATATTTTATTCTGCAATCCAGATAACACATTATTCATGGCTCATTATGAAAGGTTGCTGGTGCGTTTTCGAGTCCGAATGGCATTCCAGTAAATTCATAAGTGTCCATATTCAACATTAAATGCCGTCTTAGGTATAGAGTTTGGATGCATCTGTACTAGATGGAATCCAGATGCGAGATCCAATGTTGTGAAATAATTGCTTCGTCCTAATTTATCCAATAAATCTGAAATGTTAGGTATTGGGTACCTATCGTCGATAGTTTTCTCGTTGACTTTGCGATATTCCACCACCATTCTCCATTTCTGTTTGCCAGAAGCATCTTTCTTTTGGGCTGCACGATGGTTCAATTATATGTTCTAACATTTTTTTTTTATTTGCTGGTTAACCTCGTTTTTATATATATGAGGATACCTATAGGTTTTTGTATGGACGGGTATTTCATCTGACGTTCTGATTTCATGTTTAACCTGATTCTTGAAAGTTTAACTTATCATAGAGTTTATGAAAAATCTTCGGAAACGCCTGTACTACATTCTGTAATGCATTTAATTCCTCTTTATTTAAATGCTGAGTACGTAAAAATTCTATTGGATTATTATCATATTCATGTGGGTATAACGACGTTACTTGTTCTGTATTAAATGTCTCAAAAGCATCTACATTATAAATAAAACTTTCTTCTGCTAGGTCATCTTTATGCCTAGTTAGAACAAAAGGTTTATCTGCTAGATTATGCACTTCTAACAATGCTGTTCCATTTGTAACCTTAAGTTATTGTTTCTGGTATCATGTATTTTTCCGTTTTTACTTGAGGTATTAGAATCTCAGTATTTTCAAGGATGTCTGTATTAAAATGACAAAGCTGAAATTTCTAAATTTTTGGTATCAAAGTCTGTTCTAAATTGAAATGGAATTGTTATTTTTTCGTTACTAAGGCACATATTAGTAAAGTCAATATTTAAATTATTTTCTTGTAAAGCTTTAATTCCTATAATACCATCAAAATAATCGTGAAAATTATACATTATCATATCAATATTAAATTCATGTAAAATTGGAATTCTCACTTTACCATTAGCTTTTCTAGTTCTCATACATGTAGTAAGTTTATTTAAAGAGTTTACTATAAAATCTGGAAAGTATTCTTCCGCTATTAGTGAAGCATAACTACCTGTGTCTATTAAAAACTTACAAGATGGATCAAAAGTTTCAATAAAAGGTAATTGATTGACTTAGTATGCATTTACAGTCAATGCTGATTGTTGGATTCCAAGGCTAGTCTGAAAATTTTCATCTTGGTAATCTTGACTTATTTGATCGTCATTTATTTCTGAGTATTATGTATGTTCACTATTTCATGACCTTGTTATGCAAGGCTTGTCTTTATGTCATCAGTTGCGTGATGAAGTTCTCTTAGGACAGATCTGAATGTTTTTTCGTTTTTTGGTCTTAATACGTTTTTCTTTTATCCAGCTCTTTGATCAGTATAGTATAGTATGTATAGTAATCAAGTACTAAGCAGGATATCTTATAATTAGCTCGAAGCTTTTTGATGGTACAGTTTTTGAATCTCGGATCAAGCACATTGTATAATTTAACAAAATTGAAAGAACAAGATTTTTGAAACAATGAAGTCCTATGTCGTGGTACACTCACAGTGTGAGCATTAGTTCTATATTGGAATTTATCGTATAAATAGGCTGGTTGTCCAGTATCTAGCACTTTTCTAATAAATATATAATAGTAAACAATTTATACATATAATTTGTCTAATATTACTTGATATAAAGTCAAATTTTCTCAAATTAAAAATGAATCTACAACATGTATTTTGGACATACTTTATTCTATTTTTAGTACCTACATCTAAAAATGCATAATACACAAGATATAACTATAGCTATACACAGACATGATAAGGGATTCACACAATTTTTTTCTGGTTTTAAAGTTCAAAATAAATCTATTTGAATACAGTAATTTCATTTTTACATAGCTTTTTTGTATGCAGATATAGAATTTGATTCCAAATTTCCCACCTAAAGATGCAAGATATGTTCAGTTGCTTATACAGTACTACCATGATTAAGCACATAAACCAAGAGACAGTTCCCAATAATTTAAGACAAAAATTCTGGATAATATGTGGTAGACAGAGTGTTGAAAATGTTATCCGTGTGTCAATTCTAAAAGGTGAAAAAACCTAAAGTTTCACAGCCAGAAATGGCACCATTACCAGAATGGGCCGTTTACAAAGTTATTGCAGGCAGTTATTGTGGATTAGATTATTTTGGTCCATTACAAATAAACACAGAAAAAAGATATGGAGCTTTATTCTCATGTTCAAAGTAGCAGTTTCATAAAGCACAGATTGTACAGTTGGCATTAAGAAAATTCATCGCAAGACGAGGAAAACCACTAGAGATTATTCAGACAATGGGACAAATTTCATTGGAGCTGAAAGAGAAATGGAGTATCAACTGGAAATTACATCTCAATAACAAAAAATGTTTCATTCTTCACCTTGGTATAAAGAACCTTCAATTTACCTTTTTTTTTTTTTGGACGAAGACCTATTGCAGAGGTGGAACAGCACAAAGACTTTGGTATTATCCTCACTAAGGACCCATATCAACAGCATGACTAAACAGGCCAACACTCTTATCTTTTTTATTCAGAAGGCGTTCAAAAATCAATCTAAAGAAATGATATTCAAACTCCACAAGGCTTATATGTCAGACCCAAATTTGGAATATGCACAATATAGATGGAAGTCTCATTACGTAAAAGTCATAGATGTTTTAGAGAGATTCCATCAGAGCTGTTCAACCTACCTTACGATGCCAGTCTAAAATCTTCCTACCTAAACAACGTAGACTATGTGGAGACTTGTTTGAGGCCTATAAAGTACTAAGTGACTACTATAAATGTGCCATCTTAAACTGAACTCAAACTGTGTTATATTATTGAAAATGTATTGTAAAACTCAAAAATAGTTTCATAGGTTTTACCGTTTACTAATACTATTTTTTATTGTTTTAGGAGATTTAAGAATGTGCTCCAACCCATACCAGTAACATTCGACATTCAAGTTATCGTCCTACTAAATTTAGATAGAAACGAAAATCAGCCAATCCAAGCTAAATACTTAAAAGGAAATTGTGTAAGTATTATAGTGAACCATTCATAAAAGCTGAAACTCTTACTAATTATTCTTTTTTTAGATTTGTGGTTCTTTCGGTACTCGAAGCATAGACGAAATCACAGAAGAATTTTGCCAAAAGGAACTTAATATGCCCAAAAAAGACATACTACAATTGTTCACCCACAAAGCCCATGACTATATGCAAGCGAAAGTGAACGATTTAGCAAAATTGAATTGCATCAACTATAAAAGGGGAGTCAGCGTGAATGTCATATTTGATAAAACCAAAAACGAAATTCAAAAGCAACAACAGCAACTGCTCCTAAGAAAGGCAACAATCGAAACGTTGGAAAACAAGGCAAGAACCAACTTGAAGAAAGTTTACTCCCTTATTAAAGACTTGCCGATAACGGAACGAAACTTGGAAACCAAAATTCTACACGAAACTATACGGATAAGACCAAAGGGACTGGGTTCAATTAATGCAACTAGGGTTATTGAAATTCCCGATGATGATGCCGTGCCTAGTACCAGTGGAGCGAATTTCAATTTTCCTAATACCAGTGGAGTAAATTTCAATATTCCTAGTACCAGTGGAGTGAATTTCAATGTTCCTAGTACCAGTGGGGTGAATTTCAGTGTTCATAGTACCAGTGGGGTGAATTTCAATGTTCCTGGTACCAGTCTGCTGAAACCAGTAAGAAAATAAAATATTTTAACTTTAATAGAAACAAATTTTTATATTTTGTAGGTTTCCACACCAATACAACAACGTTCGGTACCTAGCTTGTATCCAATAAGCGCCTCTAATAATAATAAATCGCTTCTAAAGATCAATGCACAAAAAAATGTTCCTGAAGAGGATTCTTCTGAAGATGTTGTCTGGATAATAGAGTAAGGTCAATCTTTTGTACAGCTAGTTTTTAAAAATTTGTTTTGTAAAGAATTATTAATTTTCTTTTATTTTTTTAAGTGTTATAAGGGCATTTTTTTTTAACTCCTATAATGTCTTACATGCCAAACTGAATAGTTTTTAAATGCAAAAAAAAAGTGATATGAAACTTAAGAAAAAACTTATGATTTGAATATTAAGTTTAGTTTATATAAGCTTAGTTCCAACACACCAGGAAACCGTACAATGTACTGTCACGATTCTGCGCAGAACTATAAATTTGTGCGTAAAACCCGATATTCGTCTACTGAGTGGCTTCGAAACCGTTCGTGGGACGGTTTTTTGACATGTTGGAACAGACCTATTATAAGTTAATTTTCGTTTATTTATTAATACCGCGTTCTCGATTTCTTTTTATGTACAAATAAAAACGAAATTTAATTATTGTTTTTTATTTAATTTCTTAAATGTTTATACTTCCATACCTTGTCAGATAGCAACTAGTTTTATTAATATCACACACATACAAATAATAATAATTAACATCTATTCATTTTTAAATTTCAAAATCTTTTTATGATCAGTTATCTCTTGCAATTTATCTAAATTGTCCCACCAAAACTTGAGTCTGTGTTTCAAAATCAACGCAAACCAAGGAGTCCATTGTCCGGTTAAAGTAGGAACGAAATCGTCAAACTCCTTTCTAGGCACAAAACTAATCTCCGATACTTCTTGAGGGTTTGGTTTCAGTTTGACGTCTTGCTGCATGAACAAAATGTAATCGATTTCGTGTTCTCCGTATTTGCCGTTGCCTTGGTCTTTGTAGTGGACTCGTGTGATGTAGTGCATTTTTTCTATTGGTATTGTTTCGATAGCTATGCCTAGTTCGTGGTTTAGACGTCTTTGGGCTGCTTTTTTGATTCCTACATCGCCTTCGTCTTCGCCTGGGAAGTTTGCTAGAGGGTGGCTGCAACATGTGTTGGTGTAACAATCTGGATATGTCAGCTAAAAAGGGAATTATTGAATATTAGCAAAGAATCTATGATAATGCTAGATGTGGTCAATCAAGACAAAAATCAAAAAGTCTTTTAGTAGTTCAAAATTTCTACTTTTGGCTTTTGATTCGCTGGACAGTTTGCTTGGACAGAAATTGGGCTTTTGATGTTCTTTAGATAAATTATCCAACGAATCAAGAGCCAATAATAATCAAAATTTGGACTATTATCGGCTCTTGATTGACTGAATAGTTTTTCGAAAGACCAATAGAAATTAGGCTCTTGATTCATTTTAGGAAAATTATCCAGCGAATCAAGAGCCGATAATAATCACATTTTCGACTACTTGTTTTTGATTCGCTGAAGAGATTGTCAAGAGGCCCATAGATATCAAAAGTCGATAATAGGTCTGTTCACACAGAAATCACAAACCAGTCATAGTGAATTTCATTGGTTGAAACGAGGGGTTATTCACTAAGGGAAAAATGTGACAAGATTTCGGATTTAGAGCGATTTTGAGGGATTTTGGAGGATTTCGGTAGGATTTCAGAAAGATTTCAAGGGATTATTCACTGTGAGAAGATTTCGGATTTAGAGCGATGTTGAGGGATTTTGATTGATTTCGAAGGATTTTAGGTGATTTCGAAGGATTTCGGATGATTTCGGGTGATTTCGGAGAATTTCAGGCGATTTCGCAAATATTTTAATTTGATTTTAGTCTGTTACTTATCTTATAAGTATATTCCAAAGTGTATTAGTATAAACTGCAAAAAAGGCCGCGTTGACCAATTTATGAATTGTGGGCCAATTGCGAGGGATTTTTGGGTCTGCGGAAAGATTTCTGAGAGATTTCGAAAGAATTTTGGAAGGATTTCGGCGGATTTCGGAGTGATTTCGTGGATTTCGGAAGGATTTTGGGGATTTCGGACGAATTTGTGAAACGATTTCGGGGAGTGATTAACCCCTCGGGTTGAAACTAGTTTTCTGACTGTTTTCAACCAATGAAATTCACTCTGATTGGTTTGTGATTGCTGTGCGAACTGGCCTGATATTCAAAATTTCTACTTTTGGCTTGTGATTCGCTGGACTGGTTTCCAAGAGGCCAATATAGAAATCAGGCTTTTGATTTTCTTCAGATAAATTATCCAACGAATCAAGAGCCAATAATCAAAATTTGGACTATTACCGGCTCTTGATTGGTTGAATAGTTTTTCGAGAGGCCAATAGAAATCAGACTCTTGATTTCCTTTCGGGCTAAATTATGGACCAACTGGTTATTACCAAGCAGGTAAATTCTATTCTCAAAGTATAGAACTCGGCATAGAATTCACCTGCTTGGTAACAACCAGGACCTTTACCAGTTGGTCCATAATTTGGCCCTTAGGGAAATTATCCGAGGAATTAAGGGGCGATAGTAATTATTTTTTCTATTGTTGGTTTTTGATTCGCTGGATTGTTTTTCAAGAGGCTCCCGGAAATCATAGTCGATAATATTCAAAATTTCAACTTTTGGCTTTTGATTCGCTGGACAGTTTTTCGAAAGGCCAATATAGAAATCAGGCTCATGATTTTCTTCAGATAAATTATCCAACAAATCAAGAGCCGATAATAATCAAAATTTGGACTATTACCGGCTCTTGATATACTTGGATAGTTTTTTGTAAATCTGACTCTTGATTTCCCCTAAGGAAATTATTCAACGAATCAAGAGCCGATAATAATCAAATTTCCGACCATTGGTTTTTGATTCGCTGAAGAGTTTTTCAAGAGGCTTATGGAAATCAATACTCGATAATATTGAAAATTTCGACTCTTGATTTTAGGAGATATTCTAAAAGTTTCCAGTTTTAGATTGTTTCCAAAAGTTCCATATGATTTGTAAAGTATTCTAGAGTGTTCCAAAAGCTTTCTTAAGAGTTCTGGTCTGTTCTAGGATGGCTCTCAAATCAAATCAAATAAGCTTTATTGTCCAAAAAAAAGATACATTTTTATTGACAAAGCAAGTGTTTAACCAAACTAACCTAAAACTACAGTACACAAGCTAAAATTGTCCAGAGTTTCTTTCAAAAAAAAATTGAACCCTTTTAAACAAACAAATACACATATTCGGTCCAAAATCAGTAAAATTTCGAAATTTTTATAAGCATATTTACACCTAAAAAACTCTAATTCCACTCAAGTATTGCATAATGCCTTTTCTTCATAAAATTCACTTACACTATACAAGGCTTTGGTAGTTAAATGCTGTTTGACACACAAACGAAATGCGTTATAATTACAACATTCTTTAATTTGTTGCGGTAAATGATTGTACATTTTAATACTTTCATAAATGACTGAATTTTTCGTAAGTGTAAATTTAGGGATTGGTAAGGGTACATTATTTTGTCGGAGGTTATAGTTACTCGCCTGAACAGAATCGGCATTCTTTTTATAGACAAGGCTCACCGATTCCAAAATCATCAATGAGGGGCTTACTTGACGCTCAGCACCCCCCCAAAAAATTTTGGGAAACCGATCAAACAAAAATGAATTCTTATGCAATCGGAAGTGTGCTGAACTGTGCTGTATCAGGTTTTTCTCAAAATTTCCATATTCGGTCATTTTCCGACAAAATCCTACTGTGGGTGCTAACTTGACGCTCACTCCCCCCCCCCCCCCCCAAAAAAAAAAATTGGAAATCAGATCAAACAAAAATGGATTTTTATGCAATCTGAAGTGTGCTGGACTGTGCTGTATTAGGTGTTTCTCAAAATTTCTATATTCGGTTATTTCTCGACAAAATCCTACTGGGGGGGCTAACTTGACGCTCAGCCTCCCAAAATGTTGGAAATAAGATTAAACAAAAGGGATTCCTATGCAATCTCTGAGGTGTGCTGAACTGTGCTGTATCAGGTTTTTCTCAAAATTTCAATATTCGGTAATTTTTTGACAAAATCCTACTGGGGAGGTAACTTGACGCTCAGCTCCTTGCCAAGAAAACGCATGACCATGAAAATTTTCAAAAAAAAAGGCGCCGCTTCAATATCTTGGATCCCTGCCAAGGGGGGCGTTGGATAATTCCCATTTTCTAAAAGTGGGCGGTAGGTTAAAAAAGTTTGGGAACCACTGCTCTAGAGCGTCTTTAAAATTCTTGAAAATGTTCTAACTTGGCGCTAGAGTATTCTAAAGATTTTCAAAATGCTTTGCATAGTTTTTAATTGGTTCCTTAATGATTTTGAAGGGCTGAGATGTTCTAGAAGTTATCAGAAATCTGTCAAATGTCCTTAAGTGCTCTTTGATACATCTTTAGTTATCTCATCAATTGAGTGGTGTAGTTGCAGAACTCACATTATCCACTTTTGACCAAAAATGAGTTAATGGTACTGGAATATAAAGAAATCTATATTCTAGAACATAGTGATATAAAATTCCGGTAAAAGTGACAATATCCCATAAAAATTAAATCCTGAAAGTCGCGATTCGCAGCAAAACTCACAATATCCGAAACGCGTTTATGTGTAATTCTCGAAGTATCATAAATCACATTCTCCCCTAATAGGAGAGTACTTAAACCTTGAACGAAGATTTCGCTGCAAAACTCACATTATCCGATTTAACAGATCTCGTATTATCGATTTTCAAATTTGTTGGCTGCAAAACTCACATTTTACAAAAGCATGCAGCAAAATTCATATTTTCCAAATAAAACCTCGAAAAATTTTCGAAAATGTTCAAAATATCGCATTTTGGTTTATACCATCGAAAAGCGAGTTTTTTTTCCGATTTTTAATATATACTCCTGGACAAAATTATCGCACCACTGCTTATGGTGCCTATGTGCAGTGGTGGTGCGATAATTTTGTCCAGGAGTATATTATGAGTTTTAAGAAAAAATGTGAGGTTTTTAATAGGGATCGACCGATATGACTTTTTGTAGCCGATACCGATATCGGCCGATACCGATATACTCCTAGCCGATATTGGCCGAAACCGATATATCAGCCATCAAATTTTATCGTACATTTTTTGCTGTATAAATCAGGTAAAAGTGATTTAAAATGATGCACACGGATTAACCATCATAAATTCACTAAAGAAAATGCATAGCAAATTCGATATTTTGTAAAATCACCCGGTGGAATAAACATCTATACGGTGAATCCCCGAATTTAACAAAGCCCGGCCATTCGGCCATGTTTTATTTGAAATTTCCCGCGACAGTACAATTATTGGCCCTGCCTTTTTGAATTATTTGCAATTATAATAGGCATGTATCTCCCTAAGGTATCTTCCTTACCCACGCGACTAATGGAATACTTCTACATTTTCAATGACTTTTTTGCTAAATTTTGAATAAGAATAAACTTGATTTTTATTATTATTATTTTTTTTTTGTTTTGTTTTACTTTACTTTGTTTTATTTGTAAGTCACTCTTTAAAATTTAATTTTAAGTACATATTATGTACGATTGGGTACAACACGTTTATATGATGAATAAATAAATAAATAAATAAATTTTTTCAAATCAAATCAAATCAAAATATGCTTTATTGTTACGAAGAACATAATCAGTTCTCAAGAACAAAGCTGTAGGTATATATAAAAAGAAAATAGTATATCAAATCGAGATCAAATACATAATAATAATAATAATAAAGCAGACAAACATACACATGTGTATACAAAACTTAACTCGAGATTTAACAAAAACTTACATCTATACAAATATATTAAAAATTCACAGATACAATAAAAATGACTTTACAAAAGCTAAATAGTGCAAAACAAACATAATACCTAATCTCTAACAAAAGACGAAAAAATAAAAAAAAATAAAAAAAAAGTTATTTAGTATTTCTTTTTTTTTTGTGTCCGTTGAAAAAATCCTCAGCAACTGAAATATTAAGCAATTTATATTTTTTTTTAGGCCGATACCGATATTGTGGTTAACATATCGGCCGATACCGATATCGGACAAGAAGGCCGATATGGCCGATATACCGATACCGATATTGGTATCGGTCGATCCTTAGTTTTTAAACGACAAGTTTTTTGTGATTTCCCAGTAACTGCTTATGAACCTGCACCCCTCAATTATTCTTCTATATTTGAGCACAACAATTCAATTCCAGCAGAAATTACTGTGAATTCATCTCAAAGACGGAAATGATAAAAAAAGCTTGAAAAATAAAAAAAGACAAATACTTATGTCTTTTAAAGTTGGGAAAAAAATGAGAATGTGTGTTTAGATATTTAGTACCTCTGTTTTCTGTTCATAGCCAGTAACCCCTATGAAAGTCTCCAAAAATGAGAAAACATAAAACTGGTGGTCAATTGGTTAAGAATAATTGGCGAAGTAACTTGTAAGCTTAGGCTTAATACCAAGGGCACATTTGGCCAAGCAGTTAAAAAAGATATCTTGAGAAATTTGAAAATAAGAATGGAAATGCATTGGGACTCTTCAACAAAAAAAGAATTAGGAGAATATATCACTGGTATTCATGAGCCTCCAAAAAGAGTTCAGATACCATTGCCTGGAAATATAGTCACTATATCAGATGACTAGTTTCCTGGTGAGGGTCTAGAGATGCAAAAACTATTAGATATTAAAGCAGATAACCATTGGGAGTCTTTAGACTTAGAAGAACAAGCAGATATAATAAAATACTACAGAGACACCACAATGAGATCAGATTCAAATAAATTAATATTTGCCATATTTATACTTATTATTTTAATAATTCTTCATTTTATTGACTAAATTACTTACCTTTTCAGAAGATCTCTTCTGCAACAACAAATCTCCGTGGTTATTAAACAAAAACATGCTGAAGGCTCTGTGCAAAGGAATATGTCCATCTTCTTGCACCAGATGGCAGTCCTTTTTGCTAGCCTGGCCTATGATGTTGTCGCTTTCGTCTACAAGAAAGCATTGGTCTTTCAGCATGGCTTCATGCTGAGGGTCTAGCTGCTTGTTGTTTGCAGCTACTGCACTGGATAGGTTTCTTTTGATGTAGGTTTTGGAGATATTTGATGCGTTTCGAAGTAGTGTGGTGAACATTATGTTTAGGATCTGAAAATGTATAGTAACTTCTGAATGCAATATTGTTGAAATATGACTAATTTATGGTTTCTTAAATGTTTTTGGACACTGTAAAGATTTTCTTGATTGAAAATTACCAGAAAAAGTGCGAAATCATTTGTGGGATTTTGGTGATTTGCGAATACTGATCAGAATTATTTCCTGGAAGAAACAAGGCATTGTATGGTTTTGGACACTGAAGCTTATGCAATAACCGACAATGAAGAGAAATTAGGTTTCCAGCTACTAGACTCATTTCACAATGATTTTGATATTCTTGTTCAAATCATAAAATACTTCTAACTAAACAAATTGTTATCTGTGGTAAATTATTAACAGTACTGTTATGGAAGAAATTATGGAAATAAAAACTTTCTAAAGTAAGTGTACATACCTGAAAAGTATTGATGAATTAATTCGAATGTAAGTACCAATTTCCAAGCAAATAATATTCCTTGTGTTACAATAGAAAATTAAAAGAATGTTGATAATCATCACAGTTCAGTAGGAGTAGTAGGACACACAAAAATACTTTTCACATAAAAATCTGGCTGGCCTGCTGACGCTGCTGTTTATGAATAATAAATAGTCTTTTATTTAGCTCAACAAATATTTAAATTAACATCACAAAAGCTTTCACTAGAAAAATGTAATTTTCTTGAAAGTTGAAGACAAACAAATTTTGAGGTTAGAATTCCTGTCCGAACCATTGGTCCGAACAGTCAAATGACAGTTAGGCGTTTTCGTTAAGTTGTTCCAGAGCAATATTGGATTATAATTCCGCTAGATTTTTTTGCTAATGGCCGTTTGCACCGATCATTTTAAGGAAGCCTTAGCGATAAGTATTCCTTAAAATGACATTTTTACATGGAGAATTGTCACTTTAAGGGATATTTATCACTAAAGCTTCCTTAAAATGGTCGGTGCAAACGGCCATAATTGATTTAATTATGACTGGGTTTGGTAATTGCATCTGCGAGCAAAATTTGACAGATTTTACGTGATTTGACTTTTAAAAAAAGATAAGTGATTACGTGATGTTCATCAAAGTTTGCTCTTTTTGCTCGTAGATGCAATTACCGAACCGAGCCCATGTAAATAATTATACTTAACTTATGGCCGTTTGCACCGACCATTTTAAGGAAGGCTTAACGATAAGTATTCCTTAAAGTATGTAAAAATGTCATTTTAAGGTAAACTTATCGTTAAGCCTGCCTTAAAACGGTCGGTGCAAACGGTCATTAATAATGCTTATTTTAAATTTGGTTTTCCTTTAAATTTACATATTTTTATCATACTTTACTTAAGTCAAGTTAGAAATAAATTTGACAACAGCGTGAAAATGTCTCAAAAGCACAGCCGGAATCGCAAGCATTCTGTCAAGGTCTGCGGGTGACGTACCACCAGGGTTGGGAACGTAGTTAATGTAACAATAGGCCTGTTCGCACAGCAATCACAAACCAGTCAGAGCGAATTTCATTGGTTGGAAACAGTCAGAAAACTAGTTTCAACCAATGAAATTCGCTCTGACTGGTTGGTGATTTCTGTGCGAACAGGCCTATTAATTACATGATTAACTACCGTAGTTATTGAGGATGACTACATCACTTTTTTAGCAAAGTTAGTTACATTAACTACATAACCTTATTTTAACTAAATTTTTTTCATATTTTCGAACATTTTCCAAAGCTATTTTTTATAAAATTATTGTTATTGGAAAAATTTGAATATGATATATATGGTAGTTTAGTTACGGGATGAGCCATGCATGGCATGAGTCCGTGCGACAGGGCTATAACTTCTTTGATAAAGGAAATAAAACAAGAAGAATCTTATTACAAACGTTTTTATTTAACTATCTCCTCATTATTTAACAGGAACAAGAACCGATACAAAGGCAATAAAAACATAGAAAAAAATCCCTACAAAAGTGTTAAATACAAAACCATCATCCAAAGATATTCTAAAATCAGTCCAGAATATCTTTGGACGATGACAAAACTGAAAAGCACCAAATGCTTGAACAAAAAAATAAAAAAAAACAAAATATTATTCAACCTGACAGGAACAACTACCGTTATAAAGATAAAAAAAAAAAAAAAACGCTGTGTCTAGCCTCCCGGCACCGGTATTCATACGAATCCCGGTTAAGGCGCGTTTTAAATGACGTCGTCAACAACCACCGGTAACTGTCGTGGATCCCGGCTATATAAGATGTTAATAATTATTATGTTCATATTGGTATTGGGGCAGATTTATTATAAAGAGTAAAAAAAGTAAACAAAGTCGGGCGCGATATGCTTTCATTAATGGAAAATAAAATTATGACTTTTCATTATATGTAGGTACAGGGTCATTTTGAAAGTTTGTTCAGCAACATTACACAGGGTGCCCCAAAATTAGAGATTAATATTTTAACTGCGGATTCTACATCTCAAATTAAGAGCAAAAATTCCTATAAACATGAGTCCAAGAGTACCTATTTCAGAGATACAGGCTGTTAAGAGCCAAATTATGGACCAACTGGTAAGTGTCTGGTTGTTACCTAGCAGGTACTTTCTATTCTCTAGTGCATAGAAAGTACCTGCTAGGTAACAACCAGACGTTTACCAGTCAGTCCATAATTTGGCCCTAAAAAGGCTATAGTCCTGAATAATGAATGAAAATAAACCATACTATTCCCTTTTTAAACCACTACTACGAAAAGTGGATTAACGAAGTCCTTACCACTCTAATACCAATATCACAACAAGAAACAATAATACACAAAAGCTATTCCGGAATTAATCACAGCTTCAAGCAGCAAGAGAAACACGACTTTGAATTTTGAATCCAATAGCCGGGACCCACGATAAATCCCGGCGGTCGTTGATGGAGTCATCGAAAACGCGTCATAACCGGGATTCGTATGAATACCGGTGCCGGGAGGCTAGACACAGCTACAGGGTTCTGTAGACTGACTCCAGTGACTTTTGTGAGGTTAGAAAATCAAAATGACAGAGGAAATCAACCAATTAGATCATTAGTTACATCAACGACATTAACTACCTTAAATTGGCTACATTTAGAATTAATTACGTAGTAAATGTATATCCTGTTCACAATCCGATGTCCACAAGAGCTGGTAAATGTATCACCTTTCCTTATCAAATAGCATTGAAAGGTGATAAATTTTACCGGTACCAGTGGACATCGGATTGTGAATGGATATTAGTTTATGTAGTTAATGTAAATAATATAACGCTGCTGTGAGGTTAGAATCGTTTGTTTTGAAAATTTAACTCTTGATTAAAAACTCAGTTTTTGTTGAATTTAAATGCTGAAAAGTAGATAATAAATCTTGCCCTAGTTCACATATATTGTCCAAATAGTTCGTTTGCACTTTAATTGTTTTTTTGTGATTGTGCGATAAAAATTGTCTTTCTAACCTATACCTAAACAATGACCACTTGTGCTCAATGCAAATTGAATATTTCCGACGACAACCATGGGAATAATATTGTTAAATGTGACATATGCAATCTGGATTACTGTGGGAGCTGTTTTCCTGTGAGTGTTACCGAAGTCAGAGTAATTCCACTGAAGAAACGGGTACTTTTTATATGTTGTCCAAATTGTCGATCAGCTGTGAAACGAAGCAAATACCATGCTGAGAAAATCCGACATATGGAAGAAGAGATTCAGTTGCTCAAATCTACCATAGCAGATAAAATCACGATAATTTCAGATAAGACCAAAATTATAGACCTACTACATAAGGAACAGCAAGATATGCCCTCGAACATGCCCTCTGTCAGGGCTGCTGATGAACATGGTGAGCTTGAAGGCGCACAAATTACACTATCTCAAGTAGGACGAGCAGTAGATTCGGCTATGGCACACAGCAATGTGGATATACAAGCCCAAGCGAAAGATGGCCAGTCTTCCAGTGCATCAATCACAAAGAATGCTGACTTTGTTGGTGTAGTTCGGCATAATGGGAATAATAAAGATGTCCAATCCATAAAAAATAGCCAGTTCATAGGAGTTCCAAAGAAAAAATGGCTACATGTAAGCCAAGCACAAAACAGTGCTACATGTGAGTCGGTGTTGGCGTATGTTAAGAATAAAGCCAGCATTACAAATCGAGGGGAAATCTCAGTTGCTCAACTAAGAACCAAAGGTGACACATCATCATTCAAGGTGGGAATAGACAGTAAATATATACCACAGGTAGAAGCTGACAATTTTTGGCCGAAAAATATCATTGTCCGAGAGTTCAAATTTAACCTTGGCAACAGGCAACCTGGTATGGGTCAGTTCCATGCCCGACATGCACGTGCAGGATCATACAGTGGCAATCGGGGTAGTTCAAATTTCCATTCAAATTTTCACTGGAACCAAGGAAGGAGAACCAGGTACTAAACAATGCCAGTATAAGTGTTTACTATCAGAACGTTAATGGTCTTAGAACTAAACTATCAGATCTTCGTAATAATGTTGCACTCAATCAATATGATGTGATTTTGCTTACTGAAACATCATTGAATTCAGATTTTATTAGCAGTGAATTGGGCATGGATAACTAACTATAACATATACCGGAAGGACAGAGATAGTACAGTCACTGGTAAACAAAGAAATGGAGGCGTATTGATAGCAGTAAATAAGAAATATAAATCCCAACTGCTGCAAATCTCTTGCAATGATAGTGAGGAAATATGGGTATCCACAAGTCTCTGCAAGAACCTCAAAAAACTATTCTGTTGTGTGTATATTCCACCGTCATCATGTAGCGATGCCTATACAATACAATAATAATACAATAATCGTTTATTGGTGTTAGATACACATAGTGTTTACACAGGTCATATTAATTTTGTTACAACATTACTTAAAATTACAATGTAAATTACTAAAAAACATTTTATAAAAGACATAAATAATTTTCCTTTTTTAAAAGTGACATAGAGACACAAAATATAACATACAAAATTCAAAAAATACACAATGTAGAACATACAAATAAACTTGGGTATAAAAAAAAAACAGCACTATTCAATCTTATTATTTGACCAAATGAGTGTGGAGTTGTAGAATTCTTTCTTATCAGATATTCTTTTACCTTTTTTTTGAAAAGAGATCTATTGAGGTTAATGGTCTGTTCTGGAAGCCTATTAAACAATTTTGCGGCATGGTATCCAGGTCCATTCTGGCACCTGTGAAGTCTACAGAAATTTGGTCTTAAGTTATTCCTAGTTCTAGTGTTATGACTGTGGATATCACTGTTACAATTATATTGGAGAAAAAAGTTGTCCTTCATGTAAAGCAAATTCTGCAAGATAAACTCGCTAGGCAGAGTCAAAATCCCGCTGGTGATAAAGGCTTTTTTACAGTCTTCCCTGTACCCAAGACCCGAGACAATGCGGACAGCCCTTCACTGCATTGCAAACACCCTCTGCGCCCCTGTTGCATGGCCCCATACTAGGAGAGCATATCCTAGATGGGAATGCACGAGCGAAAAGTATGTCTGCCTTAACACTTGCGGAGAAACACACATAGATAAGTTTCGCAGTAAAAAAAACGTTTTTACTCATCTTGTTTGAGATCATCTCGGTGTGCGCATACCACAGCAGTTTCTGGTCTAAAACTACCCCCAAAAATTTAGGACTGTCATTCGCAGGTTCGATTTTTTTTAGTGAAAATACCACATTTTGTGTTTTGGATTCATTTAGGTATAATTCGTTTGATGCAAACCATTGGCTAGCTCTTGACTGTGCTTCGTTCGACATTTCTAGCGCTGTCTGTAGGTCTTTGTCTTGTACTTGGTCTGTCGTGTCATCTGCAAAATTTGTCAGAATTTCATTTTCGGCAATATTTGGAAGATCATTTATATAGATTAAAAATAAAATTGGACCTAAGATGGACCCTTGCGGGACGCCTATACTGAGCTCTTGTTTACTGGAGCATACATTATTATAATTAACAATTTGCTGTCACTTAACAAGGTAAGATTTGATAAGGTGGATGCTGTCTAACGTGAAATTGTAAAAAGGTAGTTTGTCTAGCAATATCTCGTGCGAAACACAGTCAAAAGCCTTGCTCAGGTCGAAGAACGTAGTGACAGTATGCTCTGACTTTTCAAACCCCTCCATGATCCTCTCAACAACCCTCAAAATTGCCAAGGTGTTTTTTTTCCCTCTCCTAAAACCATACTGTCCAGAACTAAGTATGTCATTTTTTTCTAAATAATTTGTAATTTGATTTGCTAGGCACTTTTCAAAGATTTTTGACAGGACAGGCAGTATTGATATTGGCCTATAATTTCCTGGGTCAAGATCCCCTTTTTTATATATTGGGGTTACCTTGGCAATTTTCAGACAGTCCGGAAAAACCCCTTCTCTGATGCAGATATTTATCAATTTAGTTAGTGGTATCAACAATAAATTCTTGACCCCTTTTATTATAGTAATATTTAAATTATAGTAGTCTTTGCTCACCTTGTTTTTCAGTTGGTCAATTATATCCCGTACTTCATTGAAGGACAACTCCGTAAAGGAGAAAGATTGACCAGCTGGAGCAATATTATTCATTTTTGCAATTGGAATTATGTCCGTGTTCTGGATTTGTGCCTATATGTCAACCGCGACGTTTACAAAAAAGTTATTAAATGTTTGGGCTGATATTGTAGATAATTGTGTTTTATTACTTTTTGTGTTTTTCCGGTAATCGTTCACGATCTCCCACATGCATCTCATTGGATTTGCAGCATTTTTAATTTTTGTTTCATTGCAATTTATTTTTGCTTGTTTTATTGCTTTTTTATAGTCATTGCGAAATTTTTTATATTTTTTTTTAGGAAACGATTCATTGAAAGCCAATTCAACGAGATGCATGAGGATTTCAAACTTTTTCCCAGCTTGAGAGTCATTATTAATGAAATTAAAGTCTATTTTAGATATTTTTTCATAAAATATGTTTCTCCCTGCTTGTGTTATAGGCTGACATAATGTTTCAGTAAAAACGCAATTCATTTTCTGTTGTGGACATTTGACTGCAAGTAGTTGCGCATCATGATCTGACTTGCTAGGTCTAACAACACTCGCAATGAACTCAGTCTCCGAGAAATTAATAAAGATGTTGTCCAAACAATTATCACCCCGTGTAGGTTCGAAAATCGTCTGGACAAGACCATACGTGCCCAAAAGGTCTACCAGATGCCTACAGGTCTTTTCGTTTGAGCAGAATCTAACATTGAAGTCCCCTGCAAGTATTAATTTACTTTGTATACCGATATTTCTAAGAATTTTGTCAAGAATATCAAGAAAGGTGTCAAAACTTCCCAAAGGAGACCTATACATGCAAATTATTGTGATATTATACTTAGACCACTCTATACATTTTTCCACACTCATCTGCTTCACCTCAAGTATTTCCTTACAACTAGAGTCTTGTTCAAGCAATATAGCTGATCCACCTCTTGTGTTTTCTTTTCGACAGAATGAGGCTGCCACATCAAGATTTCCTATCTTCAAAAATTCAACTTCATCTTCCCTCAGAAAATGTTCCGTTACACACAGAATACTGATTTTCTTGTCATGGACAAAAGCATCCATCTCTTCTTTAATGTCTCTAATAGATTGTGTGTTATAATGGAGCACATTAAGGCTTGTTTTCTCTCTTTTTGTGTGTTTGATTCTATTTATTGCGTTGGTGGTTGATTCGCCCTTGTTGCTGGGCTTCGTCTCGTGTGCATAAAATGGTCAACCAGAACACCTTGTCCCCAAATATTGGGGGTCATGATTTTACTTGTTTCCTTCAGAAACCTCTATTTTGAAAGAGCTTTTATAGTCACTATTTCTGGTCTTCATTTTAAAGCATTTGCAATCAATTTCAATACTATCATAACCTTTGTATATCTTCTTCGGTTACTGCAGGCGAGAGCCCTGTGAGAAAAATATATTCTTTTCTGGGAGCAACTTGGAGAGAGAAGTTTTTGCACCCTCCATGTATAGGGTTGTTGCTGCGGCTAGTATTGGTTTTTCTCCTATAGCTCACCGTTTCCCATTCCTTTTGCAATGTTTGCAGCATCGGGTCATCTGCTTTTGCATAATTTTCATTGTTTTTTGGGTTTTTTGATGATGAAGACGTAATATTTTTATTGTTGTCTGGTTGTTTGGCCTTGTTGACAGGGTTGCCAGATGGTTATAACTAATTTCCCCCAAAGGATTTCAAAAATACCCCAAAAATCACTTTGTCAACTAAAATCCCCCAAATAAATATAGATTTATTCTCGACTCATACTTGCAAAAAAAAAAGACAAATTCGTTGAATATTTTAAAATAAGCAGCCTTACTTTAGCCTGTTTCTTTTACTGTAATAATATTAAGCTGTATTAAAATTTAGAATACAGCAACTTAGAGCACTAAGCACTATAACCGCAAAGAAATGCAAAACGCAAAATAAAAAATAAACAATGCAAGCAACGTCGGTCGTTGGGGATTCCCCCGATCCGATTTGTCAAGTCATTTGTCATTACAAATTAAAATAGATCTAGAACTGAGCGTTTGCGTTCATCCCGAGAAGAAGCAAACTGTATCTTTTTTATTGGTACTTGATTGAAAAAATAGATGGCGCAGTTGTTTTAATACATTTTTTACTTTAGTTTTATTCATTGAAATATACCCGATTTCCCCCAATAGCGAAAATTCTTACAATTCTTATCCCCAAAAAATCCCCCAGAAAAAACTATCCCCCAGATTTTCCCCCATCTACTTGAAAATCCCCCAAATTTGGGGGAAAATCCCCCAATCTGGTAACACTGCTTGTTGATTTCTATTTCTTGATCAGCTGTTTCTGGCGCTGCTAACTTCGCTTTCTTTTTTTCAATGACAGGTAACGGTCCATCAGCTGATTCTGGAGCTGCTAACTTCGCTTTGTTTTTTTCAATGACAGGTAACGGTAATTCAGCTGTTTTTGTCGTCGCTAAACTTCGCTGTGTTTTTCCCAATGACAGGTAGGGGCAAGTAGGGGCATATCAGCTGTTTCTGGCGGGATTTTCTCGGATTTTCTAACCTCATTTTCTTTGGTTTTCAATTTTTCTTCAGTTCCCTTTACTTTTCCATGCAAAAGGCGATTGTTTTCCTGCAACAATTCGGTCTTCTCCTCCATTAGCTTGAGAACTAACCTGTAGAGGTCCCTTTCATGGCTCCAGGACTCTTCTTCAGCATAAG